TTCTAATTTTTGAAGTATGGATGAGTTCGAAGATGGGCGTTTTAGGTATTAAGGTCACGGTTATGACGCCGTGTCGAATAGGTGTCGAATTTTTTGTTTCGACTGTTTTAGAGGAATTTGGGGGCGGGAATTTCAAAAATCGACATCATTTTGACGTACGATAACCGTGTGACCGTGTCGACGACGCCACTTGAATTATGCCATGTGGGGTGTCTATCGAAAGGTATAGTCGTGTACGTTCAAAGGACGCGGGAGTTATGTCGAAACGGAGCGAGATGAGACGTGGGGTAATGTGAGACAATTGGGGAAAATGACGGGAAAGTATTGGAAGACGATGTGGGTGTGCCACAAGGACATTTACGTGTGATTTCACCCCTTTGCTACATTTCGTTTGCAACGGTTTATTATGTTACACTACGTTAATTATTATGCAACTACCTACAGCACAGTACAGTACAATACAGTACATTACTAAATGCAAACAGCTTTTCCTTGATTTAGTGCTTATCACCAATTATTTTTTAACTCTTCTCCTTGCTTTCATATTTGGACATCAAGGAATATGATGAAATTGATACCTTCCACAAGTCAAATTTATCGACACATATTGAGAAACCCAGCTTTTTTCACTACCGCTGAAATATTATCGCCCCTCCGGGATCCACTGATGAGAATGAGGGACATTGTTTGAGCCAAGCAAAAATTTTGAATTACCAACGGGGTCCCACTGTCGATGAAATTGGCGCCAAATTTAATTTTTAGAACAGTGCAAGCCTTAGCCTCTTTGATCAATGGAGACCTCCTCCCAGCCCGCCCACAGCGTATCATAGAGTTCGCCTGTTCTCTCAATAATTTGGTGGAAATGTTATTCACCCAGGAAGCGAGGGTGAAGACGAATATGTTGTTAACGAGGACATTCGCCCAAACAAGCGGGAAAATCAGAAAAGCTGGCATCGGTATTTCGCCATGCATCATGATGGATACGTACTGGGTAAGAATCTGCAACGTCGGCATTAGGAGCATATAAACGGGAATGAGACGAACCATGAGAAATCCGTTGAACATTTTTTCCAGAATCTGTATACTTCGATAAAGTTTGACACATGTTTTGAACTCGGTGGCTGTTTCGGCTACTCGAATGTTTCTGACGAGCAAACAAATAACTTCATTTTATGCATGTTTTATTACACACGTAGAAGGTCTAGGGATGGATGTTGGATTTACCGTTTCAGTTCAGCAAAATAGTTCAACATGCTAACAATTCCGGCAAACAGGATGTAGATGATTTCCATTGATCCGCCCATTGTGACGTGAATAATCATCCATGTATCAAAGAGGAAAGCAAAATGTTGAAATCCGATAGACCCCGTCCAGGTAACGGAGGCGCAATACTCTGTCATTGAGAGTAGAAACGGTGGTGAGCAAGGATCCAACAATATTAGGCCTGGAATGGCTAGAATCACCGCAATGATGCTATGGAAGGTGACTTGGAGGAACAATTTCATTAGTTTTGTCTCTATATTTGGCTGCAGTGCGTGCGTCCCTAAGTAATCGATATTAGTATAGATTGGTCTCTGATCTCTGGTAGAAATTCGCTTATTTCACGTATGTACCTTTCAATATTTGTGCCTCGAATGTCATCGCTGAATTGATTATCTGCACAGCGGAAACGTCCAAATCATAGTTCCAACGCCCACACAAAACGATAATGTAGATGCATAGTAAGACAAAACCTTGGAACTGTTTAGTCTTCGGTAAAGCGCTGAAGCAGAGATGGGCCACGATTAGAATGCAGTAAGCTAATTGAGAAACGATTTGTAGACGAAACATCTGAATCCGCCCGGGTTTTTTATTCATAGCAATTTTTCCAGATTTGCGGTCAAAATCGAACAGAACGGAATTTAGACTTTGACATATTTTTAAATGACGGAGAAGAAAGGGGAGAAAGTGAGTAGTATACATTTTCTGATAAAATCAAATTATGGGCCAAACTTGCGAATCAATCAGGTTCAAGAGGACATTCCAACCCAGAACAGAAAATTAATAACAAAAATACACTAGACTGATGGCCTGATTTATCTTTGCGAGAGTAAAGACGAATTACGCAAAGAAGTAGTGCTGATTACTTTATGTTTCTGCTATGAATGTCACTACGGACACATTCTACGGACACATAATTTTCACAGATAAATACCGTACTAGGCTCAATCGATCACAAATTTAATTAACATTGCATTATATAATATGACGGTAAATTGGGAAGGTGAACAATTTGCAAACTTTATGATGTCCTTTTTCCTCTTTTGATGGAAATATTTAGGCCAGACACAAACACCTGCGGACGCCTGTAAATCCCCCGGGTGTTACATACATATTTTATGTTGAAGTACTAGGCTCAATCGATCACAAATTTAATTAACATGAAATTATATAAAATGACGGTAAATTGACAATCAAACACACCTCAATTACTCTTTACCCCACAGTAGTCCAACAAACGTGCAATATTATCTTACTGTAATTTATTTCTGCTAATTTCCCTACAACTATTAGTTAGGAACTCATTATTATCAATACTATAATTCAAACTAATAACTGTACCTTCATGGGCCCGAAGCGGCCTCTATAAGGATTGAATAAATCTTATCTTATCTATTTTATGTTGAAGTACATATGAAAATAGTTAATTTTAGAAAGTGGATTAAATTGATATTGTCAGCGAGGAAATAATTATCTAATAGTTCGTCCACAGTCCAGCTTAGAAATTTGTAAGGGGGAAATAAAGTTTCATGGTAGAGTAGAAGGCCCTCTACTCTACCATGAAACTTACTCTGCCTTCGAAGGCAGACAGCAGATTATTAAAATTATGGCAAATACAAATTTATGGGTCTCTGCTTGTTTTTGATCAGGGATTAATTAAAATATGTTCTGGTCCCTGCGATAATTAATTTATGAAATATTATTATCTAATACACACTTTAATTGCGAAGGTCACATCTGAAGTTGTACTTGGGCGAAAATCTTTAATTGCGTACAGGTTTTATTGTTGCGTAACGTTGGTTTCCTGTCATATGCTTAATATCAAATTTCTAATTTGAGCGATTTGTGCAATATCGTTAAATCATTAAAATTTGGATATTTGACAGTATACGATGTAAAATAAGTCATTCCCATCACACTCGTTCTTAGCTTTTACTTTTGATTTACAATTCTTCATGGCTTAATAAGACTTATCGGTTTTATGGAATTTTAAGGAATGATTCCTTAAATTTAGTTAATAGAAATTTATTTAATAGAAATTTATTAAATACAAATCAGTAAAATCTTTTAGCAAAATCACCTACTCGGAGTACCCAAGCAATTACCAAGTTTAATTTGGTAATTTGGTAATACCAAATTACCAAAAACAATATTTCGACATACCAAAAGCTTCATGCAATGCTTTTGATTAGAGTTTACAGCCCTGAATACCCGAAAAGCTGAAATTTTTTCCTCGTTCATTTCTATTTGTTTAAAACGCCAATATTTAAAATGCATTCAATTATTTAAGATATTTTTTAACCACTTTATTAAATTTTTATGATTTCTTTTCAAAATGAGCAACCGGTTTGAATTTTTCATTAGACCTTCTCATCAGACCTACATCGTGATAAATGTCTTGCAGACCTTGAGAACAGAATAGTAAGCCATCATAATAATAAAATTTGATGTATCGATGCGGGATAAAATTAGAATACAAATTATGTCGACACGACCAATTTATGGAATGGATCTATCAAATCTATCAAATCTATCAAATTGTAAATATTATAGGAACATTTTAAAAATTAAATAGCTAAATAAACTCTACAAGTTATATTCGCATAAAAATAAAATATAAAAATAAAATAATATGAAAATTATCCTAAACTCAACAAAAGATCCCACCAGAAGCAACTTCATTGCATAATTTTCGAATTAATTTTAATTGTATTTTATTTTATTCTAACTACACCAAACCGAATTCATCCCGTTTACGTATCTCGAATAATCCGAAATGCCCAATTTCTTTTCATACGTATGTAAAAGCTACCATGATTCTAACCACTATCAAAAATGTATTAACCTATCTTATCAAATTACTTGGAAATGTCGGGGATTTATTTGGTAAGGCCAAGATTCTGCCTTGGGTTCATCGTTCGATGAAAATTATTATATGTCGCCAAATTCGCAATATAATATTTACAGACAACTTGCATTCATGGCTCAATTTCGTGGTAAAGCCAAGAGATTAAGACGTAAACACGTGATGGAATTGACGATTGACAAAATTTACGTAAGCAACTATATACAAAGATGCAATGTTCTTCATATTGGCGTCTGTCCCATACTAACAAATGCTTGTACATAAGTACGTATGTATGTACCGCATCTGCATACTTATGCCAAATATGTAGAGCTACTGCTGACGCGAAGATGTCGAGGTTGGTATTAAACACATAAATGTATGCACAAGCATTTATTTGGGTCAAATTTGCTTAAGTACGAACATTGTGATGCATTGACGGATCAATGTACAGACGCAGGGGTCACGGAACTCAGGGCACAGGGGGGACATGATAAATAATTGCAATCAACTAGAAAAACCATAGAGGTTGCGTTTGGCGAGAGTGTGTACTTTTGATTGTGAATAGAAATGGGAGACAATAATTTAAACCGGAATTAGTTGCCAAAGTACAAAATCGGGAAATTTAGTTCCGGTTTTCGACAAAATTGTTAATAAAATACGTATGCATTTATTACTAATCGAACAAAGTGTAAATTCACTTTTTGACAATATATTCTATTAATAGGATATAAATTATTCAAATATTATTATTCAAATCCTCCTGTTCCGTGTTCCCCAATATTACGGTCGCCACGCTGTCCACACAGTTACGCAGCCCCGGTGAGATAATTTTTCCAAGTAAAGAAAGCACAATCTCGGTTACTTCATACATAACTTTGCCAACTTTGAGTCACCAGCCGCAGTTCGTCCAAAACAACGAGTCAAGCCACATCTTAATTTTAACCATGTCCAGTTCTCCAGCGATTTTTGTTCGTCCTCTTTGTCTCCAAATATTTTTGGGAGGAGTGGTGTTAGAATATATTAATTTGGTATGTTGTCCTCCTTAATTTGACACGTTAGGATTAAGTTTAACTGAATTACTTCAAAAATTTTACCACTTAGCAATAAAAGTGACTTGGCCTCATCATTCTGAGGAGTACAGACTTCGAATTTTATTTTACATTTTTCTTAAATCATTTTGTTCAAATCTTACTAAACTGAATGCGAAACCAAACCATGTTTCAAATATTGTCATTATTTCTTTAAGATACAAGCGGTTGATCTAAATGATGAACTAATTCTGAGGCAAAATAATCTCTTGGAACGAGTGAGTTAATATTTTAATATTTTTTATTTCGACTTTTTATCACGAAATTACCTGCTGTTGTTTCGAAAATATATTCTGTCACCGAAACCAAGTCACCAATAAGCAAAAGGGGTTTAATTCTTAAACATATTTATTGTAGTTGAGCACGCAGTTATCCAACATTCCGACCAAAGATGATCTTGCCTCCTTGGAAGCCAAATTCGAGCGAGGAATAGAACGAGAGCGAAGACAAAACGGCGACTTGAAAACCAAATTGCAAATCATGTCGAACGCAATGACTAAAAAATTGGATGGTTTACAAAATACCATTGACAACTTTCGAGGACTTGTGAAATTTATGGTTGAAGAGTGTATAAATAGCTGCCTGGAAAACAAACCACGAAGTAAACGGAGTACCCCCAACCTTCCGAATGCAGTAAAAACGGTAAGTTATCCAAAATTATTTGTGTCATTGGTTTCAGAAAATATGGTTTGAGAAAACTTACATGCAATTAATTCCAGGACAGGGTAATTAGCGTTTTGTGGAAATTCGGCATCTAACACAGTTTATAAAACCTTGTTTTGTTTCCTTGTAAAATATTTGGCTTATATCACATAATGTGGATGTAATTTTACATGCCTTCGTTTGTTTTCTGCTTTGAAGCCGATTTCATAAATGCTACATTTTTCTAGGAATTGGATTTCCGGAATTTGTCAGATTATCGCCTGGTTCTATTAACAACACAATGGCTGCAGGTTGGTAAAGTTATTCATTCGAAGCGTATTTCCACTCAACTGGCACTTCTTCTTATCTGGACTCTGACATGCACTATAAGTTCAGGATTAAGCATAACACTTGGTATTACGGTTGCATTATGTTTCGCAGAAAGGATTCAACAACTTTACGGATCAGCTCGCAACCGTGGAGAGACACCAGCATGAAATCTTGAAGGAGATAAGGAACACAAGTTCCGGCGTGTCTCAAGGTGTTGACACCGTCTTGAGGGAAGTTGCAAGTTTGAAGTACTATATCAGAAAAATATGAAAGAACAAAAAAGTCTTATTTTTCGATTTTCTATCATAATAAAAAATCACCACCATGCTAATTCCAAAGTGGCATTAGCATGTTTGGTGAAGTCTAGGCTGTCAAGAGACGCGGGGAAACCCTAAATTCATGATTCATAACCATAGGGCGGATATGTATGTACATAAATTCCTCAAAATATGCATGTAATATGTGCTTAAAAACCTCGAAAATATGCACATCAAAAATGTTTTTAATTATTTATAATTATTTATAATAATAATATAATAATAATATAATAATAATATAATATAATACTATAATATAATATAACATATAATGTTAATATAATAATAATCTATAATTATTTATTTATAATTTCTTACTTGCTTTATATCGCATCTTAAAGAACATTCAACTTTTTAACAATCCGACACGCGGATTATTTCAACCTTAAGTTTTAATCTTCATTTAATGACTCATATTGCAACACTGGTTCCATTTCAAGCAATTTTTTGGCCTGGGAAACTTATAAAATGAAGCACATTGGATTTGCCACTCGTTCGCACGAATTAAGCACCTTCATCATGAAAATATAATTTCGAACAAGTCTTAAATTACAAATGAAGAAAAATATTGCTATACAAAAAACCTCGAAATATGTATTAAAAGAATTATATTTTTAAAGAAACTTTGAAATATGTATAAAAATATTTATATTTCCGAAAAACCTCAAAATATGTATGAAAATATGTATACGTACGAAAACCACGAAATATGTAAAATATTGAAAACTATGTTTGAATTTTTGAAATCATGCTTATGTGGGACGTTAGTTTACGAAGTTTTAGTACGATCGGGTTTGTTATGAAAAAGTTAGAAATACATACATATCCGCCGTCTGTTCATAACCTGATTGTGTGAGGGATTGTTATCGATAACAAAATGCGCAGAAAAGTGATCATTAAGTTATGCCTACCTACATATGTCAAGTTCATGCTCTAACTATCGTCTGGGTAAAATCTTATCTTTATTTATTCGTCAAAATTGCATCGTCACTAGCTTGCTGAAAGAGTTGCGAAGATTATAAATATTTAAATCATACTTTCCCACCTCCCCAGAGGCCAGGTAGGTCTAACGCCGACCTGATATGCAGGTCAAGCCAAGCCGAGCGCATGTGCGCTTTCGCGCACATGCGCTCCGTCCCCTGCGGCTTGGACACTTGGGGACGTTTTTATAGAGGATGTTTTACTTTTATTTCGTTTAAAAATTGTCATAATATTCCCTTCTGCTACCACGGCCACCTCTCCGACACCTTCTTCTTCCTCTTCTTCCTTTTTGTATGCATTTCATAAGAAAATGGTTAATTATAAAATACAAATATTTAGTTGATAAGGCGAAAAGCGTCCTACTATCGCATAGTATTAGAAATTAGTCATGGTTGAGCACCTAGGGAACTTCCCCACTAGGCCCTGCCCATGCCCCTTTCTTAGGCCGTAGCCCACGGTCGGAATTATTTCCGTTGTTAGATGTTATGTTAGATGTTATGTTATGTTAGTTGGTTGGTGAACAGGTAAATGAAACAAATTAATCCATTACTGTTAGTCGATATTTTATGCTCCGCTAATTAAGGTATTACTTGGTTAATTGTGTTGGTTCATTATTGTTACTATTTGTTATTTTACAGAGTTTGTCATGCATTTCTGTGTTTAAACAAGCAGAAAACCTGGATCTCTGTTGGGATACGTCTGCGGGAAAAGAACTGGCATTTCCATATCGCTATCCATGTCGTCTAAATCGTACGGTTGATCCTCTTCGAAATAAACTTGCAAATGTGGGATTTCTACATTGTCACTTGCAATTGCGCTGTCAGGGGATGTGACAGGAAGACTATTGCTATCCGATCCTGCATCGACACAAAGTTTCTGTCTTTTCTTGGCGAGTATGGCAGCATCAAATGAATCAATAGTCGCCACAGGTTTGTTTAAATGGGATGGCTGCAAGCCTCCTCCAAAATTTCTTGAATCTCCTGTATGATGGTGAAGTACACCCCATGTGTTTGTAAACTCTGCTCCCGGTATGTGCCGAAAATCTAGGGACCGTTGAAATGGAGTCTCATCAGCGCGTCCATTGTTTCCGGCAAAAATCGTGTTCTGCTTGGGAATTTGAACTTATAGATGCTGAACATTCTTTATGCATCTGCTGAGGACGGTGACACCACAAGTGACGCTTCTAGCACAAACTGTATTGATTTTCCCATCGAGTATTCCTTAGGTTTGGTTAGAATATTATGCCAAAACGGAATAACACCTTTTGCTTTATATTCCTCAAATTCAGGGCTCGTTGCGATGGCGTAGCATAAAGTATTCCATTCATTTGTGATATCTGGTAGAGACGCGACCGAAATAACAACTTTACTATGGTCGAGGCATTTAAATTAAAGACAATTTAGTCTGTATCTTGCTAAGAGGCCTGTTGGCCGATCTTGTAATGCTTAACAACATTGAAATTTGAAATTCGAATTGCTTTTTCAATTGCGGACCGATTTTCAAAATACCGCCTGTTTTGGAAACCTTAGGTCAATTGGCGAAATATATATTCCCAGATTTTTCAAATTCGACCACACCCCCTTGCAATTAAGGTCACAAGTTCAAAAAACACATAAAATAAAATTAATTCTTGAAGCGGAATTTCAAAATATAAAAATCGAATTGCATGTCGAATAAATATCCCGACACCCAGGTCACCGATAAAAATTTCAAATGGTCACATGGCCACCCCCCAGGGGGTGTGGTTCTCGGCGCCTTTCCGATTGTATTCAAAACATGGGTTGTGACATCATTTTTCTCAACTCGACGTAAAATTTTGAAACCACACTCCCAGTGGGTGTGGCCATTGGCGCTTTTCGAATTTATCGATACCATTTCATGTGACATATCGTTTTTCTCACGAGGATGAGGGGATCTCAACGGAATTATAAAATTAGGAACCACACCCCCCAGTGGGTGTGGCCATTGTCGGTTTTTCGAATTTATCGAAACCATTTCATGTGATATATCATTTTTCTCAGGAGGATGAGGGGATCTCGACTGAATTATAAAATTTAGATACAACACCCATTAGAAATTAGGGTGAGTAAAATATTCAAAATTTCTCCGGTGTGCAAAATAGGTCATATCATGTCTCTAAAACCACAATACGATATCTTGCGGATTTGAAGCAGGAAACAAAGGGTTTAGCGTTTAAGATATTCCTAATTTGATATGGTGTTTAGCAGCTGGCTAAGTACCGCATACTATTTGTTCCCAAATTCCTGTACAATGCGGTCAACGAGCCTTTACTTCTTATTATTTCTAAATAACGTCTTCAAATTTTCATATTCCTTTGCAATTTGAAGACATCACAGTCTTTTAACCCACACGTTACTTTGTTGCCAAAATATTCCCTAATCTCAATCCGCAACTCGTCTTCATTTATCGAACTCAACGTATCAAAATACCTTATAGTTCTTAGTTGTTGGTCAATTAAAAAAAATTACTCCAGAATATTTTGTAAGTTTTCGAAATTAAAATGTAAAGCAAAACTGTCTGATTTTTATATTTTTTGAAATTGTATTTTTATATCTAATCTCAGGGAAATAATTCTTAGCAAACATGTCGCTGAATTTTTTAAATCAGGGGAACTTAAAAATGGTTAGAATATTTTGAACAAATCTCATTTGATGTTCAAATGTGTTACACAATTCACCAGAGCTTAAAATGCGAACTTTCGGAAAGATTAGCAAATATGGTTCTCTTATATTTTGAATATTGCTGGATTTAGACATCCTTATTCGAGCAAGAAAAATGATATACAACTTTACGTGGTTTGGTTTCAGCCGAAAAGTAGATATGAACCACACCCATTGGGGGTTTGGTTTCCAATTTTTATATTCCCGTGAGATCCCCTCATCCGGTTGCGAAAAATGATATACAGTGTCGGACAGATGTCTACGTCCACATAGTCGCGTCAATTTCATTTTCAAATTGTCACTGAACTACTGAACCAATTTTCATCATTGATATATCAAATTCTCACAAATTTAACGTAATTTCATAGCACATTATTAGTTTTCCGCTAAAAAATTTATTTTAGGCCAGAGATGTATTTTAATTCAAAATGAAAACAATTGGATGGACAAAAGTCAACGTCCAGTCAGAGAAAACATACAAAAAAAACTGTAATTTATAAGGAATGTTATAACAATTAATTTTTAATATTTGGTTGGGCCTCCGTTCGCTTTAAGGACGGCTTCAAGGCGTCGAGTCATTGAGTTTGCCAAATTCTTGGTCACATCTTCAGAAATGGTTTCCCAAACTTCACGAATTCTGGATTTAAGGCCCGGAATTCCTGAAAAAGATTGTTTTCTTATTTCTCTTTCAATGTGGTCGCACAGATGCTCAATGGGATTCAAGTCTGGAGATTGGGGAGGCCATTCTAGCTTCGGAATTTTTTTTTCTTGAAGTATTCCATGGTGGACTTGGCAGAGTGTTTCGGATCGTTGTCTTGTTGGAAGGCAAATCGTCGTCCAAGTCCAAGTTTTCGAACAGATTCCTGGATATTACGGTCAAGTATTCCCTGGTACTTGTATTGGTCCATAATTCCGTCAATAAATTCCATTTTTCCTGCCCCACTTGAAGCCATGCATCCCCACACCATTACCGACCCGCCGCCGTGCTTAACTGTGGGGTTGAGATTTTTTGGATTCAAAGCTTCTTTTGGATACCTCCACACTCTACGACGCCCATCTGACCCACAGACATTGAACTTTGACTCGTCAGTCCATAAAATATGTCCCAGAATGTTTGTGTCTTGGAAATGTGGTCTCTGGCAAACTTCACTCGTTTGGTTGCATTCCTCGGTACAATAAGAGGCTTCCGGACTGCTCTGTGGGATTTCAAATTTCCCTTATTCAGTGTTCTTTGGATGGTCATAGGACTAACCTGTTTGCCGAACATCTCCTTGATCTCGGTAGATAGCTTTGGAGCACTAAGTGAGGGTGTAACGTTGACTTTGTTGAGCACGTGGCGTACTTCTCGGTGAGCCAAAATGGGTTTTCGACCACTTCTGACCTTGTTTTGGACTGAACCATTAGCTTAATGAGTTCTTAATGATTCTTAAAGTTCTTAATGATTGTCTGGATGGTTGTCCTTGCTAATTTATACTTGGTCCATATTTGTCTCTGCGACAGCCCCCTTTTTGTCCACCCTTCCAGTCCTGAATGACAAGATCTCGAATAGCGATAGGAATTTCCTTGCGTGTCGACGCCATCATATTTTTCTGGAAGAAAATTATTTAAAAATTAATGCGGCATATGTTATTGATAGATTTATTAAGTTACCTGATTTTATAAATTGGAGAGATTTTTGTTGTTGACAATTAAAGTGAAGTGGACGTAGACTTTTGTCCGCTCAAATTTCATCCTCTCTCGCTCTGCACTATGATTCTCAGTTTTCCCAGAATTTTCAGAAATAACTCATATGTTTTATGAAATTACGTTAAATTTGTGAGAATTTGATATATCAATGATGAAAATTGGTTCAGTAGTTCAGTGACAATTTGAAAATGAAATTGACGCGACTATGTGGACGTAGACATCTGTCCGACACTGTATCACATGACATGGTTTCGATTAATTTGAAAAAGCGCCAATGGCCGCACCCACTGGGGGTGTGGTTTCCAATTTTTATAATTCCGTTGAGATCCCCTCATCCTCCGGACAAAAATGATATGTCACATGAAATGGTTTCGATAAATTCGAAAAAGCCCCAATGGCCACCCCCACTGGGGGGTGTGGTTCCTAATTTTATAATTCCGTTGAGATCCCCCCATCCTCCTGACAAAAATTATACATCACATGACATGGTTTCGATTAAATTGAAAAAGCGCCAATGGCCGCACCACTGGGGGTGTGGTTTCTAAATTTCAGTAATGCAGACTCAATCTCCTCGTCGAGCTGATGAAAATGATATATCACATGACCTGGTTTCATGTACATCGAAAAGGTGCCGAGAACCACACCCCCTGGGGGTGTGGTTTCAAAATTTTACTTACTCAGTCGTAATCTTCTCGTCGAGCTGAGAAAAACGATATGTCACAACCCATGTTTTGAGTACAATCGGAAAGGCGCCGAGAACCACACCCCCTGGGGGTTGGCCATGTGACCATTTGAAATTTTTGTCGGTGACCTGGGTGTCGGGGTATTTATTCGACATGCAATTCGATTTTTATATATTGAAATTCCGCTTCAAGAATTTATTTTATTTTATGTGTTTTTTGAACTTATGACCTTAATTGCAAGGGGGTGTGGTCGAATTTGAAAAATCTGGGAATATATATTTGGCCAATTGACCTAAGGTTTCCAAAACGGGCGGTATTTTGAAAATGGGTCGACAATTGAAAAGTAATTCAAATTGCAGTTTTCAATGTTATTTCAATTACAGGTTCGGCCATTTCACCTTTCAGCAAGAATTGTCTTTAATTTTAATTCCTGCACCATAGCTATGGCTCGCATCGCGGAAATTTGAAATCGTCGTTCACGCATCTCGTCTTCCTTCATGCTTTGCGGATCGAGCACGTTAAACTTGCAGAACTGACCATCAAGGAAGTAGGACATGACTTCGCTTCGGAAGTCACCTGCTATTGATTTGATAAAATTTCGGATGTTTTACCATTTTGGGCATTATAAAAATTAGCAATTTCCTTTTGGTGTGCTTCGAATTTTTTGATATGTGAGTTGGGTCTGACTGTGTGTTTGGCTGCAAGATTTAGCTTGTGGGGTGCACAGTGTACCCGAATGAGTTTCTTAGGGTCCTTCTTGAATTCCCTCGAAAGTCTAACTCCAAGTCCTTTCCCTTCTGCTTGCATAACTGCCGCTCAATCGGCTATGAATGCAACTAGATTGTCTTCAAGGTACTTTTGCAGATTCAAAGAAGGCATGTTTTTCTTAACTTTGTCAGATATTCCTTTTATCATCTTTATAATTTCTCGAAGGTACCCCTTGCCAGTTGTGTTAATTCGGATTCTATGACCCGAGAAATAATACAACAGGTGCTCCTTCTTCCACAGATTGAATAAGCACTACCAAAACCTCGACCCCCATTGAGTCTGTTGTAGTATCTGTGATAAATGCTATGGGTCGTTGCCGTTTTGTCAACCGCATCAAATATTTTGTTTGTATTTGATCAGACATGTGTGTAGCCATCCTGAGCCATGCGTTCTTGTCTTTATGATGGTAACCTATGTTGACTCCACGAAATTCGAGCAAATCACACCTCGTGGAATGTTTATTGGTAGCCACATCCATTCTTACTTCTCCATATACTGTCATCAGCATTAACGCTGTTGCCTGTTCCTTCTGTCCTAACTTTTGTAGTGACTGATCTTGCATTATTTCCAAGAAACGCTTTAGTGAAAATTCTTTTTTCTCTTCCTCTAATCGAAGAGCTTCTTTGTGCCAATCCTTTCTGTGGTGCCCGATAAGTACATCCTTGAGAGTTTTGTCGTTCATAGTTGTATATCCCTCAGGCCTAGCCATTGCGTTTTCATATCGCTCATGAAGAACCCCTTTCCCATGATATTTAGAGCATAACGAACATGTGAAGGCAACTGTAATACCAGTTCCTTCATCAGTATTCTGTGCAGAAATTGCAGGGTCGGCACTGGTCGCTCTTCCCATTCTTTCCTGGAACTGCAACCATTCCCAAAACTTTGGGTTCCTTTCCTCCAACCATGGTTCAATAGAGGGACGAAGTTTTTTTACGGCAGCTTGTAGATTTCTCCAGTTGACTTCCAGTATGCTTTCTTCATTTTGTCGAGCTTGTACTATTTCAGGCAAGTGCACCCTAAGTGCTGGGTACGATATGGAGTAAGCATCTAAGACGTCTCCTTGTAAGTCTGGATGCAGGAATTCAGGTTTAGAAGAATGAGTGTCACCAAAGCTCATAAACGTTTGGACGAGTTGGGATCGCCTGCAAACCGCCTGTTCTCTGTCATTGTCTGGAGGTGGCACGGCTGGCTGCTCACTTTCACATTCCCTTTCAATCTGCTCCTGTTGTTGAATATCAATAAAAACACCATTCTCGCAATCGTTATTGGAATTAGGCGTGGCCTTGGTTATCCTAAATGTCCCTGGGACGAATCCTTGTGTGACAACCGTGCAACGACTATGGTTGAGGCATAATAATTAAGCACATTTTATATTATATCTTGCTAAGAGGCTTATTGGCCGATCTCGTAATGCTTGTCAGCATTGCAAATTTGAAACTCGAATTACTTTTCCAATTGTTGACCGATTTTCAAAATTCCCCCTGTTTTGGAAACTTCAAGTCAAACGGCGAAACATTTAATCCCAGATTTTTTAAATTCGACCACACCCCCTTGCAATTAAGGTCACAAGTTCAAAAAACACGTAAAATAAAAATAATTCCTGCAGCGGAATTTCAAAGTATAAAAATCGAATCGCTTGTCGACAACATACCCCGATACACAGGTCACATTTAAAAATTTTCAATTGGTCACATGCCCACCCCCCAGTGGGTGTGGCTCTGGGCGTCTTTTCGATTTCACCCAAAACATGGGTGTGACATATCATTTTTCTCAGCTCGACGAGGAGATTCCGACAGAGGAAGTAAAATTCCGAAACCACACCCCCAGTGGGTGTGGTTATTGGCGTTTTCCCGGTTTAATCCAAACCCTGTCATGTGATATGTCCTTTTTCTCAGCCGAATGATGGGATCTCAACTGAATTATGAAATTTCTGAAACTGGACCCCCAGTCGGTCTAGCTCTGGGCGACTTGAGTTCTAATGACGAACTGTACAAGCGATTTTTCACAGTCTCTTGGATAGGAAACTAAATGTCATCAATGGATTCAGTTTGGAAAAATAATAATACATTTTTTCCCCGACTTTCAAATTGCCCCACCCCCTGCCACCACTAAGCATAATTTGCGGTTGTGGACTTATAATGATTTTAAGCTGAAATTTTCGACCCATTTTTTCGATTTTTAGCCATAACTTCCACGTTTATGAAATGGTGTCTTTCTGGTTTCTAGCCTTTCAAATCTCTGCAGAAACCCTATATTCTACTTAGAATGCCGTTGGGTAGAACCTAACCTCCTAGGTCACGTATTAAGGGTACTTTATTGGAACATCTCGAAATTGGTACAAAGTACCCTTAATGCTAATTTCCGTAATGACCACTTGTTCGATTTGTTTCAAATTTTGGTATATTATTGGCCCTTAGTAAGCCGGTATAGTTAAATTACCTCAAAGTCGAAATCGACCTACCTGACCTTGTTTCAGAGGTCAGTGGGACAAATTGGGACATAAAGTCTCACATAACCCCATATACGGGGTATAGTGAGAAGTGTATTGATGAGGAGATTCAGAATATATATACTTTGTGGGGTGTATAGCATCTCACTTATGATCCAGGGACCAATGAATTTTTGAGTTTGTTCCCATCTGTTGCTATGTTAGCTCTCAATCTACTGCCGTGTTAAATTCTGGAAAATTGAAAATTCTGCCTCTGTAACATCAGGGAGTGGTCATACTCCCTACAAAGTATACATATTCCGAATCCTCTCATCCGACGATACCCCACATGACCCGGTTACGACCTATTTGACGGATTTTGCATTTTGACCCACACACGGTCACCGTGACCTAGTTTCGAAAAAAGCGAAAATGGTCCTTGTTTTGATTGACCCAAGGTATGTTCATGTTAAATTTTGACCCTGTAGGTGCAATAGCTGCGGCGCAAAAGTGGGATCTCAATAAAAGCCACACCCCCTCCCAACACGCCCACGTAATTTTAAAAAATTGTCGGCCAAGAGTAGGCAATCGCGGGGCATCCGTTTGTGACCCCGTTGATTCCAGAATGAACACAGCATAACAAGATTTTGTTGCTTTGGGTGTCACCCAAGGTAAGAATGACACCCCATCTTTGATTGGGTTTACGAACCCAATTTGATTGAAGTCGACACTTTTTTCTGGTATTCGTCTTCCGCCGATCGTATGCAGCCCGTCACGATTCATACCTGCATTGTTCTGCGGGCTGCAAATTTCATAAATTTGGACTTTTGGATTTGTATGATGTTTCTGTAGCCAAAGAACCTTTGTGCCCCAAGGATGATACTTGGCTGCATCCTCATTCTTCCGACACTTTGCCTAATAATTACCAAATATAAAATAAATCCCCATTTATCATTTAAGTGACAGATATTTAAAATAAATACTCGTAATTCCAGAAATTCCTCCTCTCCAAACGTTGGGCCATTTTCATGTTCACTTCATTGATTGGAAGTGAACAGGTCCGGTGTCTGCTAATTGGTTCAATTTCAACAGCGTGGCAGGCCATTATTAGCAAAAATAATCCCATTATCTTCCCTAAAAATGACGAATTTGACAAAAATTAAGAACTGTTACCATAATGGAGGTGCCAACCTACCCCACTATTTTCAGCCAGTTAAAAATTAATTTAGGATATATAAGTAAACATACAAATTCGAAAATTTAACAGGCTTTTTAGCCCGACCCAGGGCTTATGTACCCGAGATGTCCGTCTGTCCGTCCATCGATTACTCTCTTTAAACTTGTCTTAGCGACTTGAAATTTGGCACACATTTAAAACATGCCAAATTAGTAATCAAGTTCGAAGATGAGCAAAATCGGTCAAGTGGTTGACCGGTGGGGGTTATTTGAGTGGTGGGGGTCCATGATGCAGAATATTCGAAATGGAGGTAGAATGATGCAATTTGGCATGGAGGTAGCTAATTGCTTCTAATGAACAAATATGAGGTGAAATGTGAAAATTTTTCATACGAAGGGACCCCAACGGGTGACCCATACCGATTGTTCAAATTCATCCAATGGAGATGCAAATTAGCATAAAGATAGCCAGTGGCTTTTAAAAAAGGAAAATGAAAGGATATGACGTGCAACTGACAAAATTCTCATCGTGAGTGACCCTATGGGGTAACCCACACCGATACTTCATTACCCTGGGTCGGGCTCCGCAAAGCTGTACTGATAGGTTTTTTAAATTAGAGTTTTCTAAATCTGAAAATTTGAGTATGGTTTTGTTAAGAAATGAGAACAAAAGAATACAGAATCTTACCATATTAGATGAAGTGTATAACATTTGTAAAGTTATATAATCAGTAGACCACCTTCCACAAACTAAGGCGTTTAGAATGCGACTGCAAGTTTTTACAGACTTAAATGCATGTCCCACTTTCCTCATCACAGCGTGAATGCGAATGCGAATCTTTGCACACTTAAATGCACGTCCCACTTTCCTCAGCAAAGAGTGATTGCGAGCTGGGTGGAAATTGTATGATATGTGGCTAACACAGCGAAACCCGTTCCATTCAGTTTCTCTTTGCATTATTCATTCACATTTGCAAATTGTAAATTGCAAGAGTATAGAAACAAGATTGGGCATTTGACGAGGAAGGTCGGTATTTAGACTAATGTCATTAATTACCATACTCGTACCATACCTGGACGAGAACTGATCGGTTTATTTTAGGACATTTTAAAGTATGCCAATGTAAATGTGAAAATTGCTCTGTCCGCCGTCTGCAGGTCTTCGTTGATTGAAGCAAACGCTTTAATTTGTTATGATTAGGACCTGCAGGTCGCCTTCGGCGACCTGCAGGTCCAGCTATGCGCTGCAGGTCGCCTTCGGCGACTTGCAGGTCTAACTCCAATTTTTTCCGGATGCAGGTCTACGCTTGCCCTGCGGGTGGGTGGTGGGATAGTATGATTTAAATACATATCCACAAAAACAAGATTATTTTAACCGGTACCAAGTTGGCATTCCATTTTTTGATCAAATTACTATGAAATGTGAAGGATCTGTCTGCACAATAATGCAGATGAAGACTTTGCATTGGTTAAATCAATTTGGGTTTATCGTACAAGGAAGGGTTTTATGTCGGAAAACTTATTATTATTTAATTGCAGCATACTAAATATGTTACGTATTTCATGGTAAAGCCAACCTATTTTTTAAGACGTATGTAAAGAACGTCCGGGAATGAATGGGAATGCGCGCTCTAGCGAGTATATTGACAAATCAATAAACCCGCGAACTATAATAATTTAAATTTCTGAAAGCCCACTTCATTAGGGTCAATTTGGTATATCACTCTTAAATTTCAAAAATGGATAAGGGTAGAAGAAGCTTGTTTGAAAGGGAGCTGTTAGCAAAACGAGTGATGGAGTTCTACAACACGACAGCCAACCGAGACTCCAAGGTGACCTGGAACTTTTTTAAGCAGGAAGGAATTCCAAGTTCAAATGTGTATTCCTACATAAAAAAGTTCAAGGATTCCGAAAATGTGCAATTCAAGAAGCCAGCTGGTCGTCCGGCGAAGCTAGCGACCACTCGAGTGAAAAATAGAATTGAAAAAATTTTCAAAACCAAGCCATCAACGTCAGTAGCTGTAGCTGCCAGGAAAGTCAAAATTTCCAAAAGCTACCTGGGGGAAATTAAGGTCCATAAATTAGGAATCAAAGCAAGGACCAAAAAACCTGCACCAAATTACAAGCCCGTGCAAGAAAGTCGGATCAAGGATTGCTGTCAAAAATTGTTGAAGAAAATGCGTGGAAAAGTAGTGATCCTGGATGACGAAACGTATGTTCCGGTTGACCCTTCAAATCTTCCAGGGCGTCATTTTTTTCATAGCTCGGATCCCTCTGAAGTGGCTTATGAAGAAAAAGTACGAAAAAAAGACAAATTTCCAAAGAAATATTGCATTTGGCAATGCATCTCCAGTCACGGACATGTATCAGACCCGGTAGTTCTCGAAGGGAATATCAATCAAGATATTTATCTGAAAAATTGCGTCAAGGCTGGATTGGAAGCATTTATTAATAGGTTTCACAAAAATGATAAAGTTTTGTTTTGGCCTGACCTCGCCACTTGTCACTATGCAAAGAAAGTGACCGAGTACCTCAGAAAGAAAAATATTGATTTCGTACCAAAAGATATCAACCCACCTAATGTACCCCAACTCCGCCCAATCGAAAAATTCTCGGCACGTTCTAAGTCAGTATACTCCCGGCTTCAAGATGTGCCTGACACCTTTCGAAAATTCAAAGGACGATGGAAGAAAATCACCTCGGAAGTGGCAAAAACTTCGGGAAAAAATTTAATGAAAAATCTTCGCAAGAAAATCGAACTAGTCGCCAACGGGGGTGTGGCGGCCTTAGCTATTAATTAAATTATGTAGGTACGTATTTGGTATTATACATATGCAAAAAGTTTAAAATTCCGATAACTCATTGTGATTTTATGACCACATTTTCAGACCATTCCCATTCATTCCCGGACGTTCTTTATGAACGTGATGTATGAATGAATAAATGACGCGTGACATATTAATGTAACCATATAGACAAATGTAGTCTTCATGTTGGCATCTGTCCCTCACTATTTATACGTACCGCAGCTGCATATGTACTTATTTATACGTATTAGCAAAGAAAGTTATCAGTAAGGCGAAGATGTCGAGTAAGGCAGTAAATATATTTACACAGCCATTTATTCGAGTCAAATTCGCTTGATTAGTACGAATTTTGTGCAGCGTAGATAGGTCAATGTGCTCACGCAGGCGCCACGGAACATGGGGGCCACGCAAATTGAAAAATCAAGCAGAAAAACAACACATGTGTAGGGGTTTTGCCCAAGAGTAATTTTTTGTAATTCTTGTCGTAATTTGTATTTTATGCGTATTATGTATAATTACATGGGTTCAGGTTCTCGAAATATAAAAATCTCTCAATATTTTCTTACTCTAAACTCATTCGAATGTATCCATTGGATACTATCCAACCCATCCAAGCGAAGGCCTCTTTACTAAATGGTACAAACTTAATATTATTACTTTAATGGAAAGATTTACTGGGTTGAATTTAGTTTGCCTTAATAATTTTAGTAAGTCATTAATGCCATTAGTTGCCATGTTACTGTTCCGCGTGAAAAAAGTGTTCCAATGTGAAGAAAGTATGAAAGGCTGTAAACACCATTGCGAATATAAATAGGCATTTATTTATCACTGATCAAGCAGAGTGAAATTTCTGGGGAAGCAGAACCTGTGTGCAATGCCCTCATAGAAATGTCCTCACGGTTCCGCGGTGTCTGTAGCACACCATTTCCAAGCAATTGTATCAGGATCTCAATTACTTTATTTACTCTTGCAAACTTTGAGCTACCAACATCATTTCGTTTCACACAAGACGATCAACACAGCAATTTAGTCATGTATATTTCTCCACGGAATTTCAATCGCTCTTTATATCTCCAGATATTTTTTGGAGGAGTGGTTTTGCAATATCTTAATTTGGTATGTTATCCATATTATTCAATTGAACTTATAAAAATTCATTAGTAGTCAAGTTTAACTTATTGAAGCCTCAACTGCTTCAAAAGTTTGATTAAAAACCTGATTGTATTTTTTTTACTGTTCTCAATAATTTTAAGTGTTAATTACTTAAATTTTAGAAAAGTGGTAGTTTAATTTCTTTCAGGTTCAAGCCGCTGATCTTAACGATGAACTAATTTCCAGGCAAAATAATCTCTTGGAGCGTGTAAGTAAATATTTGCATGTTTGTACGATTTTTCATTTTTACTTTTTTGTGACATTTAAATCCAGCTGGAATTAGTTGTTTTAGTGAAAAACTTGGTCGGCGAAACTAAAACAAATGTACATAATCATTGATTTTAGAATTAATTCTTAAAACTTATTTATGTATTATTTTAGTTAAGCACTCAGTTATTCAAAATTCCGACGAAAGATGACCTTGCAGCCTTGGAAGCCAAATTCGAGCAACGAATAAGAATTTTAGAGCGAAGACAAACTGACGACTTCAAAGACCAATTACAAACTATTTCTTACGCGGTGAATCAGAAATTAGAAGGTTTGCGAACTACCATTGATAACTTTCCAGGCATAATGAAGCCTATCGTTGACAAGGAGCAAAAAACCCACCTGGAAAAGAAATCACGAGAAAAAAGAAGTCTACCCGCTCAACCTACCACAATCGTGGAAAGGGTAAGCTATATATTATGGCAAGCAGGTAGCATATCACCAACGAGCCAACATTTTTACGGTCAATGGTTTTTCTTTGCTGGATGGAATACACGGTGGTGTTGGTGGTGAGGCCGGAGGCAGGATTCTCCATGTATTACTTACGGCAAATAACAACCATTGACCGTTAAAATGTTGGCTCGCTGGTGATAATAATAATAATAATAAGTTTTATTATACTGCTTTATATGAACAAATGATACAATAATAGTGTATAAGACTAAAGAAGGTAACTCTAACTTACACACAAGCTACTACAGTAAGCAGAATGCCATGTTTCGACAGTTTCCAACCTCTCTAAGCCAATACTTCTACAATCAAATTATAATTTTACAAGATGAACAAACGAAACCAACTCGCAGCTCTAAGGAACGCGACAAAGTTGGTTGCATACCAAGTCTGGTTAAGTTTGTAAATTTAAATACAGATAATTATTCCAAATTACTAGCCAATTAAAATTTAGATTACCTTAAACTATATTAGTGGAAAAAATTGCACAAAAAACCACACAAATTTTGAGATACAAACCAATTTTGATTCCCCAACCAACCAAGTGGAGTGGCAAAGGCCACGTGTTAATTCAAATTAAAATAATACAAATAAGAAATTTAGGAATGTACTTTGTCACTAAAAGCCTTTCACGGCTTGGTACTGAAGAAATTTCGCACATTGCCAATTACAAATTAAGTTATAAACCAATTAAATTTAATTTAAACTAAAATAAAATAAATAAATTTAGAGCAGCTCGTGCAAGAGCAAACCTCCTTGGCAGTTGGCAGGATATGTTACCTGATTGTCATAATAGGAGGGAAACTTACGAGGTTGTCAGTGACCGATCTGCTTGAAATTTTTACCAAAGATAGTTTGACATGAATGAACCTTAACCCTAGAAGGTTTTGACTCCATGGCCACAAACGGGTGAGAAATAAATTTCGAAAGTTTCAAATTTTCTCATCAAGGGATGCCATTCTATCTGAGCTCACTCTAGTTCTATGGGGAGGATGTTGTAATGCTTATAAGCATTGGAATTTTGAAATTGAGCCAGTCTTGCAAATCTTCACCGATCTTCAAAATTCGAAATGTTTTGGAAACTTTGGATCATGGACTAGAATATATAATTTCAAATTTTTGAAATTTGACCTCATTCGCCTGTTATCAAGGTCACAAGGTCAAAAATAACCACATTTCCATGGTTCGCAAAAATTGATTGTCACCAAATTTTAATGAAAATTTCGAAATTAAAAAACTTGGGGAGTGTCAAAATATGACCAGTGGTGCTTGTAAAAAATTGTGGGTGTGGCTGGGGGTGTGGAAAAAAATAAATCAGGTTAAAATTACTGTGTTTTATCGCTTCGGGGTGTGAAAAATATCAAAGTCCTACCAGGGCCACACCCTCTGACGGCATTTACATTAGCGGATATAATTATTCAATCCCCACCCACAGGGGGTGTGCCCATCAGCGCTTTCGGCGTTAATAACTTCAATTGCCTAGTGCGACACCAATAATTTATCGGGATGGAATGGGGACCCTGATGGTGACGTCCAATCACCAAAAACCACACCCCCAGGTGGGTGTGCCTTAAGGAACTTTGGGTAATACCTTTATAAAGCATGTCACGCGACGCAAATAATTTATCTGAAACTCAAGATAACCCCTATTATCACGTCCAATTACAATTATCCAGAACCACACCCCCAAGTTGGATTGGTTCTCAACGGCTTTTTGACGTTAACGAAGGCACATCATATGATGCACGTAGCGTATCCCGTCACAATGAGGGGGTCTAGACGGCATTTCAAATATATAAAGCCACACCCTCGGTGGGTGTGGTTCGCAGCGAATTTTCCGTCTTATCAGATCCATGTCATGTGACATGTCATTTTTCTCAGCTCGATTAGTCGATCTCAACTAAACAACTTAAACTTACGAACAACTTAATAGTCTCACATAGCTCCATGATAGGGGTATCGTTAGAAAGGTCTCGGCAAGAGGATTAAGAATATAAATACGTGTTCAACGAGAAATTATTCATTAAATTATTCATTCATTAGCATCTAGTATGAACAACATTCATTCAAATATTCATTCGTTTATTCAATCACACATTCATTCAATCACACATTCATTCATTCAAACATTCATTCAAATATGCATTCGTTTATTCAATTATTCAAATATTCATTCATTTATTCGAAAATTACGAAATTGGCTTTTACCATACACACTATTTTCTTATATAACTTGGCGATTTAGTAGCTTCAAATATATGTACAGGGTTTCGATTGGTAAAAGCCAAATTGACCAGGGCAGTGGAAAAAAGTGGGAAGAAGGAACTTTTTACCACCATCTAAACTCAATGGGAACTGGAAGAAATGGGAAAAACTGGTTTGGGGCGATCCAAAACAACTTCCTTAAAGCTCAACATTTTCAAAATCTAAGTTCATATTCGTATTCGCCATGAAATTCTGAGCAAATAAGTGGGTAATACGGTTAGAATCGAAGAATCTTTAATCGAACAATCTTTGGAATTTTTTAAAAATTTTTGAAATAAATTGAAAATTTTTTTATTGGAAAGGTTTTAAGAATCACCCGTAATTTCTGGTAAAATTTTCTACGGTTTCTTGGAAAGTTGTGATTTTTAAAATATTAATAAATTCAAGGGCATACACGCAATGAAGTAAGGTTCAGGCTGTACATTTGGCTGTACCATACAGCAAAAATATCTCCAAAAAGTAACAACTCAAAATTCGTCTGAACAAAAGCGAATCAAATTTCGTCATGCATACGCATAATGAATTCATCAAAAAGAGAACAAGAGACCATATAATGAAAAGTCTGGTTTCGAACAGAAAATATTGACAAAATATCGACTATCCAAATTATAATTCGACCACAATCTAAGTATTAAGGCAAAAATAAAATCGGCTCCGAACTTTTGTCGGCGGCGTCGACCTCTGTTTCGGGAACCTTTTTAGTTGATTTCTTTATTAGCTCACCCTGCGCAGCACGGGAGCTATTGAATTCCTCTTGTCCGTCTGTGTGTTAACGACTTTTTTGCATCAATTGATACGCATTAAAGCGAGTTATTGGCATTCGTAACCGACTTATTAGCACCACTGATATCGAACAATCGGTGACTCTAAATGGTGCAACACAATTCAGGGAATAGATGCAAAACGCACCAAAAGTGGAGAAGAACTGGAAGAAATAACCATAATTTTGACATCAAGTTTTTTAACATTTTATGTCAAAATTGTGGATTCATTTAAATCGTTTAGTTTCCACCATTGATGCAAAATTATATTACAATTATGTATATCTTTAGCACGCTTATTCTGCACCATTAATGCAATATTATGTCAAACTCATTATTACAGGGTGAGCTACTTATAACGTTACAACGGTTTATTACCCTTTAAATTTATGTTCTAGTTGGCCCGCATATGAATACATACTACGAATATTTTAAGTTCGTAAGTTTAAGTTATTTAGTTGAGATCGACTAATCGAGCTGAGAAAAATGACATGTCACATGACATGGATCTGATAAGACGGAAAATTCGCTGCGAACCACACCCACCGAGGGTGTGGCTTTATATATTTGAAATGCCGTCTAGACCCCCTCATTGTGACGGGATACGCTACGTGCATCATATGATGTGCCTTCGTTAACGTCAAAAAGCCGTTGAGAACCAATCCAACTTGGGGGTGTGGTTCTGGATAATTGTAATTGGACGTGATAATAGGGGTTATCTTGAGTTTCAGATAAATTATTTGCGTCGCGTGACATGCTTTATAAAGGTATTACCCAAAGTTCCTTAAGGCACACCCACCTGGGGGTGTGGTTTTTGGTGATTGGACGTCACCATCAGGGTCCCCATTCCATCCCGATAAATTATTGGTGTCGCACTAGGCAATTGAAGTTATTAACGCCGAAAGCGCTGATGGGCACACCCCCTGTGGGTGGGGATTGAATAATTATATCCGCTAATGTAAATGCCGTCAGAGGGTGTGGCCCTGGTAGGACTTTGATATTTTTCACACCCCGAAGCGATAAAACACAGTAATTTTAACCTGATTTATTTTTTTCCACACCCCCAGCCACACCCACAATTTTTTACAAGCACCACTGGTCATATTTTGACACTCCCCAAGTTTTTTAATTTCGAAATTTTCATTAAAATTTGGTGACAATCAATTTTTGCGAACCATGGAAATGTGGTTATTTTTGACCTTGTGACCTTGATAACAGGCGAATGAGGTCAAATTTCAAAAATTTGAAATTATATATTCTAGTCCATGACCCAAAGTTTCCAAAACATTTCGAATTTTGAAGATCGGTGAAGATTTGCAAGACTGGCTCAATTTCAAAATTCCAATGCTTATAAGCATTACAACATCCTCCCCATAGAACTAGAGTGAGCTCAGATAGAATGGCATCCCTTGATGAGAAAATTTGAAACTTTCGAAATTTATTTCTCACCCGTTTGTGGCCATGGAGTCAAAACCTTCTAGGGTTAAGGTTCATTCATGTCAAACTATCTTTGGTAAAAATTTCAAGCAGATCGGTCACTGACAACCTCGTAAGTTTCCCTCCTAAGAATAAACCGTGGAAAGCCACATGTAGCGGTCAGACCACATGGCATTTCATGGAATTTCTTGTGGTACATCCGCATCATCTGCCACCGTTTCGTCCTTGTCTTCCATAATTGATTCACAGCAACCTACCCACGTCTCACTTTACCCTGTTTCGACGTACTACCTGCGTGGTTTGAACGAACCCTATCATACCTTTCAATGTACACCTTAGATAACAAAATTCAATTCGCCGTCTTTTGAGCTTGATATTGAGCCCGATTTCTGGCTGTAGTGAATAATCGATGCGCTTGTCAAAATAAGCGTGATTTATTTGCATGCGCTAGGTCCGAAGACTGGCACGAAAATAATATTGAAAACTGATATTTAAGATATAGGAGCGGGAGATAATTAACGTTTTCGGCAAATTTTCGTTGACCCCTGGTCAACGAAACCCTTTTGCCATCTTTTTGTGAATTACTTAAAATTTTAAATATTTGCATTGCAAAATTTATATTTGATCACATAATTCTGTGCCTGTTTTCCTTTATATTGTTTGACTTCCATGCTGTATTTTTAGGAATTGGACTCCCTAAACTTGTCAGATTACCGATTGGTACTACTAACAACACAATGGCTTCAGGTGGGAAAATTTACTAAATCACAACGCATTTCATACCCGGCTAATCCACAATCGTCTTCCAATTCAAATCGTATTCTATAGTCTAACTCTAAAGCCAAGATTTGGTTTACGGCACTATAATGCTTGGTATTAAAGTTATATAATTTTTCGCAGAATGGGTTCAATAACTTAACGTATCAAGTCGCTGCGGTAGAGAAACATCAGCATGAAATCCTGAAGGAGATAAGGAACGCAAGTTCCGAATTATCTCAAGGTGTTGGCACCATCCTGAGGGAGGTTGAAACTTTAAAGCAGTATACCGACAATGTACGCAAGATAGTAACTTAACAAGAACAGGGTAAACTTAATTACTGAAGTCGTAAAGTTAATATTATTTGTAATGAATGCTAGTCGCCCCGAGGCTCTAATGAGGAAGTGGTCTGCAGAGATAGCTCCAACCTTACTAATTCAACGTTTCGCAATAAGCAAGTAATTGATTAATTGCATAGATCCTATATCGGGTGCTTCTTTAGATTGAAGGTGAGAGATTGCCAACAAACCAATGATTGCCAACAAACCTCTATTTCAATAGGTTATCTGTGACAAGGGATGGATCGTAATTCAGCGAAGGGGAACTCCAACTCCGGCAGGGGAGGAAAGAATCAAGTTCGACAAAAATTGGCATGCTTATGAACACGGTTTTGGGAGCCTTGATTCAGACTTTTGGCTAGGTTAACCTGCTAAACCAGTTCAACTGTGCACATTGTGTAAAATTATGAAAAGTCCCCTTGAATCCTAGTACAGGCCTGAAAACGATCCATGAGCTCACGCACGATGGATATGAAGAATTACGGGTGGATCTCGAAGACTGGGAAGGGGAAGAGAGGTATGCGATGTACGCCAACTTCAAAGTTGCTGACGCAGGAAATAAGTACCGCTTAGAAGTTGCCGGTTACACTGGGAATGCAGGTGATTAATTTAAAACGCTCAGATTACTTTAAATTTTTGGAATTGCGCAACAACACAACAGAATTTAGCTTAAGGCAGTGCCCAGTGAAATGTTAAACGCAAGGATTTTGCGCCATCTTCGTAAAATTCATCACCTCTGAAATGAAATCAGCAATATTTTCAAAACTGTCCTGCTTTGTGTATTTTTCAGGAGATTCATTAAGTTACAATAGTGGGGCCCAATTCGAGACGATCGGACGCTATGGCTGTGCCTCATTGTTCCACGGTGGATGGTGGTATAAGGGTTGCACTCAAGTGCGTCATTGCGTTAGTATCTATTACGCCTGCGGCTATTGCTTTACTAAATTTTATTTCTTACTCTGCGTAGGCCCACCTGAATTCTATATATAATAATTCGAGCCCCATGGAGGAACCTCAGGTAGGACTGTTCTGGTCCCATTGGAGGGGCAGGGGCTATTCGTTAAAAAAAGTTGCAATGAAGATTCGCAAGCCGTCCCGAATTATCTAATCATAAGTCATTCCGACCGGGTTATAAATCACCTAACAACGCATCCATATGTTCTAGATAAGCATCCCACGTTAACAAATTCTAATCCGAACCATTTTGTCCAAAATCTAAAATTCTTCGCGTTGCCTATTCTCCCATTATAGTTTGCAAAATTGCTTACAATAAAAATTATTTACCGTGATTTTTCGCCATTAAACCTTTGGTCAAAATCTAATCTCAAAATTCTATAACAATTCCAAAAACAGGCCGTAACTATTTTGACTTACTTGTATGTAGGCCAAAATATTATTGAACTATGTACATATATACATATATTTACAAGTCAGCATGGATAAGCGTCTATCTAAAATATTTTAGTTAATTGTGTATTGGCATTAGTAATTTCAATCCTGGTATCAATGCGTGATGTGTATAATTATAGTAAAATTTGCAAAATAAATCTGAATCGTGCATGATAAGTATTTGAATTGTAAATGTGCAATTGGGAGGTTCCTAATAGGGAATCAGTGATTTTAATTTATTGCCGATTATAATTGTCAAATTGTAAACGAGTCACAAAATATTTATCACTTTTATTATAATTGTCCATATTGTTAGTGCCGTAAAACTGGCATTTTTTTGACGAATAGTAACGATAATTATCAATTTAAGTATAACAGTCTATGCTTAATTCCGGAGGAAAATTAAAGTGGGTTAGAAAACTTGTGGTTTTTCAAATGCTTTGTTTGACCACTCAGCACTTATCCAGAGGCTGCGGAAAGGTTCGGGAAAGTATGGACGGCACGTTTATAAATTATGTACCGCAAACATAGGTCATTTTTCCAAGATGCCCTCGTTAATTTATCGTCTATAAATATGGAAACATAAATCTGAAAGTTCAAAAATCCGGGATTACTTGTTCAAGGTTTGGGCAAAATGATGGACATTCTTCTACCAAGTATATTTTCACCTCAGGGAATACAGAATTGTGTTTTTATTATGTGCTACAACCAATTTAGCCAGTGATTTTCACGGTTTAAAGATCTTAAACGATTTACAAAGACATGCGAAGTCGATCAACTTCACACGTGTATCCGGTGTGGAGCACGATATTATCAAATTTCTTTTTTTCCGTTCATTTCCGTTCTTTATTTATATGCTGTGAGTAAAGTAACACGAATCACAATTTACGATATCCTATAAACCATTTTCATGATTGCAAACCAATGAATGCATGTTAGTTCTCGATATTGCCAAGCTCGCAGTGGCGATAAGAATAATTGCATATTTAAATATTAGTACAAATCAGTTTAATTAGGCATGGAAAACTCGTGGCAATAAATGAATGGACCATCCGTATTTATACGAACGGTCGAATACATTTACTTGGCAAATAACTAATCTAGTCCGGAAATTGTGTACCCGTGGCATGAATTAATCGATAACCGAAAATTCTGGTTTAGTGTCAGGCTCGAGAGCGGATACAGTTTTTCTCATGTTTTATTCTATTCTAGAATTTATCAGCCCTGTTTTCCACGTCTGCATAATCGTAATCAACAGTTCCTGCAACACAGAACAGATTTTGCACTCAGCAATAAAAACCTTTCAACTCGGACAAACATGCTAAATCGTAGTATCATCGAAATTCTTCAATTTGCCTTTATAGCTGTCATTTCCGCTTTAAAATTGTCCATAACCTCACCAAGAATAGGGTGTACCTGGAGGTATGAATTCCATTTTCACGCACAGCGAGCCTACTTCCGGTTGATTTAATCTGGACGAATTATTTTTTCACAGTGCCACACCCAGATTTCCAGTCATACTCTATACTTTTCAAGGAACGACGTTACATGAACTTGACATGTCGGCCTCAATTTCTGGACGATCGGATCAATGCAAGGTTCACGTTGTGCTGGTGCAGCATTCTTCTGTACTTTATTTTCCCAGGGTATCTGGAGAGGATAATGCCGAAACATTGGTATACATTGTACCTTATAATTGGCCTATTCCCAGTTTAATTCTGCAAGAATGTGTTTGGTTACTTGATAATTTTCGAGACAGTTTTGTGCTATATGTTAGCTACGATATGGACAAGGTAACGCGGCAAAGAGCGTTTCAACGGCGGCCCACACAAGTCGTGGAATATTACCCGGCAAAGGGTGCGTAAATCATGACTTGATTATTTTTTTAAATTAAGCTGTCCCAGCGCATTCTCTGCGATTTTAATTAAACTAGATAACACACTTCATTACCACAAAATTTTACCATCCCAATCCTTTGAGTTTTTGCATCGGGAGAGGAGAAAACGGGCTTTAAATTTTAAACTTTCCAAAACCGCTCGTATCCGGTACTTCGGATGCAAATTTTTCATTGAGAGATCGTCCTTATCTTTGACAAATGTCATCTTAATCAAATTTGTGCTGGATCGACTCTGCTAATCTGATATCTTATCTGCTTATCTACTTATCTTATCTGCTTAAAACATATCTAATAGTGCATGCTCTCAAATTTCTTTTTTCTTGAAATTTTTTTCACAGGATTTCGTCAACCCTACTGAGATTTTAAACTCTCCCCCGTTTGGGTTTTTGAGCCGGACTTGGGACCCCGTAAACAATACCTCACGGACCGGATTTATCCCTCAAAACTCCCAAAACTCTACGCCTTATTGACCTTAATCGTTCCACGATTCCTTCTTGTCCTCCACCTCCAATAGCATCTTAACTTTACGCCCTATTCGTATTAGTTTATGAGCTCGCCAAGAAGGAAAATTAGGCCGGTGGAGGTGTCAAGCTTCCCACGTGTCGTCGATTTAAATAATTGATTTTATTAATATTTGACCTCGTAATTTTATGAATATTGACTCATGATAATATAAAAATATTTGTATGTATTTGTCATGATATGAAAATGATGATTTTGTATTGTGTGAGACTGGACTCGAGTAGGGAAATTTAAGTTGGGTGCCAGTCAGACTGGATTAATTGAAGTTTGACCACGACTTATCTCTATTTCTTGTCCTCCCTTGAACCTTTTTCTGAATTTTGTGAACCTTCGTCACCTCTCCTCTCATTTGTCGAAGATAGTGATTGCCCTCCTTCCGCGTGGGTAAAGTTTGACATCCATTGGTCGTGGATGAAGTGTATGTAATTTAGTGGCAGTGATTTTGCCAAATATATTTGTGAACCTTTGTGAAAATTAATCAGTGCGACTCATCAAGCCAGAGGAGGAACACGTACCCTCTAAGTCCCTCGTCACTCACTCATTTACCTTTTGTACCTCTCTCTCTAAGTTTTGTAGAAATTAATTGTGTGACAATAAATGAACCATCACAAGTAACTACTAAAGGCGATTGGAGATTATATGAGCACCTAAAGTATTACCTTAAATACGATGACTGTGGATATCCTTAATTTGTTCGATGTGTTCTCCATGCACCTGAGCAACAGTCCGACAACGTTTTTTCCACGCCGAAAATACCCCTTGACACATTTCAGGGGTGATTTTCCTCCACTCCGCCTTCAGAAGTTCCCAGAACCCATCCATTGTGGTTGGCCGCTTGCTAAACATTTTTTGTTTCAGATGACCAAATCCGAAAAAGTCCATAGGAGATATATCGGGTGACTTGACCGGGATTAGGGTATTTTTGATGATTTTTGTGCCTCTTCTGGCCTCAAGGTCTTCTGCGTATTGTTGTGTAAAGGTGGCGGTATGCGATGACGCTTTGTCGTGATGAACAAAAACTTTATCGTAATCTGTGGGATACAGTTTTGGCAATTCTTTTTCCAACAGTGGTTTTAGGACATCGCTCACATATCTGGCAGAATTTATCTTTGGGTTTGGGGGGACTTTGATTAAGTCGAGGACCCCACGACCTGTTATAGCGCCCACCACCATAATCTTGTCACCAAACTTTTCTCTCTTTGGGCATACATACTTCTCAACATCTTCCCGATGTTCTGTGTAGCAGATTTTCCTATCCCCTTTACAGTCTTGGAGATAAAACCATGCCTCATCCAATGTGACAACAAATTCGGATTTTCCACCTGCCAAGTGGTCCTCATACAGGCGCCTAGAGTTGGTGGTCCGATTTGCCTTGTGGGAGTCTTCGAGGACATGAATAGACCGCTTCCGGTGGATTTTTTTGTGCAACTTTGTTTTTATTATGTGGCTGATATGTCCTTGTGACAAGTTGACGGCTTTTGCAATAGTTCGTTGGCCGGGTGGGTTCTCTTTAGAGGTTAAGCGATCAATCTTCTTGATTACCGTTTTTGAGGCTTTTACTGGAGGATAGTTATTTGGAGGTATGGGAAGTCCAGCGTTCTTTGCTTCTCTTCTAATTCCTACGCCATGTATTATGTTATGAATTGCACCCGTCGATAACTTTATTTCACTGCATTGTAAACGTTTTTGGATGTCTCGTTCAGAGGAACCACTCTTGGAAAGTACTAAAACTGACCTCTCCACTTCTGGATTTATTTTAGGACCCATGGTTGGACATAATTTTTTGAAATTTTTAATTTGTCAAGCTGAAACGTTTAGTAACGTGTGCTCAAAAATTCAAAATGCTCAGAACCGCGGTTTTCGAATACTGGGCGGGGCAATCTGCTCATATAATGTCCAATCGCCTTTTGTATTTTGTGACCACCACGCCACATTATTACACGACGGTCACATTACGCCACCAGTTACATCACACAAACACACACACATACAGTCGCCCTATTTTCTACACCACGATTTACACACCAAAAATGTTCTCCTACGGTTTGGACTGGCCACCCGAACCAGTAATATGATTCATATTATATGAATCCCTTAATTACCACCTACCTAAAAATTAGGGAGGAAGCCTTACATACTTTATATTGTGAAAACGACCCCGATCCTTCCACTCCGTCGGCCTTTTCGGTCATGTTATTCCGCGCGTTTACCTCTTCGACGTGGATTGGCCTCCTTGTTACACCTTTTTGTTGCGCACTCACGGCAAAATTAATCTCTCAGAGGGACAATTAATTGTGTAAAAATATGTTCAAAGGTCAAAGTTGAAAAATTGACAATTTTTCCCTTCGAGCTTAATGGAAATGGAGTTTGCTTCGTCCGCTTGGTAAGAATCTTCCATTTTGTAAACTTTGACCTCAAATGTTTTGATAAATCCCAGCCATCGCACAAACTGCCTCAATATACGTTGGTTGTATTGACTTGGACCACTTAATTTTAAAATTTCAACCAAATCGGAGAGTTGCACTTCACACCCTCGCATTGTAAGTAAACTATCTATTAAATCCTGGGTAAACTTTGCTCTGGATCAAGATAACGTTACTATGGATTTAGTCTACTCAATTTAGAATTGAAAGTTTGATTACTTTTCAAAAGTGTAGCAGTGTCGAATCCAGATGACTCGTTCATAAATTTTCTGTTCATCTTTGGATTTAGACGCTTTTCAACTTTTTGATGTCGCCATCGTTAAAACGAAGCAAGGTTGTATACAGGACAGGATTGAACGAACAATATTTTACAGAAAGAGAGGGATCCAGAAAAATTGTCTCCTTGTCAAGGAACCCATTGTACAGAATGAACCTAGCATTTGGACTTCTAAGCGGGATCGGGCCGGCGGATTTATGAGGAAGAAGACAAATCAAATGTTGGAACATGGGTTGAGCGCATTGTGGTATGATTCCCATGAGAGGGAAACACTGACGCGGCCAATTTTGAAAAAGGCGGTCTTCTTAGCTATCAACTATGAGGTTCTGGGAATACGAAAAGTAGCCTTTGCGTGACGGGGACGGGGAGTATTTTGATCTTTGGCTGTATTGGGTTTTTACTCATTGAGGAGGTTCGCCATTGGTGGGTTTGCAAAAAAGTTGGGATGTTGGAAATAAATAGGCCGGCTGCGGAAGCGGAAACGGGGGGGGGGGGGGCTTTGATAGAGAAAAATCCAACCGAGGTTTTTGTAATTTTTTGGGTTTCATAAGATTTAGGCCAGGTTGACACAAACATTTTCAAATTAACTCTGTAGCCCACAGCCAGCATATGAATAATAATAGTGAATAATAATCTCTCTCAGCATATAAATAAATGAATAATATTCAATTATTTTTGTAAAATAAACTAAAATTGTTTACAATCTCCTTTTCTGTCGAATATCTAAGATATGAATACATATTTCTTGCGTTGCACCTGCGCATTTTCACTCTTTGAAGTCCAATATTAAAATAACACCTAACGGTATTAATACACGACACTATCAAAGTGGTATTTACGTATATGTACGTAATACACTGTTTGCTGTCCGGTATAATTTTACTTAATACCAAACCGATCGAAACTTTATTACCAAAAAATCAGCACTTGCATGTCTGTAACAGATTTCTGGTAAAGTACGTATTACCAAATGTATACCAACGTTATTTCTGGGAGGTTAGGTTTTAGGAATTCGTAGCCTGAGCTTAAATATATCCGTAATAAATACAAAGGATGAATTTAAAACGTCAAGGAGCGGAGTACACTTGCCACCAAAATTGCAGTTAGGTAATTGGCTGGAAATTTTGATGGCGCTAAAACCCATATATTTTCGAAACACGAAAATCAATGCTTTAAGCAGGCGTAAATAAAATTTTAGCACTAAAATAGCACTGAATATTCGAGTTGAGATATAATCAACAAATACGAAATTTATTAATATATGTACATACTCTTACAAATAATGTTACCGTCTTTAAGATAATGCATTAAAATGACATTTGCGTGAAAGATAAATACGTCATTAAACTCTGTTAGAAATCTGGTATGGCCATCTGGGTATTGAATTCTCAATATTAAAATTAGCCCGGCTTGGTATTAAAATTGGCACCGTTTCGTACTAAAATTATACGGGTTCGTAAAAACTTGCTGTTGATATGGCAGAACTTTAGTTCTGAGCTATTTCTATACGGTATTATTTATGAATACCATTTTGGTGGAGTTATATATGAACGCAGCTGGTGGTTAAAATAGTGGTCATGTGAACCTTGGACCTCCAGATGGTCAGAAAGCGATTCTAGAAATATCCAAATTTTGTGAAATATCATCAATATATCTGCGCGGGAAGACTTGTTTAATAAAATTTAATTAAGCGAATCAATTAAACGCGCATGATTTATTTATTAACGTATTTATACAAGCAAATTTTTAATGACAAACGATTGAAAAAGAAATATTCTCCCTTTAGGCAAGTATTTAATAAGTAATGCTTAAAACTCTTAAATGTTTATAATGGAGGTGCTACTTACCTATATCGTGCATTATTTTGGTACCTTAGACAATTAAAATCGAAAAAGCACGTGAGATAAAAACATTATTTCACATAATTAATCCCATATTTATCAAAAATGCCTGTCTTCTTTGCCATGGTCAAGTCGTTACGGAGTATGTCCCACGAGGGCATTATCTTGGACGGGTAGATGTCAGGAATAAATCTGGCCAACTTTTTGCTCCATGCAACATCTTTCTTTCCCGAAAGGAAGGCTACATAGGAAGCTGGTGGTTCTTCGACAACGGTTACATGGTCTCTCTCATACTCAATCACTTGGTTGATAACTTCCTTCATTGGGGAATTGTCCTTCAAGTGTACCGCCCGTCTGAGAAATTCATCTGGTTCCAGCACATCAACATTCACTCCTAGTTCTTTGGCTAATTCGTCAAATTCACGTTCATCACCTACACATAGAAAAGTTAAATGCATGACTCCTTTAAATTGTTTAGCTAAAAACTAAAACCTGTGACTTATAAATTAAATCGTACGTCGCAATTATACGAAATATTATACCTACTTACCTAACTCTGGGTTAATTACGTTGTACATTTCATACGGTGCGTCCTCCATAAAGAACAACCTTAGCGAGTATTCTGCGCAAAGATCGACCGGCATCATGCATAGCGGGACGTTAACGGCAGCCATAACTTCTAGTTGCATATAGGTTAAGAAGCGCATAATTTGAAAGCTTTCAAGTGGTACATTTCCACCGATTTGACTGTCCCCTCCAATATTGGGCATCCTAAACACTTTACAAGGAACACCACGATTAACCGCTTGTTCAGCTAGGTTGTCGGCAATCAATTTAGAAATTATGTAGGCAGAGTCGGGAAATTGGTCAATTTGATTCAAACTAGGCCAAGTTTCCTTATAAATTTCGTCTTTATCCAGTTCTTGCTCCGTTGCTATGGTTGAGCCCTGGTAGATATATTTCAGCCTATTCGACACAGCAAATTCGAGCACGAATTTGAAGCCCTGCACGTTGACCATTCTACTGCTATGCAGGCTTTTAGTGTCATTGTATGTTTCTGGTTGCGCCGGACTAACTGCTAAATTAAACACAGCTTCAACTTCACTCGAGATTTTTGAATATGTGGTGGGATTCATGCCCATTAATTCTTTTCCAACGTCGCCAGGTATTGTTTCTACCCAGTTTTCCAGCTCTTGGCGAGAAAGTAGATTTTTCTCTTCTAAATATCGATAGAAGCGATCATCAGTCGAGAGTAGAGAGTTGGGTCTCATCAGACAATAGACTTTTTGAATCGATGGATACTGATGCCGTAAGTCGCGTAATATGTAGGGGCCAAGGGTTCCTGTTGCGCCAGTTATCAAAACCGTGGCGACTTTGGTTATTGGGCACAGTGTCAATGCAAGATCGCTATCTACTTGAATATTGTCTGGCAACGTTGCATCATTATACACCAAGTCTTTTAGCTGATCTCGTGTCAAGATATCCATAGGTTTATTTCCAGAGATAAGATCAACTAAACGAGTGGATAATTCTGCAACCGTTTTACAGTCTTTCACGGAACTAATTGAGATTTTGACTCGTTTTCCCACCGATGATTGCAATCCGTTCTTCATCTCAATCATCATCAAAGAATCCAAACCGAGATCTTGGAAGTTTGCGTGATCATCAATTTTTTCGCTTTCGTTCAATTTTAATGTAATCCGTATAATCTGTTTGATATATTTTGACAAAATGTCCATGCGTTCAGCCACCCCAGTTGCTAAATCATACTCTATCCAAAATTGTTCACCGTCAATTTGAAGAACGGATGCTTCTGATGAGTCCATAATATTTGACAATAAACCTCTGGCAGAAGCCAAAACCTTTTTAGCGGAACCCATATCTCCCTCGTATGGGATAATTTGAGTTTTGTGAGATTTCATTGCATCCTCCAATGCTGCGATCCCTTGATGAACTGTAAATGGTTTGATGAACGCATGTTTTGTATCTGCAGCCATTCCAACAGTACCCCATTGTCCCCAGTTGATGGTCAAGCCTGGTAATCCCAGACAATTTCTATAATTGATCAGTGAATCTAGATAGTAATTGGCTGATGCATAGTTGCATTGTCCCGGCGCAGCTAGGGTTGCAGTTATTGAAGAAAAAACTACAAAGTGTTCCAAAGGGAATTTCAGTTGCAAGCTTGCCATATGTAGATTCCAGCCACCTCTAACTTTTGCTTTGTACACGTTCTCGAATGTTTCCCAAGTTTGACTCTCTAATAGTCCATCATCCAAGACCCCAGCAGCATGAATTATTCCCCGGATTGGATAATTTCCGGGTACTTCCCTTATTAGCACTTGCAGTTGCTCAAAATCACTGACATCACATTGTCGGACGGTAATGGTTATTCCATCTTGACGTAAGTTGTTTAGGGAGTGGCTTACTTCCGGGGTAGGCGAACTGCGGCCAATCAGAATAAGTTTTTTAGCCCCGGAATTTAGCATCCATTTCGCTACTTCCAGCCCAATTCCCCCCAATCCACCAGTAATTAGATAAGTGGCCTCGTCGTAAAACATCTTGTACGATGGTATACCGTTCTTGTTCAGTTCTGGCATAGTTATTACAACCTTTCCAACATGTTTCACGTTCTCAACGTATTCCAAAGCCTCTTTAATACGAGATGATTCGAAGCAAGTATAGGGAAGTGGTAATGGGCACCGCTTGTCTCCGAGTCCACCAGTGAACTGTGTTCTTAAATCATCTGTAATGGGTCTTAGATCGCTCAAGGGAAGTGCAGAAACATCGATAATTTCATATCTTATGTCTTCTCTTAGTTCTTGAACTTCTCGCTTGCTCCAGATATTTATTTTGCTCATTTCAATAAATGTGGCACCATGGTCGCAAACAGATAACGTGGCTTCTTTAAATCCAGTTCCAGTCAATGAATTAAGAACAACGCTAACCCCTCGTCCATGAAGTGAAGCTCTGATGTCATACTGATATTCAGTCGTTCTTGAATTAAACACATATTTCAGTCCTAATGTTTTTAGGTAGTTTCGTTTTCTTTCACTTCCAGCAGTCACAATAATCGTGCACCCTATCTGCTGGGCCAGCTGAATAGCAATGAGGCCCACCCCGCCTGATGCTGTATGGATAAGTAAAATATCTTCTTTCGACGTCTTGTACAGATATGAGAGTGCATATAAAACAGTTAGTGCTGACAATGGGAAAGTTGATGCATCATTATAGGTCATAAAATCTGGTATTGGGAGGACAAACTCTTCCAGGGCGTTAAAATGGCTTGGAAGGGGATCTCCTGTTCGGCGAAGCACAGTAACACGGTCTCCAACCTTTGAGGTTTTGCACCCAGGCCCCACTTTTGTAATAACTCCAGCAATATCTATACCCAACTGGTTAATTGAATCGAAAGCAGGATCTGGTTTTGTTACCATTAAGACATCCAAGAAGTTAATTGAGTAGGATTTGATTTCCACTTCGACCTGTCCTTCAGTAAGTGGTTCAGTTTTTAATGCAGCAAAATGAAGGTCGGCTATGTCAAATGTTGGTGGAATAACTAGCTTAGTTTTATCTGTACGAGGTATCTCGATTGACGTATTTTTCACTTTGTAGTTAACTAAGCGAGGAACGCAACGTTTTCCTCTCCTGTAGGCAACCATTGTTTCGGAATCCCAGTGAAACAGCTCAGAGAATATTTCATCCTCAACATTTTCACTATAATCAACATCCACGGCTTTGCATCTGTAGTCGTTGTTTTCATTTCCTAGAACTTGTACCATCGTAACAATTGGGGAGGAGTCAGGTATGCTAGTCATGCAATCATTTGAACTAGTACACATGCATCCGCAAGTGACTGTAATCAATTTTGGAGGATTTGGGATTGAAGTTTCGGCTAAGTGCTTGCATATGTAGAGGAAGGGTTCGCATATCTGCCGGTAGCTTAAACCAGGTTCCATTCCCCACATAAAAATTATTCCAACAATACTATCTGTGTGGGCTGCTATATATTTGCAGATATTGGAGTTTGTGTCTGGTGTAACGTCATCACGAACTATGATAACGCAATTCTGTCCAATATTTAGAAGCCGTTGCTTAATTTTTAAGGTAAGCGAGCCTTCTTCATGATCGCCAAATAAGAGCCAAGTTGGGCCTAAAGACGCTATAATTGGTCCGGAATTTATAACGGAGCAAGCAGTTTTGCTTCCCAATTTTGCCATAATCAATGCGTTAAAACCTCCATAAGTTTCAACTTCAACAATCTCTGAAAATCCTGAAGTTTGTAAAAGGTCCCGCCATCCTTCAAGCGCAAGTTCACAATTCCAAGGGCGACGTGCTAAGTCCTCAAAAATCCAAAATCTATCCAAGCCACCATATGTTAGATTAACTTCTCTGCACGGTTTTACAAGTTCGTCCAAGATTAAGTAACCATGAGGCTTGAGAAGAAGTATTAGATTATTCAGTGATTTCTGTAGATCCTTGCTAGCACGAAGGACCCATGACGCCAAGATGACATCGTATTGTTGTGGAATAAATCCCTGGGATGATGGGTCCTCGTTTATATCCAAGACTGCAAAATTGGGTGAGATTTCGGTACCTTCGAATAATTCTTTACCTTTGTTCAAACACACGGAAGACAGATCTGTATAGGTGTAATCAAAACATGCTACTCCAATGTCAGTAACGTTTTTAATTAATTGAATTGTTCCACTGCCGACCCCACCTTCTCCACTTCCTACTTCTAGAATTCGGACGACTGGTTTTGTTCCAAGTTGCGAAAGATTTCCTAACAGTGCGAAAGTTAATGGATTTAGGGTTTCTCGTTTGGTGGTAAGCAAAGACCTTGTATTGCTAATTTCTTCTAGACCTTCCCCCGGTTTATCCTCAGGCATATCATCCAGTAGATCGAGCAACGAAATTTCACCGGTTAAGATTTTGGCCAGATTGGCCCATACCTTCTTGGCATTCTTAATATCTCCATTGGCCAGTTCGGGATGTGTAGCGAGAACCGTGTCTTCCAGTTTTGAAATTCGTGTACAAATGTATTCCAATTGTTGAGCTTGATGGCATTGTTGCGGTATAAAACAAACCACTTGATCACCAGATCGTTGTCCAACTTGTAATTCAAAATACCCATCATGGACCAATTCCAATAAAATATAACGGAGAAAATTACTAAAGTTTTTAACAACTTTAAGTTTTTCTGTAATATTAGGCCAGCTAAAGGACGTATAATCGTTTATTCCAAGATCAATCAAGGCCTTCAACATGTAGAGACATGTCGATTCTTTCAAACTGTTACAGAAGGATTCTTCGGCTTCCGTAAATTTAGTGCACACCGGCACTGATTCAACAATTCTGCGAAGTGAAATTGTCCCCCGTTCTATATCTGAGATTCGCCTATCCGCTGGTCCCATAGTTTCATTCCAAACACACTCTGCCATCATTGGATACAAACTTCGATGAGAGTCGATCAAAGCCATTATGCTCTGTAGCGAAGCCTGTACAATTTCTAGGCCAATTAAAGAAGCCATGAGTCTACCCGTATCGTCGTACATATGAGCTTCGTTATTATTATTGTTGAGTTTTATCAATATATATCCCGACGATGCAGAGTGATTCCACCAAACAAACTTCTCTATCTGAACGGGAACCAATAGTTTCGTCTTGGTCATTTCATTTCTTCGCCGATAAGCTAATATATAAGATTTTGCTTGAATCAAGGCATCAATAATCCATGGATGAATTATAAAGCGGTCCAAGTCGTCTTGAGTTTCGTAACATTTGAATGGAAATAGATATTCAGAATCATTTTCAGGATGTTTCCATCCTTCACTTGAAACAGTTTGACACGAGGGGCCTAGTCTCAGCTCGCTAGCTTCAAATAGTTCTTTGTAGTCATAATATAGTTTTACTGGCTCGGAAATCATGGACCGAATCTCGGCGAAATTTAATATGTTTGGATCTGCTGGTGATGGATTTGCATCAAATCTGGCCGAGGCGTTTTTAACCCATTTGAATTTTGATTTTTCTAAATGCAGACGAGAATAAATCGTAGATACAACATCACCTTCGTTATTCTTAGAAACAACGACCTAATAAAATAAATAAATTAAAAAATTAGTGATTGTCTAATCCTTGCTATCGCAGGGTTAAAGTATTGATCATCACTTGCTGTCATGCATACCTGAAAATCTGTTCCTTGTGATTCACTTAAGCAAACTGGAGTCGATATCTCAAAATTAGTAACTGCAATGGGACAGGTTGGCCTTATGTACGCCCCTTCTTCACATTTAACGTCCGCGAAGCCTGCAGTCATGCACATGTCGACATATCCCGCACATGGAAAGATAATCTTGTCTATAATCACATGGTCCCTCAAAAATGGCAAGCGTTGGACGTTCACATTAGATTCAAAAATCGTATTTTCTGAGGGGTTTGGAAAGTATGACCCAAGGAGAGGATGGAAGGGATAGGACCCTTTATCTTGGAGTGTCATCCAATGCGATTTCTCCTCGAATACATACCCCGGCAAGTCTATCTTTTTTGCCGCAGAAAAACGGTGAAAATTCTCCCAATTTACCCATGTGCCTAAGGAATAAAGTTGGGCAAAGGATGATAGGATTGTGGACCAATCAGGTGCATTCTTGCGAATTGATGGTAGGACCCTCAGTTCACTTGTTAACTATGGCAATTTCAAAATCTCATTACTTTTATAAGTGTGCTTACATTTTTGGTGATATCGACATTAAATTGAAATTTACCTCGTCTCCGTTAATCAGAACAAGTGGACATAGCACAGGGTGTGGTCCAAGTTCAAGGAATAAATTGTAACCCTCGTTTATGGCGTGTTGTGTGGCGTCTAGGAAATTAACTCGTTCCCTCGTGTGCCTCAATAAGTAGTTGACATCAATAATAGAAATGGGTTTTCCTTCGACCGCGGAAATGTAGGTAATTTGGGATGGCTGAAATTCCACTCCCGCAGCAACCTCCTCGTATTTTTTCAACATTCCATCCATGTGCCTAGAGTGGAATGCGTGTTGTGAATCTAATTTGTGGGTCACTACCCCGTTATTAACACAAAATTCTCTGAAGCCATCAATGAGTTTGGTGTCTCCAGCAACAACAGTTTGGCCGATTGAGTTTACAGCAGCAATATCCAGACAGTGAGTTCCATCCTTCTGCATTCCTGCCTTTTCAAGATATGACAAAACACTGTGCAAGCTAGTCGCAACAACCAACATTGACGACGATGGTAGGACATCGATAAGCTTGGATCTTGTTACAACCAATTTCAAGGCATCTTCCACAGTAAGCATTCCGGCAGCCACCATGGCAGCAAACTCGCCTAAGCTGTGGCCAAGGACAGCATCAGGTGTAATACCCCAAGACTGCCAAACCCGAAGGAGACAAATTTCTATGCAGAATATTGAAGTCTGACTTGCCGTAGTTGATTTCAAATTGAAATCGTCACCGTCTGAATTCCATAAGCTTTGCTTGATCGAGAATCCATATTTATGGATAAGAATAGCTTCGACACTGTCAAAGTTTGACCTGAATATGACGCTGGTGTCATATAGCTGTCTCCCCATTAAAATGTATTGCGAGCCCTGCCCAGTGAATAGGAAGCACTTTTTGATAACTTTCGAAGAAGGACTTGCAGCTTTAAAACTTTTCATGGCATCAATAAGTTCTGCTTTGGTAGATCCTAAGGCCACTTGTCGTAAGGGAAAATGTGATCGGCCAATGTGCATGGAATATTCGATATCATTCAGATTAGAATTGCAGTCATTAAGGTATGTTGAATATGCACGTATCTGCTCTGTCAACGAGGTCTCCGTTTTTGCTGAAAAGGTTAGCATCCTAAGCTCTCTGGTGTCCCTTAGATCCTGGAAATCGTTGCAATGTATTTCAGGTGGTTCCTGAACAATGACGTGTGCCTGAGCTCCTGTGAATCCAAAGGAGTTAACACCAGCAATGCGCGGGGTTGAGTTACCCCCACTAGGCCACGGAACGTTTTCGATCGGGATAATTGCCGGAATGGATGCAATATCAATATCGGGATGAAGATCTTTAAGGTGTAGGTGCTTTGGTATGAGATTGTATTTCATTGACAACACGGTTTTCTGAATGCTGGCTATACCGCACACAGATTCAGTATGCCCGATATTTGTTTTAACGGATCCTATGATTAGTGGGTCATCCACATTCCTTCCACCATATACTTGAGCAATTGCAGCAACCTCTATCGGATCACCAACGGGGGTACCGGTGCCATGAGTTTCTACAAATTTGATATCATTTGGGTCTACTCCAGCCCTGTCGAGAGCAAGCTGCATGGCTTTGGCCTCAACCGCGACTGTAGGCCTCCCCATGCTTCGTGATGATCCCTCTTGTACAATTGCGGATCCACGAATCAGTCCCCAAATCCGATCGCCAGCAGAAATTGCGTCAGGAAATCTTTTCAGGATTAGAGCCCCTACTCCTTCCGAACGTCCGAATCCGTTTGCCGTGGAATCAAATGTTTTGCATCTTCCATCCGGAGAAAGAATTCCTTCCATAGCTCCATCAGCTGGAGGGAATGGGTGGAGGAGTAGATTCACTCCCACCGCAATTGCATAATCACAATTCTCGTTTTTCAAACTATCGCAAGCCATATCAACACCAGCAATTGAGGTAGAACAGGCACTCTCAGTCGAAAGGGCGGGGCCAATCAGATCAAAAAAGTGTGAAATCCTTGCAGTCAATGGTCCGAGAGCGTTACCCATGTACACACGCAAAAAATCGGTGCCATTAATTCCTTGAAAATGTAACATTTCCTTAAAATCTGTTCTCCACCACCCTCCAAATACTCCCGTGAGTGTGTTCCTTAACTTAGCTGGATCAATGCAAGCATTCTCCAATGCCTCCCATACAACTTTGAGTGCCAGACGTTGCTGAGGGTCAAGGTATCCCAAGTCGGATTGATTTGTGGTGAAGAATTTTGCGTCAAATTTATCAACCGGGCAGGAAAGGAATCCAGCTTCCGTTTTACGGACATCATCCATCATGATGACGGCATTTTCATTTGTCCATCTCCACTCTGGAACACGCGACATTCCGTCCCTCCCATTTTCAAGTAGCGACCAAAACTCGTCCATATTATTCGCTCCCGGGTATCGACCCGCCATGCCTACGATTGCAATAGAGTCATTCAACAATGACGTCGACAACTGATGGTTTTTGTTTGAAAGAGGTTCTCGCTGGTAACGAAAAATTATATTTACTAGGTTTTGTTCATGAGGTGCAGATATAAAATGATTCACTTACAAGTGTGCCATAAGAAGTGGAAGAAAGTACGAGTGAATTCCAGTATTCGGTTAGCTCGCTTTGGAAACTTTCCTTTGTCTTGCACGTTGTCCCCATTGGGTGGCCAGAATTTGGAAACCATGCCATCTTTACATCGTCGCCACCACAAGGTTGCGGATATGCGCTGAGCGTATAAAATACAAGAAATGTATCTTATGAAATACATTTTATTGAATACATCATTTTGTTAAACACGCTGTAATATGTTTAAAATACAAACCTAGAAACATCAGACTCAATGCAGTAGATAAGTCTCCCGTAAATTTCCTCCAGTTCAATAATAGATTTTTTTGCAAAGTTTTTATCATTTTCAATCTCAACTATCATGTTCGTCATATTGCCATGACCAGTCTTGTTGCCAAATTTTGAGTCGATAACTATAGCCGCATACGGAGCGCGATTAGCATTGACCCACTGGACCCCATTCTGTCGGAATATGGAGTCACAGTTTTTCAACACAAGACAGTTGCAGTCCAGAAACACGCTGCATTTCAGTTGAGGAATTTGTTGAGCGTGAAGTTTTGCTAACGAGCGGAATTCCAAATTTTTTCCATCCTCACTTCTCCTTTCTGAGCTGATACGACGGCAACATTGAAATTCGGATTCCAATAACTCCCTAAATTCAAATAAATATTGCTCTTGCTAATAAGTATTTGCACATTTATTGATTTATAAATTAATTTTACTTAATAACAAAAAAGTGCATAAGAAAAGTCGAAAATCTTTTTCAGTTTAACTTTGTTATAACTTTGCGTAATCGTTATATTTAGATTTTTGGGATTAGTTGTTCCATACATTTTAGGGTTCTAATCTTCATAAGGCGTACCATCCAAACAAAAATTTCAACGATATTCCTGCAGAGAATTTACCCCATATCCTGCAGAAAATTTGCCAAACTCTCTGCGGGAAAAGTTTATGCAGAACGACTCCTGCAAAACTGTGCCGAATTATGCACATTGGTGCGATTCTGCAGAAAAAACGACAGAAATTTCCTGCAGGATTATGTACCAAAAAGTGCGCAAATGCAATATGCATAGAGATTTCTGCAGAACTCGACAGTGTTTTCTACTCGGGGAGTAACTCACAATAATTGTAAATTTGTCTTTAAGGCAACATTTTTCAACTAATAATAGCCGACATGGAAATCAATCCCTAGTTTATTGTAAGACAATAAACCTTGACATATCAGTAGCAAGAGTTTAATATATAGATATTCACAACTAATACAAGCATTTCTAAAAATCTACACAAATTCGTAATATCGGATAACAACTTACCCCATCGCCTTCGAAACACGGTCAGACACAATTACCCCAAGCGATCTCGTGGTCAGAGTTTGCTTGAGCGAGCGTCCCAGGCCGATACACTTCATGGCCTCGGTGTCGTCCCCGGCATACGTGACCCACATCTGACTCCCTACAAAGCAATAATGGAAAAGTTAACAACTATCAAGTTTCGCAACATACAAAATTTCAATAAAAATGATAAATACTTTATGATTTAATTAGACAAGTGGAATATTCAAATACTAAGAACAAATCATGACCTGATCACAATCAGATATTCCTAAATGATAAATGATGATGAATTATTATTCGTAAATGCTAAACTACTGATAATCTTTTCTATTTTTAATTTGAAGAAAATTAAGAGCCATCTAGAAGAATAAATTCGAGCAATAATTTTCGAGTTAATTATAATTAATGATTCCTAAACAATTAATTATTATTTATAAATCGTGTTTTTAGTCTAATTTAATTTTTATTGTTTTATAATTTCTCTAATATCTAATTTAATTTCAAGAAATGTCAGCCCAGTCAAACCGAATACATACTAGGAATAATTTGTGAAATGAAATTTTTGTTAAAAAAATACATCCCTGATTAATCTCATTTTAAAATTTTTTTATTCACAAAAATAATAAAATTATACAAAGTAAATGGAAATAATCGAATCTTAACCACCAACAACTCACCTATATCTCCACCCATTTCAAAGACGCAAAGTAGTATTTAGATTTCCAGGAAACGTTAAAAATTTCACAAACCCACAAATTTTTTCTTGAAGCAAATTCTCAAAATATGTTTACTTTGAAGTTGTTAATTAACGACTGACCTATAATAATAATCCTCTGGAGATTAAGTATGCATCATTCAGTTTAAAATACACTCTCAAAAATAATGTTGCCCTTTTCAAAAGAACGCACTATGAATTTCACATTAAGTAAACTATACTAAATCCAGAGGAACATTAACTTGATATAAAATATAGTTTGCTATATTAATAATAAGTTATCATTTGAATTATTTTTAAGAGTGTACGACTCAAGACATGATTTATGATTGTGATAAATGAAAAGTTGTTTGCTTGGCAGACTATTTACTTGCTTATTAATTGTCATACCCAAGGTTGCACAAAAAAATGTAATATTTCTTACAACTGAAGATTTTATATTTAAAACTACCTGAATCATGAAACATGTGGGTATGTATGTAGATCATGGATCTGGGTTAAATTTGAGTAAACAATGTATAAACCTTGATTTGCTGCACTAGATTACAAACTACATGTCGAATTACTCAACCGATTATTATTATATCCTGTTTGTTTTTTATCCCACTCATCGCATCTCGAAAAGTCACCTCTGTACCTACCCCGAATTTGACGAATGCATTTCATTTCTTGGTTTTTTCCTGGTCGCCAAGGTTACGTGAAGTGCATTCATATCATGGCAAGGCTTGGTCATTAGTTGATCATTCTTGTTCGCACTTGTATAACTAAATCTGATAAAGTAAAAATTCATATTTTTTTAGTTTGTGGATTGAAATGGATTTAGTTCCAAACAATGCGGGTCTATCGGGTGTAAAACTCAGATTTATGTACAAGGGGCCAGTTTAATTTTGTTCACTACAAAAAATAAGCATATCAATATGTTTTAAAAATTCCGGAACTGTTCGAACGCATTCAAATATTCTGACACAAGTTTAAGCAAAATGCTTTACCTGATTTATACAAAACCGACAGAGAATGGTTTTTGTAAATCGAAACAGTTCATCATTTTTATATATTTCAAAAAATGACCAACTCAAATTTCTAAATTATTAGATTTATAATAAATCGGATTTATGTAACAAATTTTTGATTTCGTCCCAAATTTGGCGTTGTAGAATGTCGTTGACCAAAAGTATGGAAGGGAAACGGTTTAAAATTGACGCTGCCGTTCTAATCTGAAAAATAGCAAGTATCTTTATACTAATATGCTTATTAAGTAGCGCAAGCTACTTTATGCGATCGGTTAGTTAGTCTGTCCGTCTGTCTGTCTGTCCGTGAGCACTAAAACTCGAGAACGCATCAAGATAATCGAAATCGGTTTACGGCATCATACACATGACCCCAGGGGGAGGATCCCGTAAACTTTTGGACCACACCCCCTCGGCGTCAGGGGGTGTGGTCGCGGTGTCACAATTTGGGCAAAACATGTTTTTTGGTGTTGTCGACATGCTCCAATATGGCGACTAAGGTCACGACCCAGCATTCTCAGCATTTTTGCGCTACTTATGTATCATGCTTTGCCGCACTTTATTTATTTTTAGAAACAAATTTAGGTTGGCGGATTATACAAAAGTCCGAGGTTTACATGCGAAAGACCTGACGTACCCTCAAATGTGGATCAAATCCTCTTAAATTATGAGGTTAATAGGGTACGTGCATACATATTTATTTACGACTCGTACGGCACGAGCAGAAAATAAAGAAATTTCCGGCAATTCGGGTAGTTTGATAATTAAGCGAAGAAGTGCCTTGTCGATAAGCGATAAAGACCTGGCACAGGATGTAATAATAATCGGTTGAGTAATTCGACACAAAGTTTACATACAATCAGATGTGGAGCTCAAATAAAGGTTTATACACACTTTGTATTTATTTATTGTTTAAGTAAAGTTGGATCTATGTATATGAAAATACTCTTATTCAGGTAGTTCTGTAAAAAATATTACAATTCCAGATTATGCACATAATTGGTGTGATCATTAATTAATATGCAAGTATGGAAGTAGATTTAGCAAAAATTTATTTAAAAGCAGTTTATTAATCTTCATTATAAATCAGAGTTCTGCGTCGTACTTAATTTCAACTAAAGAAAACTTGCAGTTTAATCTCCGAAGAAGAATTATTCCAGGTCAGTTGTTCATTAACACCTTCAAACTAAACACCTTTCCACAATTTTCACAATTCCAGGTAAAATTTGCAGGTCTTCGTAATTTCGATTTATGTTTGATTGGAAATCTAATAGGAGTGAAATTGGACATGGAGTTAGGTAGATTTCATTTTTCTTAAGTATAATTTTCCAATTTTTATTAAACCCTGCATTTAACAATAAAAATTATGTATATTTAAGAAAACGTCTGCAGGATTCCTAACTTTCGGGAATTGTAATCGAATTACAACCGACCTTGTTCAAGCCCGATTAATTTTTGAGCATTTTAGGTTGGTTGAGAACACCAATTTTTAGAAGCAGCATTTTGTGAATTGGGATGTGATACAGATGCGAAAAATTCAGCAAGTTACAAGCTCGATTGTCCAGTACAGGCTTCACCTTACCGAAAAGTGAGCGTTTTCGCGAACTTACGGTACTCACAACGCTCTGAATTTTGCACATCTACCGCACTAAATGTCGTTTCTAAAAGTTGGTATTACAAACTGAGGTTCTAAAAAATTGATCCGGGTTCAACATGGTTTGCTTCCGCATTGTTAGTAAGAATTTATTCAAATTGACTATGCTTATCTAAGGTACAAAGAATACTGCATTTTGCAAATGCTCGATCCCGTTAGATTTACTCCGTATCAATTTTCCAATTTCTTAGGAGCGAGGCAGACATGGCTAGCTTATTCCTGGGATGATAAGAAAGCAGGGTCCGGAAAAATCTAAAGTTTTAATCAAAAGATAACAACCCGCCGATCTTACAATGGAGGTCTCCCAACGTATGCTCTGAGATTTGGACGAAACTGGTGTAAATTGATCACAAACTAAATTAGTGTGAAATTTGCAAATGCAACTATCTGCAAATGCGCAGGTTTGGCGGAGATATTTGAATAAAAAGAGGTGAAAACTCGCAAATTTGTAAAGCAAAATTCGAAAAGTGTAAAATTGATGGCATTTTGGGCGCGTTTTCGCCTCTTTTTATGCAAATATCTCCGCCAAACCTGCGCATTTGCAGATAGTTGCATTTGCAAATTTCACACTAATTTAGTTTGTGATCAATTGACACCAGTTTCGTCCAAATCTGCGAGCATACGTTGGGAGACCTCCATTGTTAGTTAGTGTTAATGGGTTTTGTGTATTGGAATTTATTTGCTTTCAGGTAAAACTGGATGTGGCAACGTTTCCGAAAACTTTAACATATCCGGAATACGTGAGTTGAATTAGCAAACGTCTGTATTGAAACTTAGCCAGTCATTTAATTTGAGGAATAATTTTATTATTAATTTTATGCCAACCTATTTTTCAAAATTTTAGCACAGAAATCACAATTAATCATAAATACGAACAGACATTTTCTCCCGTTAGCCTGCCAAGGTTTCACAGACATTAGAACATGTAAGCCAATGACAAGGGGTTATGATTTTTGAGACTAATTGTCTTTGTGAACACTGCGAATTTTGTTATTCCTAATTTTGTTATTCCTAAAGCATTTATACGAGTGCAACAAGCTTTTAAGGATGACCTTATTATAAATTAAATATAGTATGTATATATTTCATTTAATTAAACAGGTCTCACAGATTTGAGCGTTAATTGGGAAAACAGTCCAACCATTTAACACGACCCGCCGTGTGATAACATCAAATTGCTACATTTAATTGGAAAATGTGACAACCTTCAATATCTCGCTTTTTCTAGGAATTTTTCTTTGTTAATAGTATTACATAAAAATCTTATTTTGTACGTTATAATTTGAAAATTCCCGTGACGTTCCTGTTAGGAACTTCCTGACTGGCTGCCAGCTTAATGGTGCTGCCAATCACGTCACGGGTAAGTTTTTTGAATAATATGGTTATTATTGTGATTATAATTATCATTAGGATCATAATTAGGAGTATCATTATGAGTAGCAACCCTACAAAATTTCTTTAGAAATCTTGAAATTTCTTAACAACATTTAAAAAATAAGAACGTAAATTAAATCTGAAAAGTGAAATATTGAAAAACGTCTGCCCCGAACGAGAATTATCCAGGAAATTGCTTCTTTAGTTCAAACTTCGTTATTACTATTCGTTAAAATTTTTTACCATTTTGTTTAACACAAAAAATCCGATTGTGACTGTATTCATGATCACAAATAACTTAAACTAGTAAAATTGCTAATTTCGCCTTAATTTGAAATTAAGTGTGCTACATAAACACAATGTAAGGAAAACCTGAAAACGATTCAGCCCGAGTTATGCGTCACTAGCATTACCACATATTGGAGAATAATAACAAAGAAATTAATCACATGAACGACAACAATATAAATAAGTTAAGTAATCCCTAATCAAAAACACGTGAACTCTAATATCCGTCATATCAACCCGCACAACCGCCCTTCTACCTTAGCTTGTTCCTTAATAGGTTATAGTTAATAAACCCATGCGAATTTACAATTAGGACCATGGGTAAAGGATTAATTATTTACTCGCTGAAAACATCAATCTCCGATAATTATCTCAAATGAATTAACCTTAGCAAAACCAGTTATTGACATATGTGCACTCTTAGGAATCCAGTATTATACTAATACCAGGTATTATACTAATTATTTTCATATGTGGCTCTACTTAAATAAGTGGAATTGTTAAGTAATAGCGTCTAATAAATAATTTTTGTCGGGTATTAAAGTTTTTCTATACTTGAAATAATTAAGGTCCGGAATAATTTTAATATCAAGCTGTAGCAAGGTTAACACCGAGCAACCTGCCTGACCATACAAGATTTCCAATAGCGTGGTATCAATCAAAATAAGTGTAAACACCAGCATATTCTTCCCAATTGGAAAAAAATAAAAATATGTTATACACTTCTGTCGAAAGTTATTGTAATAATCGAAAAAACTAGATGCTAGATACCGTCAAAACTACTACTTCGTATTTTACAAGGTATTTCATTAAGTTTTTAAGTCTAGACCTTCTCTCAAGGATTACTATGAAACTTAAATGCGAAAGATACGAAGACACAGAGTTCTACTAATATATGATTAAACTGCAGCCGTTACGATTTTGTAGATCATAAAAAATGCCTAAACTAAATAGAGGCCAGGAACCGAATGATTAGTTAGATAAGCACTTACAAACTTCCTGTATTGATTTACCTACCTGAATTTTAGCTTGAATCAAACAAAACCTGAGTAAGGCGCAGTAAAACCCTGGGGTAGAATTAATAAATACACGTACTTACTTATAAGTTATAACCTATAGTAACCGACGCTGCCATTTTATTTGCTTCGACTTTGTTGTAGCCATAATGTAAATGAATAGATCGCATTGTCCTGTCCTTCACTTTGTTGGAATTTCCTCTTGAATCTGTCCGTTCGTCGTAGTCTTACTTTGGCCAGAAATCCAATTTCGCCGCAGTTTGGCATTTAAAAATATGCCAAAAACTAAACTCCGTTCTGTTTGATTTCGACTGCAAATTTGGAAACCATGTCATGACCTAGAAACCCTTTCGAATACAAATGTTTCGTCTCCAAACCCTTTCGCATTCAGCGTACTGCATTCTTATCGTGGGCCACCTCTGCTTTAGCCACTTGACAACAACCAAACAGTTCCAAGGTTTTATTTTCTTATGTATATTCGTAATTATTTTGTGTGGGCATTGGAACTATGAGTTAGACTCAGCCGCCGTGCAGATAATCTACTCAGTAATTACATTTGAGGCAAACATTTTTAAAGGTAAGTACCTGACATACAAATTTAATTTCGAACTGAAAACATAACCATAAGTGTTCCGTGTGAGTACTTATAAAACAATTTCCCAGGCAAACCTGCTATGGATGCGAATAGAGAGACAAAATTGTTGAAGCTGTTCATCCATGCCACCTTCTACACCATTATTGCGTTTATTATGCCCATTCCTGGACTAATATTACTGGACCCTTGCCTACCACCGTTTCTCCTTTCGGTAAGAGATGATTGCAGCTCCATTACCTGGTCCGTTGGAGTTGAACACCTATCCAAATTTGCAGTTGGAACATCTTCTGTGAAACGTGGATGATTACGCAAATCACGATGGGCGAAGTACTAGAAATCATGTACATCATGTTTGCCTCTATTTAAAAAAACTTGTAAAACAAAGTACACAAATTTGCGATTTTTTGGTTTGTCAGAAATATTAGAGAAGCTGATACGATTTCCAGGTTCAAAGCATGTATCAAGCTTTACCAAAGTATACAAATTCTTGAGAAAATGTTCAATGGATTTCTCATGGTTCGTCTCATTCCCGTCTTCATGCTCATGATGCCGACTTTGCAGATTCTTGCACAGTACGTGTCCGTCATGTTGCATAATGATATACCAATGCCAGCCTTTCTGATTTTCCGTCTGGTCGGGGGGAATTCCTCCATTAACAATGTTTTCGTCTTCACGATGGCATCCTGGGTGCATAATGTTTCCACTAAAATCATGCGGGAACAAGTGAACGCAATGGTACGCTGTGGGTGGGGTGGGAGGAGATCAGCCTTGATTAAAGGAGCTAAGGCTTGCACAGTTCTAAAAATTAAATTCGGGTCTAATTTCATCGACAGGGGGACACCGTTGGTAATTCAAAAATTCTGTTTAGACCAAACAATGTCACTAGTTTTGATCGATGAATCATCGATGGAACGCTAATTTTAGCAAATTACAAGCTGCATTTCTCAATATCAAAACTATTCTGATTCCGATATCAGGAAAAACCACGAATTTCGGGTGAAGTTAGGTTACCATTTTAGGTTACCAATTTAATCTCACATATAAAATTCCTTTTCTTGCATTTGTTCACACCTACAGCGTAAAATCCTATGCGCATATTTACCGTTGTAGAGAAATTTGTTCGATTTTATTTAAACTTATTGAAAACAAAATTATCTTACACTAACAAATTTAACCGTAACACGCGAGATGAATTTTTTGGATGGTGCGTGCATAAATATTATAGTTTTCATGACACTATTCATCCTCTCGTATTTCATGGAAGGGTTGCTGATGGAGTTTTGGTACGAGGAGCGTAGGTAATAAATTACAGATTTTTTGGTAATCTTCCCGGTGACATTGTTACTTCTAAATAATTACAATTTTTACATTTGCAGATACTTTGTTATTCCTCCGGATTTCTAGTCCATCAAGGGAAAAATTTGAAAAAGCTGGGGAATAGTCGATACCCACTAATACTTATGCAGTTCATTTAGAATATATATAATAAATAAGCTTAAATAGATACATATTTTAATTTAACCCAAGGCGTAAAATACTCTATAAAAATTAGTTATTTTGTAATAAAGACTTATTCCAAAAGATTAGATTAACTGATATGCACGCTACTGCGTGTATTTGGCTAAAACCCCATTGAAACAGATACGATTTTTTTGACTGACTTATCCCTAAAAATAACTACTCTAAAAAATAATTTGCGAACTTTCGCAGCTTCAGTCCTAGTTTAAGTTAGAAAAATTTGCATTTCTCGACATGTGGCAATGCAAGCATGTATATCTGTAATGAAACATCGAATCATTTTTATGATTCCAGTAAAATATTACAAACAACAGCGAATTTTGAGAATAATTGCAAAAATATATATAATATGCCAATATAATTCAATAGATACATGGGGCAACCATGGACATATAACTTATAACTTAAAATTATGACGAATGACGTAATTTATACGTTATAAGTCATAGAAACGCCATCTGTTGACGTATACTTATAATTATAAGTTAAGTTATAAGTCATAATTTTAAGTTATAAGTTATATGTCCATGGTTGCCCATATATAGTTATATGGTTGCCCCATGTATCTATTACCACTACGTGATGATCCATGTATTCATAAATCGAATCAAGGGTGGAAACTGGGGGACACAAATTCCTTAGAATGGGTGAAATGTTTTTCTACAAAAGCCCCAGTTTTTTTGGTAGAATTACTAAAAACAACAGGTGAGAACTATTTTCCCCTAACAAATATAATGTGTTCTTTATTCTAGAATCTGTATAAAATAAAATACTTATTTATTGAATTGATTCCATATGTACACGTTAAGCAAGAGTGAGCCAAAATTCACTCGCTGTGCAAATTCAAGGTGTGCTAAGGTTATTTTCTCTCTTATTTAGAAGCTGCAAGCGTGTAATAAAGATTTTCTTTAAATTTCATACGTGTAAATCAGTGTTGAAAATATTATTTTCAATTATATTACGTGTCGGCTTCCTACGCGACAAAATATACATATTCCAGCTCTCCTACCGACGGTATTGTCACCAACGACCTCATTTCTTCTGTGTCATCATCAAAAAGGAGATTGAAATGCTAATTAGATTTTACAGCATGCACCGCATACGCAACAGGGATAAATAAATCGTTCCAGTGCCACACGTTAAGGATCGGGTTGTACAAACTGCCTCGAACCTCCCTTATCTCACAGTTGTCTAGAAATAAATATTCAATTCTATTAATTTAAAAACCGAATTAACAATGCAATGGTGTGCAGTGCAACTGTCCGATTTTGTTAAAATTTTAAAATTGGGAGGTTCAAGTCATTGCAACTAACGTTTCTTGAGGCACTTTGTGCGATGGTTGGGATTTGTCAAAATATTTTAGATGAAAATACTAATTCGAAAAATTCGTGAAATTATGATAATGAGAACCAAGATCAAGTCGAAAGAGAAAATTTTTGCGCCTTTTAATAAATTTATGACTTACACTCTCATTTTCTTTTTTAAGGTGGCTAATTATTCGTAAATACGTTCTCCGCTCAACCAATAATTGATCTTCCTTTCGTATTTTCTAAAACAACATAATTAAATTATTAAAAATTGATAATTTTAAAAAATTATTGTAAGTTCTACCTTGTTTTTATAAAGTTTCCACGGCAAGAAAATCACTACGAAAATGAGGGTGACAATTAAGACCTCGGGGGCTCCGAAGCCTAGATTAAAAACACATTTTATTTATTTATTTATTTACTTTCATTATTTTTAAAAACATCAACCCACAATGTCCGTCGCAACTAATTCAAATTCCATTTTTTTCTCCTGGAACTCATCCTCAATTGGCATAATTTAAGCAGAAAACACCATTTAAAACAAAATTTGTAGGGGAGAGGTCGTTGCTAATTGTTATAAATATACACTCCAGATTTCGACCGTTTTTGAAGGATATTTTAAGTTAAGAAGCCTTCAGAAAAATTGTAACTCATCGAAAAACTGGATTAAAAGACTCGCCCTCATTCTATTAATCAATTTACTGACTTTAAAATACTTTAAATATGTCGTCCAGAATTTTAAAATAGACTCCCAGAGGGGAGAAATGGTAAAATAACTGATCCCACATGAAAAAATGTGGCGAGATATAATTTCTGATGAATTATTTAGATTACAAATGTTCCACTGTCTCAAGCATGAAAGAAATATGCAGCTATTTTGACTTGCGAGAAAAGTACTGCACAAGAACCTACGCCCAGCCGCTATAGTTCATGCGGCGCGTTGCTAGATATTTCTTGCATTTCTTGATTTGCAGTGCAAGAAATGTACGCAGCAAACCCGTCAGAAATGAAAAACTGGGTGAAAATAGTCACTTCTGACCGATGTTTCGGGTGAAAGTAACCACTTGCAAGAAATAACCGGAAGAAAGTGGTTTCTTGGAGGTATTTCGACCTGGGAGAAATGCAAGCCGCAAGAAACGACGCCTCGCCGCTGTCCTTCATAGGGCGCGTGGCTAGATGGCGAATATTTCTCCCACTTTCTTGCACCTCGCATTTCGTGCCTTGCAGTGCAAGAAATAATACACCGGCAAAAAAACTAAATACATACATGCCTTCACCACCACCGCCATCTAACTTTAACAATGACTTACACAATGCCACGAGACGCCACACGAATTTCCGTAGCCAGTTTGTATTGAATATAATAAATTCGATGATAGAAATCTCTTCCTCCCCCTGCATGCAAATATACCACATAATTAATGCAAAATATTATTTATATACATTCCGGTGGAAATTAATAATTTATGACATTTTTTTTACATCCATCGTGAATCCTCCGTAAAAGTATTCGTTTGACGAGATGGATGCTCAGTTGAACCGCTTACTATCCGTTTCGATTGTTTCGTATTGTTGGTACAAAGATTGGATTCGCGAGACATGAAATGGTTTCGTGATAAAATAAAAGTCAGCCCTTAGCAAATGTTATTTACGATTGATTGAAATTGAGTATCTAGGTAACGTTAGTCTCCCTATGATAAAGGTGTCGAATAATCTTGACGTGCCCATTGAGAGATCGTTTCTTTCGCAAATTTCATGCTAATTAAATTTGCCATCGATTGACACTAATTTGCTCAAAATCGGAGAGCATACGCTGCATGGGATACCTCCATTGCGAGAGAGATGATGCATATAATTAATCCAATATGTAAATAGATAGTTGGACAAAGCTTAAGATTTTATGATTACATGTTGACCGGGTTTTGGCTAAAACGTTACAACTTATTTCTGGATTTATTATTAGCTTGAATCGTCAAATATTTTTTATTATTTCTGGAAAATCCTGCCATAGATGTGCCCCCGGTCATGCAGTAAAATACATACATCCAATTTATTCGTCCATTCAAAATTATGAAACAATGGGAAGACTGATGAAATTTTAAAAAGTAATTATACTCAAACAATGAAAGGAAGTCAACCGTAAAAAATGTGTAAAATACTTGTCGTCTTCATTCATTTCACGGGATGCATTCTGCACAGCGTCATACTTGCACAAAAACTTTAAGCTAATTTACAACTTAATTATTAACCATGCTTAAATTGGTCTTTCTATTATTCGCAATAACAAGAAATGTATTTTGTTCGCTGGAAATGTTTCAGCCTGAAACTGCTAAAGATATCGTTCCAGAAAACAAAAGTGGGTAATAAATAGTGGACAGTGTTTCGGGCGAAAGTAGTCACGTGCAAGAAATAACGGGAAGAAAGTGGTTTCTTGCAGGTAAATATTTTCACCTGCAAGAAATGCAACGCACAAAAAACTGCGCCCGTCGCTGTACTTCATACGACACATGGTCACATTTTCCTGCACTTTCTCCCAGTTTCTTGCATCTGTATTTCTTGCGTTTCTTGCATTTCAGCCCAATAAATGCTGCAAACCCGCAAGAAACGAAACACTGAATAATAATCTCATCAAAATTTAGATCGAATGTTGCATTTTTTTTTAAATTTCAGCCAGTCACCCCTTGGACCCTCTCACCTCCGAAGAAATCAAAGCAGCCGTGGAAATCATAGAGAAATCTCGAGACAAGCTAAACATGGCATTCATCTATCACTACATCGCACTTTCTGAGCCTCCCAAATCGCTCCTGCTCCCATTCTTCCTCGTCGACTCGATGGCGTCAATGGAACTCCATCCCCGCAAAGTCTTCCTTTGTCTTTCGGACAAAGGAAGTGGAGCCGTGTTCGAAGCCGTGGTAAATCTCAGGACGAACGAGAGAGAAAGTTTCGTCCAGATTTACAACGTCCGTGCCCCATTGAGTCCGGAAGACTGGTTAAATTCTGATATTGTATGTACATACGAAAAGCCGCAGAATTAAGTATTTAGGAAATAACAAGACAAATGTATTGATCTAAGAATATGTTGACCTCAATTCATTAAGGATATTATTCGGGCGGATGAAAAAGTTAAGCAGCGCTGTGCAGCTGTTGGCTTTCCGGATACGGACTTGGTCACTGCGGGGCCATGGGACATGAGCTTTGTGGCTGACCGGACGGAATACATGGGGAGAAGATTGGTCCAATATTTCTTGGTATTTACGTGCATCATTTCTCCGCTCTGGGAATTTATTTTAAAATTCTGAACGATAAATTTATAATCCAAGAATTGATTAATTGAATCATCGTGAGTTTTTTTAGCCAGTCTCGATGCGTTCCAATTTTTCTGGAGGGTTTTTAACCTTGAGAACTGCTCCTTCAAAAAGTGTTATCTTATAATCTTATATCTTATAATCTGGAGTGCATATTTTTAAAAAATTGACAACTTCCTGCTCCACAGATTTGTCGTTCAGAATTTTTAAATTAATTTCTAGAGTCGAGAAATGATTAATAATATGCTGATTTTGACGATAGGTCATCCAGTCGGATGTTAAAAGTAAAATTTAATTAAAAAATTCCACAGTACGGAAAAAAATTCCCGTCCGACAACCATTACGCGCATCCCTTAGATTTCGTCGTCGTTTTCGACCTGGACAGCAGAACTGTCTTCGCAATTGAAGATTTACCCACGCACGATGACTTTAGTCAAGAAAATTCGGGAAATTCAGCCCCAAAAGGGGAGAGGAATTATGACCCTGAATTGCGCGGTGGGGTCGAGTTTCTTCGAAAAGATGACAAACCAATAACCACCGACTCGCCGGAAGGGGTTTCATTCACGATTAAAGGAAATGAAGTGCAGTGGCAGAAATGGACGATGCGCGTGGGGTACGAAAGTCTTGCGTTCGAAAGAATAGTTAATTAACTTACAATAAAAGTTTCGCAGCATATGCTCAGAGATTTTAAGCAAACTAGCGTTAATCGATTACAAATTTAATTGGAATGAAATTTGCATATAGCACGAGCTCCCAATGGGCACGTTTGGCTGAGATATTTGCATCCGAAGAGGAGAAAACGCGTCATAATGTCGACAAATTTTACATTTTGCAAATTTACTGTGCGTTTTCTCCTCTTGGGATCCAAATATCTCGGCCAAACGTGCCCATTGGGAGATCGTGTCTTTCGCAAATTTCATACTAATTACATCCGTGATCGGTTAACGCTAGTTTGCTCAAAATCTCTGAGCTGGTTTGATGTATGAATGTAGATACAACGGACGGGAAGGACTTGTTCTTTACACGATAAGCTATAACGATAATGGGAAGAAAAAACCGATTATTTATCGTGCCTCGCTGGCCGAATCGTTCACAACTTATGGCGACCCACGCCCACCCTTCCATCGCAAAGCGGTTGGTGCCAATTTCTTTTATGTAATTTTCTAGTCGATTGGTAGATAAGGTGTCTCGTATCTTGCTGGTTTGCTACATTTCTTGCAAGTGTAAAGTGGCTACTTGCACCCGAAACACTGATCAAAATTCGGGAAAAAGCGAGGTCCAATTTGCTACATTTCTTGCACTGCAAAGCAAGAAATGCACGAAATGCGAGGTGCAAGAAACTGGGAGAAAGTACAAGCGCCTTATAGCCACGCGCCGTATGAAATATAGCGGCGGGGCGTCGTTTCTTGCACCTTGCATTTCTTGCAGGTCAAAATATCTGCAAAAAACCACTTTCTTGCCGTTATTTCTTGCAATTGGTTACTTTACTTGCGCCCGAAATACTGGGTAGATAAATTATTTACATATATGTAGTAGTGTAAATTCTTTCATAAGTTTTGTATTTATGTATGCATCATATTCAGGCCTTTGACTCTGGCCAATTTGGCACCGGCTACAACCTGGACTCGCAAACTTTAGATCTCGACGCCCTTGGAGCCGTCAGTTTCATGGACGTTGTCCTCCATAACGCTTCCGGATATCCTGTCGTTCATAAAAACGCCATCAGCATCAGGGAAGAGGATGCCGGAATTTTATGGAAACACGTCGACTATCGGACCGGCAAGGGATCAATCGCGCGTTCACACCGCCTCGTATTTTCCACCATTGCGACATTCGGCAATTACGAATACATCTTCAACTGGATGTTCTATCAGGACGGGTCGATCCAATGTGCGACCCAAATGACGGGACTGATAAGCACCAACATGATGACGGCGGGTGCCCGTCCGACCAGGTGGGCAAAATACAGTATTTTGAGCTTATTTCTTCCCAAGCTTTGGATTTTCAGGGGGTGTTACACCCACAAAAAGGCGGAAATCTACATGGAGAATACAACAATCTTACAAAAGTACAGGTTTTGTGAGATGAGTGAAACTTTTATCAGTCAAAATACTTTGTTTTCAAGATTTTTGCAAAATAAAGTATTTTGACAGCGATAAAAAGTTAAAAAAAACTGTAATTTTACCCGGACTGTTATATTCCCCACGATGATTTTCGTCTTTTTGTGGGTGTAACAACCCTAGAAATCCAAACCCTGGGAAGAACGGAGCTCATAAGATACTGTATTTTGATAAAACATCTTCTCCACCTCTGCCAGTTATGGGACGATTGTTGCCCCACAAGTCAACGCGCAGTACCACCAGCACTTCTTCACGGCCCGGTTGGACGTGGATGTTGCTGGGAATACCAACTCGGTCTCGGTCGTGGACATCGAACCAGTTCCGGATGAGACTGGTTCCCCGAATAATCGGTACGGGCAAGGTATGTATGTAAATGTATAATTTGCTCTTACTTAGGCTTGTCACCTTATTTGCATAAATCTTCTCACTACTATTATGCCCATATTCGGCCACACGGGCTTTCCATGTCTTTCTGTCGCGAATTGGTCAAAATACGCAAATGAGATGACACGCAAAAATAAAAACTTTTATTCAACTGTCAACAAATATCAGGTAATACAAACTGGGTTCTAATTCATGACAGAAATGCTATAAATAATTTAAAAGCCACTAATCCACATAATTATCAACTAGGCAATAATATATGTAATAATTCTTATTTCTTGCTAAACAGTGGCGTAGGGACAATGTCCCCATCATCTCCCCATGTTATATATGTAAACCCCTCCCTTCCTTATCCTACAATGTTAATGACCCCACAGCTTCCACGTCCACTGTTGCTGGAAGCACTGCTGGATAAATTTAGCATAAGTTAGATTGCGTATAACTTTAAACTAATAGCTTTAACTCTAAATTATTCAAGGTTATCAAGTCAACCACAAACTGCTCCGAACCCCGACCGACGCTCGGACTAAACTTTCTCCGGCCACGGGACGCCTCTGGATGGTCACGAACCCCACCAAATTGCACGAATTTACGAATAAACCCATCGGATGGAAGTTGATGCCGGCAAATTCGCCTCCGCTCCTAATGCATGAGGACAGCCCGACCAGGAGGACGGCAGCCTATTTGAACTACGACGTTTGGGTAACCACTTATCAAGACGACCAACTATTTCCGGGAGGGTTTTACTTGAACGAGTCTGGACTCCCGGCATGGGTGGCAAACACCCCAACGGCAAGTATTGAGAATGTAGATGTCGTAATTTGGCACAATTTTGGACTCACGCATATTCCCAGGGTGGAAGATTTCCCGATTTTGAGCACAGAGTAATAAATTTCAAAAAATGTATCATAAATAACATGTAAGCCAAATTATGATAAAATATTCCTTCGAAATTTCAGAAGCACAGGATTTTGGTTTAAACCGTGCAATTTTTTCCTGGAAAATCCTGCCCTTGATGTCCCACCACCCGGCCTAGTTCTCAGCAGTACACCTTAAATTTGTAAAATTACAGTTTATATTTACGTATATTTAAGTAAATATTTACGAATTACTGATTACAATGGAGGTCTCCCAGCGTATGCTCCCAGATTTTGACCCAATTAGTGTCAATAGATCAGAAATTTAATTAGTATGAAATTTGGAAAAGACACGATCTCCCAATGGGCACGTTTGGCAGAGATATTTGCATCCAAAGAGGAGAAAACGCGGAGTAAATTTGGAAAGTGTCAAATTGGTCAACTTTAACGGGCATTTTCTCCTCTTATATCTCTGCAAATATTTGGAGATCATGTCTTTTGCAAATTTCACACTATAACTAAATTTCTGACCAATTTATACTAATTTGCTCAAAATCGGACAGCATACCATACGCAGGGAGACCGCAATTCTTAGTTTACGCAAAAAATAAAGCATATGTATCCACCCATCAAGTTTTTAGGCAATTTTCGTGTGAAAGAAAGCTGCAAATGAGCCGTTTAGTCGATGGGGAAAGAACACAGGCGGAGTGGGACAGAGTTTGCGATTTGGAACCCATTTGTGTGGAGAGATCAAGATAAATAGATTGCTGTCAGTGTAATCGCTTTACCGCAAAAATTTATGTGTCCCACGGATCCATTTCGACATTTCGAAGCCCCATGAAGGATCTCAAATCTTGGGAACCATGAGCATCTCCGTTCGCGAGGTTGTGCAAACGCCACGTGGTTTTATTTCATCTTGACAACTCTTCAGTGTAATATGGCAATTCGTTTTTTGAAACTATTTTAATTTCAAAAAATTTTCAAATTTTTTCTAACCCGTTCCAATATACGTTAACCCTATCACACCGGACCAACGACCCATCTCAGTCTCATTCGTTTCCTTGTCCATTACGTAATAATAAACCGTAGCAAACCAAATGTAACAATAGGGTGAAACCAGTAATTCCCCAAAGAATTATGTGATCACACCCACTGACCTCGAGGGGGTGGTCAGATTGACCCCAAAAGTTGATAGGATCCTCCCCCTGGGGTCATATGTATGATCCCGGAAACCGATCTCGATTATCTCGATGGCTGACGGACAGACAGACGGACGGACAAAGTATCGCTTAAAGGGTTTCCCTCGATAATAAGTAATACCACCTCGTCTCTCTCCTTTCTCTCGTCTCGCTCTTCATCTGAACCGAACCCGGAATTGGATTTTCTCCTTTCATCAACTTTCCTATAAAGGATTTTCATTGTTTCAAGCGATAACACTTTCATCCTCAGCCAACGGTGTATTAGTCCAGAGCTCTCGGCAAGATTTGTACGTTTCATTTCAATCGCTTTGAAATGAAAACCTGCAAAAAAATCGTGCACTATGCTACCACAAGATTATTTCGTGCATGACACAGTTACCTATAAAAATTGACTTTACATAAAGTTAATTTTTACACCATAATCAAACACTATTTGTGCCATTGGGCATGTATATAATTTTAGTTCTCGGTCGAATTTTGAAAAAGGATGAGTCCCTCCCATCGAGGTCAAAGGGACCCTGGCGTCAAATACTAAATTGAACCTTAATTTCCACATGCAGTGTAATAATTTTAAAGGAAATTTCACCACGAAAGTAACACCGTCAATACATATTTTTGACCTCCGACCAACCCATAACCGTGCGTGGATGAGGTTAAATCGCGTAATTTTCATTTTACATTTTACTGTATGACACCGCTTTTTTGTCCGTTTGAGACAGTTTATTATTATTTACTTTACAATACAAGAATAAATTTATCTTATTTTACGACACCCAAAACTCTGGCCTTCGATAACCAGTCAGATCTCCCAATGTATGCGCCACAAAGGTGACGAAACCCCGTGAATTCGCTCCGCCCATGGAGAACTCTCCAGTTATCCAGGAAGATTACGACGCCAGGTGAAAGCTTCACCCACACCGGGGAACTTTCCACTTCATCCGACAATCTCACCAAGCTCGTATAAAATGGGGCAATCAGGTTGAACGGTATTGTGTCAAGGGTCGCCATATCGTGGGGATTATATCTGAAATTAAGTAGGAGCCATCACCTTTATGACCTCGTAATATGCAATAATTTTTTGCAAAGTTTCTTTTCTTGCGGGATGCTACATTTGTTGCACTGCAAAGCAATAAATGCAAGAAATGTGAGGTGCAAGAAACTCTTGCAGGTTGCAAAAAAACACTTTATTGCCATTATTTCTTGCAAGTGGTTCCTTTCAGACTGCAAATAATACTGCAAATTGTATATAGTTTTTAATTTTTAGCAGGTTTGCTACATTTTTTGCAGTGTAAAGGAAGAAATACGAGGTGCAAGAAACTGGGAGAAAGTGCAAGAAATATGCACCATCTCGCCACGCGCCGGGGGCGTAGTTTCTTGCGCCTGGCATTTCTTGCAGGTCAAAATAGTGACAAGAAACCCTTTTCTTGCAAATCACTTGCATCCGAACGAAACACTGATAATTTTTTCTCTTAGAGAGACCGACCTACCGGAAGCGTTCAATTGATCGTGTCAGAAGGCTGTATTTAAAGGTGACATCCGCCGTATAAAAATGATGCTTCCCAACATCCAAGAATTGGCTGGGGATAAATACTTTCTTCAAGAGGGAATGTTCCCCTGGAAAATTTTCATGGAATTTCTTCACAATGGCAAACCCATCCACGAGAGAGTTCATTCCACCAGTTCCTTCATGCTTGAGACAGTGGAACATTTGTAGTCTAAACAATTTATAAGGAATCATTATTGTAACAATTGTCGTTTTAATTTTAAGAAAAGAAATTAACCCATGACTCGATGATTCATCACCAAAATCAACACATTTTTAATCATTTCTCGCATCTGGGAATTTATTTTAAAATTCTGGACGACAAAATTGGAAGTCAGTAAGTTGATTAATGGAATGTCGGTGAGTTTTTTAAGCCAGTTTTGACGAGTTCCAATTTTTCTGAGGCGTCTTAAATTTGAGGTCTCCTCCTTTAAAAAATGCTAAAATCTGGAGTGTATATTTCTTTAAAATTGGCAAATCATCCCTGCTCTACAAATTTGTTGTCCACAATTTTAAAATAAATTCCCGGAGCCGACAAATGATTAAAAATCTGCTCATTTGGGCGATAAGTCACCAAGTCCTGCTTTAATTTAAGTACCCCATCGGTTCCGAAAAATAGCTCGTATCCGTGTGAAGGTGGACATACTCCGACGTGTAAGCAGTATCTGCATGTGCCAAATTCGACGTCCATTGACTAAAGTCTCCGTAAATGGTGTTCTGCGGATGCGAAATTCTCAAGACGACTTCTTTCGTAGAGTTGAAATCTGGAGGAGCATTTTGCACAATTCCGAACCCATGTTTCACAATATTTCCCAGTAATTCCGCCAAACTGTGGTCCGATGACATGAAATCGTCATAGTTTACAGCATTTTGCAAAGGGTCAGATGGAAACGGATGAATATTAGTAAAGTTGTACTTATATTGGTCATCGTCCTCCTTGAGGAAATAGTTTTCTGGTATTTTTAACCATTTTGTATTCACTTTCTGCAGCCAATTCATGTCAAAAGTGGATTTGTGATCATCCATCCACGTGATTTGAACGGAATTCAGTGACGAATTCGTTTCCACGTCTTTAATCACCGACAAATCTGGGAGCTTCGATGGGATCACCATTTTTTGAAATGTTTTTGGATTGAAACAATTTTCACAGCTGAAAAATATTACAAAATTTCCTAAAATTTTCATAAAATTGATTACTTATGTATTCAGTGGCCGCGGAAGCTGTGGGGACGTTAGCATTGTAGGGTAGGGGAGGGATGGGTTTATACAAGATGGGCAGATGATGGGGACATCGAACAACCCTGGGGACATTGTCCCTCTGCGTCCCCACGCTTCCGCGGCCACTGCTTATATATATATTCCGTATATATCCTTACGGACAATGATGTCTGAGCCAAATCGTATGAAATTCAAGGGATAATCCAGTTAAGAATGGGATCTTTACGGTATCCGCTGTGCTGAACGCTTTACTGATACTCGAGAGTTTCGAGTATCTCCAAAGGTATTTTCTAGTAAATAGTGACATTCTGAATTTTTTAAAACTAACTTAACCAACAAAAACCTAATATGGAACATGTGACACTTTATTATATGGCACTTTGTCTGCAGTATGTATGTATAATACAGAAATGCATATGTATGTATGTACATAGGAAAGAAAACAACTCTCCACTAACAAGGACATCAACTCGTCATCTTCATTGCCAGCCACAAAGTAAAGATTTTACCAATGTGCAGTGTTTCGGGTGCAAATAAAATAACCAATTGCAAGAAAGCGTTAATATCCTATTTTGCACGGTTTGGGAAGACATTTTTTATTTAGCGTTAATATTGTTGTTTACATGAAATGGCATGGGTATATTTTGCATGGGGTCAATATGAGGCAGGTCAATCTTGTATGGGTCAATATTGCTGGGGCCATTTATCACGGATCAATCTGACGCTTCACCGTTTTTTGCACAGATGACCAGATGACGCATACTTCTTACACCCCAAATCCCATGAATTTATAACATTTTTTATAGTTTCATAAAAATGGAGACCATTTGTGTTCCAGGCTCACATTCCAACATCATTACGTCAGCCGATGGTGACGAAGTTCTCGTTTGTTTAAAATTCTTGTGAATACGAGGCCGATTGCCGTTGGTCCTCATGAATGAAAGTATATATGGAATGAGAAAAATGATTTTGAAAAGTGAACTTGGAGAAAACAATGCGCTTGTCTTCACTTTTGCAATTGTGATATAATTATTTAATAAGCGTGGTTTTATTGTATTAGTAATCGACGATATCAAGTTGATATGAATGTCCCACTGACCGCGGAAATGTGGGGACACTATTCTCCCAAAGGCAAGGTCAATTCAAATTATCATGTGCATGCACATATGTTCAATTTTGATTAATACCTCGAATTTTATTAATAACGCGTCGACTTATTTATATTTCACAATTTAAATATGGTAGAACAATATTGGCACTTTGTAAATAGTTCATGCATTATAAAGGTCATACATAAAATGTCTTTTTGATAATTCATTATATTAATTACATTCTCAAAAAAAATCCCTGTAAATACGATCAGTCAACGTTTAAATGAATCCTACTCTACTCATTTCCATACAAATATTTGTCTCTAAATAAAATCCCAGCAAGTCTTAAAACACTAATTAAAAGAGCTACATACATAATAAAATATTAACCGTTGATTGTTTTCTTTTTTCATTCATAATAACACTATTTTCAAAAACCAAGCAAGAACACAATAAATTAATTAATAAAACTCGAATTTCATTGACGTCACGTGACTGAAATATTGACATGGATTAGTTGGTTGAACATAAATGGCAAGAAGATTACATAACATTTGTACAATTCGTATAACTAAATGTTGTATAAATATTTACGCGGAAGCCGTGGGGACATTAACATTACAGGATTTAGGGGAGGGAGGGGAGGGGTTTGTATAACATGATGGGGACAATGCCCACGCTTCCGCGGTCACTAGATTTACTTAGGAACTTTGAATGATGAATAATTTGGTACTTTTTCTCCAAACTTGACAAGAAAATAAGACCATTGCAAAAATAGAGATCTCTCCTGCAGCAATAGTGTGGTAACTTCACATTCTTCAATATTTGGCACAATACTTGAATAACGTTTAAAATCTAAAACTCATAAATTACGTATTACTAAAATGAAAATGACTACATAATAACTAGTTACACACGCATTATAAATGACTACGTATTATTGTATAAGTTACATTTTGACACAGGATATATAGGTTATCATCGATGACTACTAAATAGTTTGCTATAAGCTCATTGCATTGATTGCCCTTTGTTTTTTTTTTGGTTTGTAGATATTTAGGATTTTGATGTGATGACTTGAATCAGGAAGGAAGACTAGGCATTCTTTTGCACAAATTCAAGACAAACGACGACGACAAAGGTTGCATTTTAGAAAAAGGCACTTTTAACTTGTATAATTGATTGTTTCTGTTGAAGAGGGCAAAAAATCTGTCATTTAAAAATTGCACGTATTACAATTACTTGAATATCTTCTTAAAATCAAGTCCGTTCTCTTTTCACGTCTTTACTACTCGAACTGATCGACTGGCCGTCCTCCTTGCTTTTGTCCTTTGCTTTCTCCGAAGCCGTCGGAAAGGATTCGCCATGCTGCTTTTTCATCTGAAATCGACATTTAAAAAGAAACTTAACTCAGGACTCATCGTCAAAATCAACACATTTTTAATCATGTCTCTCCTCCAGAAATTTATTTTAAAATTCTGGACGACAAATTTGTATGCAGGGAGTTGATTATGATTTTTTTAAAATCTAGTTACGATGAGTTTCAAAGCTTGGTATCTATTGAGACGATCGTATTGGGCTAAATTTCGATGAATTATAAAACGATGAAGCCCACGAACGATTTTTCTGATTTTTTTATATCAAACAACTTTCAAACTACCATTCCTGAAAATTTCAGGAATGGTACATGCCCACAAGTGGAGAAAGAAATATTCCCCTGGGCTATGTTTAACACGTAGTTAGATAGGCCAAAAACAAAAGCGCAGATAAAAATATGAAGACCACGAACGATTTTGCAAATATTTGCATATGTTGATGGTCATACTATTGGTGATTTTTCATCAAAGAATTGAAGATGGTACATTTCTAGGTTTCGAGAAATTAATTCAAATGTATCAAAAAACATGGAATGAAATGGAAACCATGCAAAATTACCACAGGTATTAATAAAATGGTAACCATGTTGCGCGTTGCTACAATTTTGCATAACATTTCCAATGTTTATAAACCACAGCCCGACAAGAAAAAAAACATTAGTTACATTCATGGGTTGGAAGTGACTCAAATAGGACCCTTGGAGTTATAGTAGACATGCTGAATAATTGTTTGATAGTATAATTTGCCAACGCGCCAAGTTTGAAGTAAATCGGGGTTCATTTGACAAAGTTGAAAATGAACAGACATACGAACAGACAGACTGGCAAAACGGTTCCCCAAGCCTTAAATCGGGGTAAGAATCATTGAGCGCCATTTACTAATCAAAAACCATTGACAACCAACCGAATTTTGATTAGATATATTAGCCCAAAAAATCACCTTAATTTCTTATCAAAATAATTCAAAACTCATCGAAATTTAGCCCAAAACGATCACCATAACAGATACCCTTCAAAGAAGGGAAATTTGGGATCTCTTTCTTCAAAAACTGTCAAAATCTGGACTGCATATTTCATAAAAAACGACAAATTTGTTGTTCAGAATTTTAAAATAAATTCCCAGCTTTGAGAAATGATTGAAAATGTGCCGATTGTCATCGATTCCTACGTTAACACAGGTACAAATTATTTTTATTCTTCCGGAAATGTTATAATTTCCAAAATTACGTGAGTTTTCCAATAATCTTTCCGCTTGAAGAGGCTGTGGCAAATTTTGCAAGGATAATTTCCAGGAAAATGAACCCTGTAATGCTGATAGTCATTGGAGACTACTTTTCCACAGAGGAGGCATCGCTTCCTCTCCGCACTTGGACCCCCGCCCCCGCTCCCGACCGATCCAGGCTCCACGGCTTCAAAGATGAAACACGGGCGTGGCGGAAAACCACCCGAACCTGCGGAAGGAAGTCATGTAGCTACTAAATAAATAAATAAATATCCCATTTAATTAATTCTACGCTATTAAAAATTAATCCGAGAGAAGCCCGAGTAAACTGATTTAAAGCCAACTATAAAATTATCAAAGTTTCTTTAAAAAAGGGAAAGTTTCTAGAAAAATGTGTGTAATTTTAAATAAGCAAGCTATGTGTGTGGGTTAATATGTGCATTATCTACTTTTTTTGTACCAAAAACACCACCAATTTTATGCAACAAAATTCACCAGAGCGGAAACAACCGACACCATTTTACACGAATTTGCCAATAAACCGAAAAATGAAAGCCACCCGTCACCAAAGTGCAAAAATGTGCAAAAAATGTATGAAAATTATTACCTATGTCAAAGGACTGTAACAAATGACCTACGTCGCCTAGCTTATGACACTTTTAGCATGATGATAACATCCAAAATCAACCATTATTCCGTCAACTTTTCCATATTTTTTAAGGACAGCACATTTGATTTTTATTTGATTTTCAAAATATATTTAAATTATTACATTTGATTGACAAGTCAAAGTGATAAAGTTAAAGTTGACAACAATAATATTGAAGGAAAAACTCAATCAATATAACGATTTAACACTCCTTTTAAAGGCAGCGCGACATTTTTTAATGTGCATGAATTACTTAATGCAACATTATTATTATCGAATGACTACAAGGCTAAACAATTTTTCAAACACTTTTTGTCGCTCTTTTCTTTGCTCACTTTTTTTTTAAATACATATTTTTTTAGTCAGTTATTTATTTATTTATTTTATACTTCATTTGAAATTTAGTTACGTATTTATGTATTTATCTTGTTTTCTTTAAGATATTCATTTTCATTTCTTAAGTTAGTAAAGAGTCTCGTATCTCCTTTTTTGAAGAAATTAACTTTTTTTTGAAGATCATAAGATTACATGTACTTATACGGACTGAGACAAATATTCAAACTAGCACACACAAAATTCATATCATCATAATGGTAAATTTTTGGTATCGTCAAACCGGACAAAACAAGTTCTGCACCATGAACAGTGTCTTAAAACTACAGATGGAGGTCGCCCCCAGCGTATGAGCATAGATTTTGAACAAATTTGTGCCAATTTATGACAAATTTAGTTAGTATGAAATTTGCAAAAGCGACTATCCGCCAATTCTCAGGTCTGGCAAAGATATTTGCATAATAAAGCCCTAAAGTTGATTTTTCGACCTTCCAAGATTTACTGGGCATTGTTTTCTCCTCTTCGGATGCAAATATCTCTGCCAAACGTGCCCATTGGAAGATCATGTCTTTCGCAAATTTCATACTACCTAAATTTCTGATCGATTGACACTAATTTCCCCAAAATCAGAATCGCATACGCTGGGCGACCCTGTCATCTACTATTATTACATATTTTAATAATAATGTTAACAATAATAACGCCAACTTTTTACAACTTACATCAAGAAACACAGAATAAAATGATATATTAGATAAATCTATATAATAATTATCCATCATTATTATACATAATTTATATATTATAGTTTTCTTTGTGTGTAGTAGAAAGTTACTTTTTTTCTATAGAGTTCAAGGCAAAGTCATTCTTAGATTTTGGATACAGTTTCTTTTTTTCAGTATAATGGTTCATCAATTATTATGGAAAATAGTGGTCTGGTCATTATCATGTAATTTTATACTCAATCATTCCCTATCTCTGGAGCACTGCCTAATTAGAGAAAGTGCAGATAGAAACAATAGAGTGTCATGTAAACTAATTCATAGACTCGACATCTCCTGGACCCAAAAATTACGTTTTACGACTGTGTTACATTTTTTACTTTGGTTTAATTCTGTTTCTTTTTGATTAGGCACGTTGATGGACTCATCCAATCCACCTACCAAATACGTATCCTTCTTATCCTATAATTTTAATGCAATTATAATATTTAATAATTTTGTCTATAGTTAAAAACGAAAACTAAACTTTACTAACATTTACTAACAAATTAACTAATTGTTTCAACTGATTGTGAGAAATTAACCGATTGTTATAACCCTTGGGTGATGGTCGAATATTGCGGAAGTAAATAATAATACTCATTATTACTAACTGATTGATTGTTCAACAAAGTTAACGTTGTGTCAGTAATAAAGCAATTATTAATTAATTAAAGTGGCAATTATCTATGCGACGATTGTTTTCTCGGCAAGGAAAAATAAAATAAGGTACGACAATGATAATATAATATTAATATATTAATTTACATAATTAATATGTGTCTGCAACTAAAATTAATTATTACACGCTACCCTACCCTAACTAACTAATATTTGTCATTACATTGAAAAAAGCACACTTTGAACCCGACTTCAAACTACTAACCAAAATATCGTCTATAAACTAAAAAAAACGAAAATCATAATCTTAAAAAAATTCAATTCAACAATTGACTGAATTATAGAACACTTTTTTAAATTGATTGCTACATACCCCTCAATTCCAAACTCAATACATAAATGACAAAGTCTTTAGACATTGCACGCACAATTTTCAAAACCCAGAAATTTTTAGGATTATTTACGAACGCAAAAATATTTACAACAAATCCCTCAATCATTCTGAACCACACTAGAAGAGACTCTCCAGCACTGTATACGCAATACTTTTGGTTGATAATCATAACATAGTATTCAATTCACTAGCACGAAAGCATTCCAAATAATAATAACTTATTAGCGTGAAAACAACGATGATTTTCACTAGATCATTAAAGCCTGAACTTGAATGTTACATTTTTCTTATGCAATTAATTTCTATTTTTATAACTGGTGTATGTTTTTTCTGACTACGAGAACTCGACAAAATATTTGGTCATCATACAGCACACTCGACATCTTTTCTCATTAAAAACCAGATTACTACGTACGTACGTATAACATAGAAATGAAACAACGTATATATAGATAATAACACTTATTATTAGCCATAAATATACTTATCAAGCTAATAATAATATTTTTCTCTCTTTCCTCTTTCTTTGGTCTGTACTGCAATTATCGAAAATACAACAACAGGATGGCCACAGTTTGTAGAAAGGACAGTTAGTAAGACACAAACGCAGCGAAGACGTCAAGAATATGGGGTACATTTTGAATATATTTATGTATGAGGAGGAGTTGACCAAGTGAATAATGGTGAAAGTAGTAGTAGTAGTAGCATTACGAGATTTTTTATACTACTTGTAATCTGACGACGCCGTGATGAGATTAACCAAAGCGCTACTATTTGGACTTGTAGAGTTGCTGTTTGGTTCCAATTTAGGTTTCCCATGTTTCACGCGGACATGGGCATTTAGATTATCGCTACGGGTGTAAACCTATATACGTTTAGAGGAATAAATTAATGATCTATATAATTCCAACATGCTGCATATTATATGATTCTTTACGTACACAGGGGCAGTAGGGACAACTGTATGTACCTAAATCGGTGTGGAATAAACAAGATATATATTTTTAACAATTGAATATTAAAAAAGAAACTAGAATCGAATTTGAATTTGAACGAACCAGGCATGTGAACAAATCTGTGCTTCCGCCCTCTGGAAAAATAAAAAAGAAAAAAAAACTAAGCGATATGTATGATGACACCTTCACCACGAGTAAAATCGTAAACATCGACTTGTACATTAAGTCGTGCTAACTACCTAATTATCTTCGAATTCTTTCTTACCTAACCAGCTTTCCACACAATTTGCACCTTTTAAGATGGGGGCTTCCTTGCACCTTCTCGAAGATAGATCCGTAGATTCGTCCTGGAATATACAATGGAAATATACAATCCATAGACGTTAACCAAGTCAAAAAAATTTTTCCGATAAAAATGAAAATGATAATTTTTCATTTACATTCAAAAAATTTATACAGCATCTTAGAATTTCTTCCCTTAACCAACAAAACCTAAACCTATCCTATCCTACTTATCAACTACTAAATAAATACCACCGTCTCTCTCTCACTTCCGCTGATATGAAACGTCTGGAGGATCTATTTTATGATACACTTTGAGATGATTGTTCAACGTAGATTCACGACAGTACTCGTGTCGACAGAGGAAACAGACAAATTTAAACTGACTATTTCCACCACTGCTACTTCCAGCAGCAGCATTATCGCTGGAACTTTTATTCCCCCCAATTCCTCCCAAAGAAGAACTACTACCGGACTTCTTCGTCCTCGCCTTATTAAATGCATCCGAACTAGACCCTGAATTAATACTAGTGCAGGTTGTGCTACTACAAATCGTAAATCGGGGGACGTGATGGATAACGTGGCTCAATTTGTCGGAATGACGGTACAAGCTGAGCTGGATTTTTCGACGAGGCGGCCCCACCAGGCGGGGTGGTGGTTCTCCATCTTCCGCCGCTGAGGGGGCATTATTATCATCCGGGTCTTGTGGAACGAAGGAATTTTTCGTTATGACGGACTGCTGGTGGTGCATGCAACGCTTGCAATTCGAATCTTTTTCAGGCCGGTCTTCATTCTCGCTGTGTGAAACGGGGTTTACCGTAATCGCATGGCACTTATTATTCCATGTTAAACTTTTCCCTTTCGAAGTGTTCGAGCTCGAGAAAGATTGCGAGTGCATGGTCAACTTTGATTTTTGCCGTGGGACCGCAACTGCAACCAAGTAAGTAAAAAATTCCATAAAGACTGGCCCTACGGTCGAGTTCATTTTTGTTTTTTTTCTTAAATATCTATGTAAACTCTCATATTTGCCCAACAACCTAGCTCTCTGACCAGGAGGAGGAGTACTCTTTTCTTTTATAGTAATTTTAATAAATGACAAGCCCACTTTTTTTCTAACACACCTAAGAAGTCAGCACGAGAAACATAAAAAGCTCACCAACACCAGTAAGTAAATTACTTTCAAAATCATCATCATCATCATCCTGACAAATCCAGTATTTATTTTTCTAGCCCAGAACACTTAAGCAGAACAATTTATAACAGAAGCGTCGCTATTTATCTATTATTCTATTTGCTAAACGTATAACAATTCTTTTTTCGCTGCCAATCTAAATGCAAAAAATGTGAAATGTACGAGTTAGTAGGAAAGAAATGCTATGAATGAAACACACGGGGTACACAGCGCATCATCTTCTATGCAGGTATTAGTAGCTAATAATAAATTGTATCGATATGTATATATATATACATGATAAATGTCACCCTAACTGTGTGCTCTATATAGTATCAAAAGTTATAATAAAATAAAAACATTGCAAAGATAAGATGTAGATGGGGATTAGATTTAAAAAAAGATAAGTTCTGTAAAAAAAAAGCCCTTACCGTCAGCCATTTCCAGTCCGTCCAGGTTTGATCCCTGTTGATCCGAGTCGCCAGCGTCACCTTTGTCGTCATCGCTTGATTTTTCCTGGAAAAATTAGTAAAATAATGGTCAACCATCTTGTGTAATGTGACGAATTAATTAATGTATGTACCAGTAAAGAGGCATGCGGGTAGTATCCGATATATCGACCGTCATCAATTCCATCATCGTCATCGTCATCATCCTCATCCTCAACTTTCACGTTCAAGCCAGAATCCAAGTCGTAGTCCTGTTCGTCATCATCCTTGCTGTCCATAACCGGCATCAGAAAACTGGAGGGATCAATAGAAGAACTTGATTCACACGCAACCATGGGACTAGGCTGGGAGGAGACACGACCACCCCCGCCGCCGCCACCACCACCACCACCGCCCCCGGATTGCTTTCCAATTGCAATTAGTGCCTGAAAAGTCAATCACAATTTTATTTGTAATACTATAATCGGACATATTTAACTTTGAAATATTGCTCTTTTTATAAATCATAATTTTATATTTTAAGATATTCTGAAACAATTACTGGAGGCGATGGTCTGCTTGCTGCTGAGGATGATCCGACTGAAACGACATCCAAAGATCTTCCATCCGATTTGGACAAGTCCTGCAAAAAAATTTGCATGTTAACAACTTGCTTTCGCAATAATTTACATAAACTAGGAAACTGGCTATACATAGTGGATTCTAATTAATTCATAAATACCTGATGATGATGATGATGGTGGTGGTTCGTGTTGATTGCCAAAGATATGGGATCCATGCTGTCATCATTGCTACTGGTAGAAACCCTCCTCCGCTTTCTTGACGTCGTCATTAATATCCCATCAGAAGAGTCAACATTGTTGGAAGACACAACGTGAGAATGCGAGTGTGAATTTTTGAACGAAGTTGTTGAAGATGACATGACGTTATCTTTACCCGTCGTCGTCGTACTAGTACTTGCCTCCCCATTGCTGTCGCTCCCTTCAGTCAGCCCTCGGATCTTGAGGGCTTCCGCAGTTTTCAGAAACTCTGTTGATAAAAATGGTGTCAATTCAAAAATTCAACAATCATATTATACAGTAAGCAAAATAATTGGAGGAGTATTTAGTGGACAATCTCAGTGTAACTTGCTTATTTCCCACTTATATCAACAAATATTTGACAATGTAATACGTCAATCTACACTAAATTTAATGCAGGTTTCGAAAATCGTAACCATTTTTCTTGCAGAAATCAAATTTCTTGGTTTAACGGCTGGGAAAGAATGAAGGACACAAAATTGCGAATGGATACAAATAATTTGTAAATTAAACCTATGATACAACCAGAAATACGCAAATACTCCTGCAATTCTTTTCCGGAATTTTATGTCCTTCACTCTTTCTGACCCGTAAAACATAGAAATTTGATTTTTCCAAGAAAAATAGTTATGATTTTCGAAATCAACATCATCAATTTACCGTAAATTGATACATATATTGCTTTATCAACCATTTGTATTGAATTCTTTCGCTTATTTACGTCAATATCGGGTTCTTTTTCTCCAGACAAAACCCCAACCAACCAAACACACAAAAGGTATGATCTAACCTGACAACGATGACTGGGACACATTGACTTCTCCCTTGTACATAAAGTTTAGTAGTGCTTTCATTTCAGAAGACTTGATATCCTGTAAACATTCATAAATATATTAGGACAAGCTTATTAGGAAGCCATATGTGTAGCAGGCTTATTTGTACGCAGTATGAAAACCTCACCTTCATGTAAATGATGGGGTGAGGATGTGTATTCTTCACGAGGAGGGTTTCAAAAAAGGGGCTGCAAGCCGACAGAACGGTTTGATGTGCCTTAAAACTCTGTCCATCGCAGGCGAGTGTCACGTCTGTCAAATTGTCCTGTTGCAACAGCCGCTCTAAAACTTCGGTCAAATTGCTTCCTAAAAGAGACAGAAAATAATCATTGTAACCGGAATAATCATAATTCAACAAATATTCAACTTACCGTGATTATTCCAACGGAGACAAAAGTGTTGGTCTATAAGTTAATAAAGATAATTAATACATCAACTAATTAAAATTTACGATGGAGGTCTCGTAATGTATGCTTTCCAATTTTGACCAAACTAGTGTCAATCGATGGTAAATTTAGTTAGTATGAAATTTGCGAAAGGCACGATCTCCCAATGGGCACGTTTTGCAGAGATATTTGCATCCGAGAGGAGAAAACGCGCAGTAAGTTAGGAAAGATGCAAAATTTGTCAACTTTAAGGCGCATTTTCTCCTCTTCAGATGCAAATATCTCGGCCAAATGTGCCCATTGGGAGATCGTGTCTTTCGCAAATTTCATACTAATTAAATCTGTGATCGATTGGCACTAGGTTCGCCAAAATCGGAAAGCATACATGGGGAGACCTCCAAACAATTTATATTTTCCTTACCCCCCATTCCGCCCATTTTGACGAAATTGGACCTCAGTCTACTGGCTTCACTTTTCCTCCTCACTTTGACGAATTATGGCGTTCTATGGAAAACAAAAGGAGAAAAAAGACGTATGAAACAAGAGTACTCTGTGCATTCATTCATGTTAAATAAATTCATGCATATGCTTCGTGGAGACTTAAACCTAAGGTAAAGATGACAACATCGGCATTACAGAAATTATGCGACGGTAATAATGATGATACATTCATGCATGCATATCTACCAACCTAAACCCCGAGTAGTATGTATGTACTTTTAGTATGAAATAACCAATGCTAATCACTAATGAAAGAGTCCTTGGATAGCAAAATCCTTGACAGTCAACTCCGTTCGTCAGAGCGTCCAGTCCAGCCAACATGATTACTTATTACATATATCCACCACCCATAAGATTTAACAATTAGCATAATACGTACAATAATGCAAACTCAACCCCCACTTAAGCCTTAAGTAGCTATTTGTAATCAGTGAGCAAATAATTAACGCAGCAGACTATTACTCAAAACTTAATATATTGTCTGCCTCACCAAACTGCGCGACCTGTTCGTAGATATCTACATTCAGTTGGAACTAAGAATATTTAAATATCAATTATCACATTAATGTGTGACGCCGCTGGTACTTTCATGGCCAGCACAACAATGCAAAGGTGGATAGATTTTGTAATCTTTTAAGGCAATCCTAAAATAAACTGTAGCAATGGAGTGAAACAAGTGCATAATTCCCCCAAAAATTATGCGACCACGCTCCCTGATGGGGGGTCCGATTGACCCCGTCCCCCGGGGTCATGTATATGATGCCGATCTCGATTATGCCTTAATAACGTTGCTATACTAAAGGATTTGTTTATGAACCAATAAAACTTCTCCTGCTGACCGACAGACAGACAGACAAACAGCCAGACACCATATAATATTTCCCCCCAAGGATTCCTTTTTCCTCACCAATGCAACTTACCGGAAAAAGAAATCCACAAATTTCTCGAAATCTGCACACTTCTCGAACCACACACCACCCTTGCCTTTTCCCCAGATCGCACTGAATAATCTGCAGCCGAAGAGAGCAAGAGAGAGAGACAACTCTCGAATTTGAAGATGAAGAAAAAGGGCTTCCTCCTATTTTTACATTTCCACCAAACTCCCCTTCTTCCCTTTCCCTTCTTCTCCTCCTCCCTGCCTGCCTTGGGCAGCAGAAGAGTGACTCAGTCCGAGGGAGGGAGACTGCTCCTCCTCCTCCAGCTAAGAATATAACTCAAGTGAAACAGATTTCGAAACTGCATTCATAGAACGAGCCTATATAACGAGCAAGCGGGTAGTATAAGTGCCTAGGGACCGAAACGGGCAACAACTGAAAGAAAACACAGGGAAGGGAACGAGACCATGCAGTGCAGCTCACTTCCACTACTGAATATCGACATGAAAAATATCGACTCAAGAAAACAGACGAGGAAAGGCCTTGGCTAGGCTCTCTCCGTTTCGTTGCTCAGGCCACCACCATCACATCACAGGAGGAGGAGGACGACTCACGGCACGGTAGGTAAGGTTACATTAGTATGCGATCGATCCGACTCCCGGGTGAAAAGGGAAGGAGGAAAGGGTGACTTCATTTAAGGCCGCCTTTCACTCGCTTTCTCCCCTCACCACCACCACCACCAATCTCTCTCATGCACGAGAAAAGAAGAGCGTGTTTATACACTTTCTCATGCATGCATGTGATGTCTCCTTTGGTAAGTTACGACGAGAGAAACAGGGGCCGCGGAAGGTGTCGGGACGATAACATTGTATATAGGATAGGTTTATATAAGATGATACGGACATCGAACAACCGTGGGGACATTGTCCCTCTGTCCGCGGCCACTGGGTAGAAAGAAAGAAGGAGAGAGCCCTCCCGAACAAAAATCGATAAAAAACACTCGCCTTTCTCTCCCTTCATACATAGTTTCCCTGTTCTGAAAGCCACTTCGTCCTGCACTGCACTATCTCCACAGCCCGGTAGTGGTAGTGCTACTACGTAATCTATTCCTTGTTATTTTAGGTTAGAATACCAAATCTGTCCGTGGATAGGAGAGGACTTTGCTTCAATTTCATATGTCCATCCATCCTCTAGACCAATCTGGTAAGTAGTGCACTGCCGCCGCCGCCGGTGGTACTATGCAGAAAGACCAAGTCTTATCAGCAGAATATAATATAATGGATGGAGGAGAGGAGAAAAGCACGAAAAAGGAAAAGTAGTAGGGAACCCAGCCCTCAACAACATAAACTTTCCAACTCGAGAACAAATCCTTCATTTCATACGCTGCCCTTTACGAACGATTCACATTTTACATGGCTCGATGACTGCATTCATTCTACGTTCGTTATGTGTTTAACCTACCCAGCCCTTTTCCTTTCCTGCTAAAAAACTGGATATATTATTACCAAGCTAACCTCACCCATCCCTCAAGTACGTGATACCTTCTACGTCCTTCCAAAGCTGGAAATATCCGATTACACACGTTTTATGTTTATGTGTGTGCTCAGCATAGTCCATACATCGCCTTTTGGACTCCAATCTCCCCAAAATCTGGCTGGAGCGAGGAGAAGAAAGAGAAGAAGGACACGGTCCATGGCATGCTTCAGAAAAGTGCAATATCTCGCATCTAGCGTTCCATCCATTGTTTACCTAATAATAATTTCTTTACGGCTTCTGTTCTACTCTCGCTAAATGTCTTTGTACCACTAAAAACCATGTCGTCCCTAAAGAAGAAGAAGACGCTGATGTGTGAGTATGCATGCATTGTACAAGTAGCGAGACGAATCGTATTACAAGAAGACGGAGAAGAATAGAGCCTTTTTCTCAAGTCGGAGGAGGAGGAATTCCAGACTGTTGAATCTCGCCTGATATGTAATAAGTGCCAAATAATAATCTATCCACCAACGTGGCAAACACTCCAGGTTCGTTCGTTCGTACCTTAAATTATGGAATGGAATCCTTTAAACATTTTATCACGACTCTGCCGCCGTCACTTCCTACCAAGTATGGCGCGATGGCGATGGCACTTGCCATCCGTGAAGCAAGTTACTCGTGACTTTTGGCTCGGAAAAGGAGAAATAAGAAGAAAAAGTGACTATATACATGTTGTAAAAGATGCCTTGATTTTGCCTCACTTGTTGGACGGACGGATGGCTCGTCGTCCTACCCAAAATAGGAGTTGTCAAACCAAAACCAAGATAAAATTCAAGGGCAACAGATTCTTAGCAGAGATTCGCATCGCCAAGTCCGAGTCGTATCAGAGATCAGCATGCAGACTGAAATCCTTCTTCTCTCATACCCTGCAGTGCACTCACGTCAAGCTCTTCATCTCTCATCCTCACTTGAATTCAATGAGAGGAGACCAGACCACAGTTAAATAGCAGCGCAGTGACAACGACGACTGCATTACCATGTCAAACGCGTCTATTCATCCTTTATGTCAACCAGATGAGTGCGTCAACCCTTAGAGAAGCTAGCTACAGGATAGAGGAGATTACTTGTCCAAATAGTTGCACGTTTAACACACACACGATGAACAAACACAGTTGGGCAGGAGGAAGATCTATATAGCAGCCAAAATATCGAGTCAATTTCGATAAATTGTAGCCTCGTATGGAGGAAAATCTCCATAATATTTCTATCCAGGGCTCATTCATTCACCCACCCACCCACAGCATCAGAGTGGCCGCGGAAGGGTGGGGACAATGATGTCCCCATCATATTATGTACACCCTGCGTCCCCATCCCTACAATGTTAATGTCCCCACGGCTTCCGCGGCCACTGGTCAACCTGAGGACAGATCGAGCCGATATTGCGTACAATTCCCCCACCAAAAGCCAAGTCAGACAAGGGCAGCAGCAAGCAGGAAGCAGGGCTGCAAGTAAAATATGTATTGAGCCGATCACATCCTGGTCCTAGGAGTGCATTCCCTCGTCCATGTACGTACATACGCAGTCATTCATGAAGGGGCTTTCCCCTCCAAAGTCATCTCATCTCAAACTCATTTCGTGCTTATTAAATGCCAACCAGAAATAAAGGGAGCAGAAGCAGAGCAAAGTTGCAGGGTTTGTAAAATACTTGTGCATCATATACAAAGATATCCATTTGATAATATGTATATATATATCCGAGTACTTTAAAAGGACGGCGGGGGTGAAGAAGCTATATGGAGAACGTAATAGCAGGGCTCTCTGTTCTGTTCTTCATAAGAATAATAATAGAGCATGCAAAATGCTCTCATCCATCTCGTTAAAATACAGTACCACCGACCGACCACATGCGTACATACCCCGATGTACACAATAGGACCACTCATTCCTCCAAAAGAGGACAAGAAGAATTGTAATCAGTTTCAGTCATTGCATGCACATCATCCATATTTATCTTCCTCCCTTCGCCACCACCCACCCACTATCCACCCTTGTGTACGTTGCTGATACTCATTCCTGAAGAATATCGGTACTCTTAGAAATTCAGGATTAAACTAATACCAAGCGGTATTAATATATATGACTCTATGTATCAAAGTGGTATTAATGAGCGACAACCAGCAGTAATGGCTCGGTATTAAAGTTTTACCGTATCTGTAGCAAATTTTTACGGACTGGGATACCTTTAACACCAAACGGTAGCAAGTTTAATACCGAGAAATCCATACCTCATTCCCGACTATACCAGATTTCGAACAGTATACGCATAATAATAATACATACACGAAAATATCACCGAAAACAAGAAGGCTTCGCTTTCCCTCTCTCAAGGGAAGTTGGCACAAAAACAGTGAATAAATAGCTGTACGTATAGATTATGCAGCACAACAGTTTTACAAAAATCAAGTCTCTCACCCATTACATCCATCCTACATATGCCATCTCTTTCAGTTCAGCTATCTCTCTCAATCCTCGCCGGAATTCCAGCGCACGAGGCGAGCACTGAAGTCAATGCACCTTCGTTCGCAGTCATCATGCCAAGTTTTAAACCTTTAAAAGTTAAAACCCTCAAATCTCTGCGATAAACGCGATGCAAGTCCATCCCACGACTTCCAAATCCTGTTGCTCTCCTCTCGGCATCCTCAAGTCTTCAAGTCGTTTCCTCTCGATGCCTCCCAGTCGCCGCGGACAGAGGGACAATGTCCCCATGGTTGTTCGATGTCCTCATCCTATACAAACCCCTACCTCCCCTTTCCTACAATCTTAATGACCCCACATGTCCTCAAGCCTTCCGCGGCCACTGGATTCCTCCCATTCTAAAGTATGCACTTGCTGTGAATAAAAAGTGCACATACAGAGACTCGACTTGAATCTATCTTCGCCTTCTTCCGTTCCTTGGCCTGTTAAAAAAAAGTCTTGCCATGTTCTTGATGATGCCATCAAGTTTTGTCACTGGTTGCTTATTTAATAATAATAAAGCTGGCCTGCCTGGTCTGCTGGCGAAGCGATATCTGGCTGGTAACTTGCAGACTGTGCAATTTATATAAACAGACTTGGTGAACAGATTATAATTTAAGGATACAGACGGACAAAGGCTTGCTAAGAAAAATGGATGGATGGATGAAATTCAATCCTTACGTACTTATTTAGTTTCATTTCAAGTCTACATACATACATCCCAAGTAACTACTCAATCCTTCCAACAACTGTGAAATGAAATGCGAAAGGTGTTTTTAAAAGAGACCATACCCACTAAATTAAATTAATATCGTGAAGCAAATCTGCCTGCCTGCCTGGTCCTGGCGGCCCTGCAAGTTGTTCCAAACAGGATAATGCAACATGCTTATGTAGCATTCATTCGGTGGGATTCTGGCGGATTTTATATTATCACCGCATTGTGATGAGCTTTTATTATACAATCCAGTTTAACCAGCCTGCCTGGCATAGGTTTTGACTGATTATGTGGTGAAGAGAGGAGACCTGCTTGTGCACTTGTGTTATATTGTTATGACTTGGATTCTGAAAACCTCTCTCTGTGTACCTACACACATGCACCTTAATAGTGGGCCTAATATTAATTGTTTGTATGGCAGGCAGGCACACCATATTTATGTTATCTTTACCCCTATCATCGCACATATATTTAGTCCATGTCACAGCAAAGTCCTTATTGTTCATACGAGAATGTACCTTTCCTCCTGCTTAATTCAACATACAACATCCGTCCTTTTATCCGAACACCATTCACTTCACTCCAAATCTAAACTAACGAGTAGTACCACTTGCACTCCAATATTTGCCAAGGCTTCAATCCGTACTTGATTAATTTCCACCAGACTTTTCGTATTTTACTGCACGTTTCTCGCACCTGATGATTATTCCCAAACTTAGAATTTAACTGGCCATGCATGGATTAAGGAATGAAGAAAAATTCTAATAAGTATGCTCCATCCCTGATACATTTGATCAGTGGCCGCGGATGCCGTGGGGACATCTGGGGACATTGCCATTGTAGGATGGGGGAGGGAGGGGTTTGCATAAGATGGAGAGATGATGCGGACATCGAATAACCGTGGGGACATAAATTGTCCCTCCTCTGTCCCCACCCTTCCGCGGCCACTGCATTTCATGATCATTACTATACTTGAATAAAATATAGGGGCTAAAAGGCTAAGGTGCATCCCTGACAGTGGCTGCGGAAGCTGTGGGGACATTAATATTGTAGGATGGGGAGGTAGGGGTTTATACAAGATGGGTAGATGACTCGGACATCGAATAACCGTGGGGACATACATTGTCCCTCTGAGTCCCCACCCTTCCGCGGCCACTGCATTTCATCATCATTACTATACTTGAATAAAATATAGGGGCTAAAAGGCTAAGGCCAGGGCCAGAAATTTGCACCACCACCACCACCAAAAACTTGGTCGATATGATGACCACCACGATCTCACGCAGACAACGTGGCCCAACTAGTCGTCATTATTTCACAGAATACATTAATGCATTCAATGTAATGTAATAATACAAAAAATAAAATTACGTTGGACAGCAGCACTCAAACTTTAGCCAACCCACCAACCTGCCAAAATGTGGAAGGGACTACAGATATTTCGCTGGACTGGACAATGCCAAAGGCTGCTGAAAATGAATGATTTGTGCATGCACGATATTTACAGCAGCAGCTCTCAGCTTCATACTTTTTATTACAACCCACAATTGCTTACATTACATTACATAGTACGTAAAGTGGTGGTCTGCTGGTGTGATGAGGGCCTTGTTCATCCTCCATTCCATCCACCAACTCTCGGCCGGCATTCAATACAAAGTCCACCACAAACACATTTCAAAGGCAAGTAACCAACACAATAGAAAATTCATACACGTTTTTATAACAATTTCAGTCCTACGCCCGCAGTCCAGCCAGCTTCGCCATCATTTCATGATCATCATCATCCTTGCGCTCTACACAAATCTGAGACTTTTTGCTCGTCGTCTATCTGCCTACAATCATGGTCAAGATGTATCCTTAATGATGCATGTGATTCAGTTTTATATTACGAAATGCAATAAGGTATGTATAGCGTAGGCATGGCATAGGTATCGTCGCATCGTAGGAAAAGGGATGGTCCAATTCATCCAAGCACTTTTGCTTTTGCAGCTCTTCTTTGGATACCTTGCATAATCCACCTGTTGAACTTTTTGGTGGTGGTTTGCTTTGGTTGCGTAAAGGAATTCGCTTCTCTTGTAAGGTTTCAAAAACGCTATATGCTGGGATTTGATGGTAGCATTGTGTTCACAAAAAAAAATCGTGGTATAATGACCTTAACTTTATTTCTTCCTCCCTGGCCCTAAGGGTGCTTGAGATGTGTGTGCATGCATGCATTTATTTGACAAGTCCTTATAAGATCTTATCTTATTTCTATACACTCCATATCACACATCTACTTATATCTAACACCTTATCTGACCAGAGATTCTTGCAAGTTAAAAAAAACTTTAACTGATCGATTCATCATCATTCCTTGCAGACATTTCATTTCACATTCGTCTCGAATTTAATAACAGAAATTTGATATTTTATGGTGGAAAAATCCTTACTATTTCTTTCTTGCCGTCTGGACAGCTAAATAATATGGCAAGAAGATCGAAGAAAAACTTGGCATTCCGACCAGACCAGCTTTGTTTATAATTTTCAATTCAAACCGTAATTCGAGCTAGAATGTGATGTACATACGATCTCATTTCACTCAAAAGTTATGTACATACATGCGACTTTGAAATTACTACTAAAACTTTGCTCCCATTTATTTCCAGAGCCGCCCTCTGAGCTACCGAATTTTCTCATGTTTCAAGGCTCCATTCCACCAAGGGTAATAAAAAAATGTAACAATAGCGAATAAAAATTGGGCATATCGGTCAACCAATAAGAATCTATACTCAACATATAGCCTCCTTTCGTGCAAGCAAAATACTTAATTCCTACATACATGCCTCGTCGAGATGAAGCACGTACCTGTACTTGAGAAAAAAAAGAAGACCTCTACCTGGACAGCGGGTTTGCTTTTAGTTGCCTTGCTTGCATGCAATATTTGACTTTGCGCATTTAAACCCTAATTACACAAGAGGTGGAATTTAACTAAAACAATGTCCAGTCCAGGTTCAGGGTGAGTTAAAACATGGTAAAGAATATGCACCGTCGGTAGCAGGAAATATTTCGCAAGCAAGCCAAATCATGTATAAACAGTGGCCGCGGAAGGTGTGGGGACATGTGGGGACATTAACATTGTAGGATGGGGGGAGGGAGTGGTTTATATAAGATGGGAGATGGTGGGGACATCGAATAACCATGGGGACATTGTCCCTCTGTCCCCTCAAGCTTCCGCCGCCACTGTGACCAAACACATGCATACATTTTAATGCAATTCCATCCATCCAACACTACACCAGCCACACAATAGTATTTAATACCGACTTAAACTGCTTCTTTCTATCCACGTAAATACATAAATACTACAGCTGGAATAGTAGACAATAGTAAAACAGTTTTTTTTTACGTATGCATGCATGCATCCACGTTAAGGTGGATTGCTGAGTTTCAATTGGATCCGTTTCTCCATCCATACATACAAATAATGCTACGTACGATAAGCACCACCAGAAGACGAATTTTACTTTTAAACATACTCAAGATTTCTCAGCAAGCCAACTCCAAAGAAATGTGAAACCCTGCTAAAAGCTCCTTCAAGGATGGGTAAATGCCACCAGCACCAATCCTGACTTACAAAACAGGCTTCATGGTATCACGTCGTATCAAATCATGACATTATATATATCCTCCACTAACTGAAGGCCTTAAGAACATATTAAATACACAGAGTATGGTGAAATGCATGCATGCAAAAAGTACGGGAGAGAGATGACTTCACCACGTTCAGCACATGACTTTGTGTAAAATAGAAAGAATGAATGTTGTATAGTCAGTCATACTCATGAAATGATGATGCTTGGTACTTATACTTATTGCAAAGTCGTAGTTAGTTGGTTGGTGCAATATATAATGGCAAAGTTTTAAGTGTGGTAGTACTTTTATCCGTCCATCCTCCATCCTCATCTGTTCATAAGTATTAAATCAAACCTTCATTCCTTGTTTCGCAGGCTGGGCTAAAAAGTTTGCTTACTTAATGTAATAATTCACCTTCAAAAAAGCCAACCTCCACTTCATCCTCCTATTCCAGACTCTCAAACCTAACCAAACCATCGCTGGTTCCGTCAGTCAGACTTAAGTCACGTCGAAAAATCTGCTGCTTGTGAATAGATTATTATTACTTTAGAGTAGAGGAGCTACTACTTCACTTCAGCGTGTTATGTTGTACTTGTACATGAAATGAATTGACGACCAAATAAAAATTCCCATAATATTCAAATTCAACAAGCAACCATTTTGGATTATTTAATGTTTGTACTACTGTGTACCTTAATCCAACCCGGCCGAAATTAAATGCATACATATATTCATGCCTAGCTGGCTTGCGTGTATATCAAAAACAATCTGTCCCTGTGAGAAGATAATGTAGAGTCAGGGGCCGCGGAAGGGTGGGGACTCAGAATGTCCCCAGGGGTATTCGATGTCCCTCCAAAGTTATACAAACCCCTCCCTCCCTTGTTAATGTCCCCAGATGTCCCCATGGCTTCCGCGGCCACTGCGTCCTGTACACCTTTTCCATCACATGCAAAACTCAAGTAAAGATATTAAATTAAACACAATTTTAAAAGATAAGTGACTCTGCTTCTGCTGCTACTTCGCATCGATCGACTTTGCATGTTTTTATGTAAAGATTTGCTGTAATCTAAATCTATGTATTTTACTTACACCGACCGACATGGATAAGGCATACATAAGGCTGCATAAAGAAAGAAATGGAAATCTCTCCTCCCAAAGAGAGGATCTCTTGTGTTGCTAGGTTGGTAAGTCGTGTGGGCAGGCAGAAATAGGTTAAAGCCGTGTGCCGTAGTTAGCAGGGCACACACGACAGGAAAGAAGGGCACCAAAGGACTAAAAATAAATCCAAGAGGAGAGTAAAGTACCAAAGAGCTGCCAGCCAGGGCCAAACCGAGTCATCTCCTCTGCACATTCATCGGCTTATACGTATTACATAGTCCGTAACATAACGTAACGTAAGATAACTAAAGTACAGACAGATTGCATGCAGGATATACATATGCATTTATAAGCCTTTGAGAAGCTTGTGTTTTACTGTTCTCGTCACCTCAAAATATATCCACGAACGACGTCTTTACACTGTAAACCAAACCAAGTATCGGTCATGTGTGTTGTGTCTTTCTTGAGATAAGCGAAGCTCACTTGAACAACAAATACAGGGCAAATTAGAAATGGGAAGAATTATCGGATGACCGTGGTATCAATGTTCAAGTCACAAAAATATACATGGATTTATAAGCATTATATTTATAACCATTTTTTTCCGAGACACCTTAATTTCTCCTCTGATAAGATGCCCTATTCTATTGTTGCATCGTTTATCTGCTCACTATAAATTATGCACCATTGCATTGACTACACAAATAAGTAAATGGAGCAGACCCACAACCAATTAAACAAACCTTTTATTGGTCCTCCAGGTTCAATTATTGTTTATCAATTTCTTCTACCAAACAAACTTTCCTTTTGCATTGTCACATTAAAGAAAACGAGGACCCTTTCTTGATAAATACGTGCAATTCTATCAATGCTATTCTAAAACTAGAACGCAGTTCTTGTATTGATTACGTATGTATGGTCCGTATATTTAACCGAGACCCATTCTTTCATGGTAAGAAACACGTGCAAAATTCAAAATTGAGTCAAACCATAATACGAATGTAAAGATTTATACGCCAGGACGACAAGCATACATAAATTTGTATAACAAACCTGCATTGTATTCAAATTCAAATTTTTTACTCGGCTCAAAAACCAAACCACCATAAAATATTTAATACGTGCAATAATCAAGGTGTAAAAACGTGGCCTTTGCGTCTAATATGCGACATATGTATCCGAAAATCTTAAATTGAAATGTTTCTTCTTGGTTTAATAAGGTTGTTCTTACAACCTAACAACCCAACTTGCATACTTATCACATTCTTCCTCCTCGTGAAGAAGTAGTGCAGTCACCACCACAAGTTACAATAAATCCTTTTATTTGAGGTGAACTGGAGCTTTTTAATTTCTCAAACTCACTCTTCACTCTTCTTACGTCGCATGGCATGAATAACCATAATCACGCCCATGAATTTTACACTCGTTACATGATGATATTGTAATACCAATACTCTTCATCCTCAAAGCTATCCAAAAACATTTCATCAAGCAAGCAAAGTCACACTACCTCAAGTACTACTGACTCAGAATTACTTCACCAAAAATTTGATTCCCGCTTCGTATCCCTACCATACTAATAGCATGGGAAGGATACCAGCGCGGGATGGAAAAGAAAAACTGAGTTGATATTACAGACAGTGGCCGCGGAAGCCGTGGGGACATGTAGGGACATTGCCATTGTAGGGTAGGGAAGGGCCGGGTTCATATAAGATGGGGAGATGATGGGGACATCGAATACCCGTGGGGACATTGCCCCTCTGTTTCCGCGGCCACTTCCTACCACCACCAAGACGTATAAGTACCTCTCTCCTTTTCAAGATTATGATATAATACTCGACTATTTACTTGGTGGTACTTTATGCATCTTAAAGAACGACGACTCGCTGGGTATAGAAAATCCTTGAAATTCTCGTTTATTCTCTCCTCATATAGTAATCTCTCATGTATGTATGCATACATCGCTTATGTACAAGGCAACGCTTCTTTCGTTTGAGGGACTTATGCATTACGACATCAAACGAACGATATTATGGAGATAAGCCATGAATATCAAAAGGTTCCTAGAACTCTGATTCACCAGCTGGTCTCCGTCCAGTCCAGTCTCGAATAAGATGTAATAATAAAATAAACGAGAAAAAAGCAGCCGATCAGTCTATTTATCATACATCGATTCGATTCATAAGCACTTATCAGTGTATCAATAAAACATGTCACTTTAAAAGCTGGACTTGATCAGACATGGATGGATCCTTCTCTCCTCCAAACAAAGTCAAACTGATCAATTCAATCGAGTGAGATGATATGGACCTTCGTTCGTTTTTTTTTCATTACTTTGCAGGCAGCAATCATAACACGTTATCAGCACACAATTTTATTATTTATGTAATATAAACTTTTCCTTCAACTAATAATGATGAATCCACAGAATTATGGTGGAAATGTGCCCTTATTTCATGCGTACATGCATATTTTGTCTCAATCCTGAAAACGTATTACATACATTTTGAGTCAATAGATGTATGTTAAAATTGCGCAATCTTATCAATTCTGTCACACAACTTTATGGATAAGAATCGAAATACGAAATGGTATCGAGGTAAGTTTAATGGTAATCCCAATTAGTAAATAAGTTCCTCAATTTCGAACCGGTAATAATCACCAAAGTCATTAGCCCATCACCAGTTTCTTAATGCTTGTTCGACTTACTTACAAGGGAACATACCGAGGTGTCCAACGAGTTAAGGGTCGACACCTATACCAAAATGACCACAATACATGACTTGCTAAACGAACTGAACGAATTTCCGTGTAAAATTCACTTTTCGTCAAGTTGTGACGATATTTGTGACGAGCGCATGACCATGGCGTTGCCAGCGGAAGAGGTCGGCCGCTGAACGATCAGGTCGAACCCAGAGAAGCGTCGTCGTCTTCACGTCGTCTTCAGATATTTCAAATTCTTTCATATTTTGAAAACATCTTGAAATTTTGAAAAACATTTTAAATTTCTTCAAAATTTGAAAAATTTGTTCAAAATTTCAAAAATTTCTTCAAAATTTCAAAATTTTCTTCAAAATTTCAAAATTTTCTCAAAATTTCAAAGTTTTCTCAAATTTTTTTCAAAATTTCAAGATGTTTTCAAAATTTGAAATCTCTGATGACGACGACGCATCTCTGTGTTCGACCTGATGGTTCAGCGGCCGACCTCTCCCGCTGGCAACGCGATGGTCATGCGCTCGTCACAAATATCGTCACAACTTGACGAAAAGTGACTTTTACACGGAAATTCGATTAGTTTGTTTAACAAGTCATGTATTGTGGTCATTTTGGTATAGGTGTCGACCCTTAACTCGTTGGACACCTCGGTATGTTCCCTTGTTAGATAATAAGCAACTTGTTGAAACATGAAACTTAAATAATTCATTATCTTAACAACACTTATCCTCCAGCTAGCGTTAAGACTTCTCAATTACGGAATAAGACTAATTATCCTCTGTAAATTATAATCCTCTTCACCCTAAAATAATATTCAATTCTATCCACTATCCAGTAAAATATGTATGTATATGAACCAACCAAAACCAAGTAACCGGATGCTGGTTAAAAAAAGCCGTCATGAATAACAATTCAATTCTCTTTTATGGTTTCCGAGTAGTGACTTGTTTACATTTTTTTCCTGCAGCCTTCAAAAATATAATAGATTCCCCATAATTTAATTTCAAACCATTATGTGCATCCGATGCTTATCCGCGACATAAAAAAATGCGATGCGATCCATACAATTAAAAAATTTGCATACTTACCCACTGCCCGTAAAAAAATATGCTGCCACTGTTCTGCCGCTCCTGCTGCTGCTGGATAGAAATTTGCAGCCTCCTAATTTTCCTTCGGTGAAAGTACGACGGTGAAAGTTGACGTTAATCTGTCTGTTCTGTTATTTTTGTAAATATTTTTTATTTTCTCTCTTCTTTCTTGACTAGAAGTATTTTGAACCAATTAGTAAAAAAAAGTTAAGTTTTCTCCAAAATTAACCACTCATCGATCAAAATATATATCTTCTTTTTTCGCTTTAACCTTTCCCAAACCAAACTTTCTGTTTCTTGCTCTTGATTAATTGATCGCGATTGTACTATAACTTGTCCAGCACACCTGTCCTCCTGTCGTTCCGATTTAATTGCACATTTACTTAACTTTTACTGTACGACGAAGAGCGTCTCTTCACTTGATAATAGAATTATACAAATTTACATGATTATTTGAAGTCCGAAATTGTTGCTCGCTCCGTGTATGTATATTATATTAAAGAACGTGTAAAACTGGGGGTTTATTTATCGTATTAATCTGTTTTTTTTAATTATCGACCGTAGGATTAAATATTTCCAGGAAGGCTCGTTATTTAGAAGAGTGTTGGTCCTAATGGTAATTAAATTTAACTAGAGTGGTCGTGGTGGAGAGGAATATTTAAGGAGTGGGCAGCAGGCAGCCGAGCACAGTGGATGGAGTAAAGCAAGCCATTAGTAAAATATGGGTACGAAGAAGACTTGAGGATATTTAGTCCCTCCTCCAATAAGGGCTAAACAGAAACACCATGCATGAGCCATGGATAGAAGAACGCACGCTGGGCTAGCAGACGGCTTTGAGCGGAGCCCATAAGGATTACATGGAAAGTGTCTGTTCATAGATCGTGTATTTTAAGTAGATGGTACGAGTCAATCCTTTGTTAAGGTGGAATTGTATGCGGGTTTTGAGATTGAGTTGTTGTGCCTCAACTTTCCCTTCTTCTAAAGGGCGATTTTGAAACCAGTTATTTGCAGTATGAAGATTTTATAAAGTTTAACAATTTATTAAGGTTTACAAAGTTAGGAGGGTAGAATTTAGATTGTTTTCTTCAATGAGAAAATATTTAATTTTTACTTGTTACTTTTCATCTATTTTATACTTATCTGCTCATTCGAAATTCATATTCCCGCCGGATGTCGAATATAAAATATTAGAGATAACTTTTTCTCAGAAAAACTGAAATAAAAAGATCTACTCTTGAAGAAAGCTTGACCTTAAATATCTTCGGCATAAAAAATTATTTTCTGAATCATACTTTGAAAATAAACTACTTTTTGACATAGTACTCTAGCAAAATTCGCATATATTTTTCTTATGTACGAATATATTCCGCTTAAACCATCCATAGTTCACAGTGCCATGCTGAAAATATAACACAGGCCCAGTACTCCTCACTCCAACGCTCTTGAGAACCTATTACATACGAACACAATGCGACGCCCAGGAATCCTGTGCCGAAACCGTAAAAAATGCAACCCATGAATACCTACCTTAAAACCTGGAAACTTATCCAAATTTTCGAAAAAATGCAACAAATTTGGCCAACTTTTACATAACTTTTCTCCTTTAACCAAGCCATTAAGGGTACCAACCCTTCTTAATTACAGACCTTTCTAAAGGTTTTACCCAACCCTCAAGGGACCTTTAAAATTGAAGATATTCACTTTCATTTTTAACCCACTCATTTAAACCCTTTTAATTTGCAGCATTATTCCAAATTACGAACTTCATGTTCCACGAGGCATCATGGAATATGTAACGTGTGAGAGAGCCTTTTTTATCCTGATACTTATCCTTCGCAGGAAAGTATTAGTAGGTAGTGTTGTACAGCTCGTGGTAGTGCCTACTAATACCCATCCGAGTTAAATCTTTAAATCATAGTACTTATGGTTTGGTACTTGGTTCGTTCGTATGCAAAGAAGAATTGGGTGATCCAAAAAAAATCACTCTTCTTCTCCATGCGATATTCCTATTAAAGCAAAACCATACAGTTAACAGCTTAACGTGGCTGCTATACCTTTCCCATGTTCCATAATACGGCTTATAGGTTTCGTATCGTGGGATGATGCTTTTGCTTTAAAGAGGATGATGATGACGATGATGGTAATATTATCTCGTTTGGTTTTGGTTTTGCTGGTGAGAGAATCGCATAAGTATATATTGCACTGAATCAGGTGAAGTAAGGGCTGCCAGTGGCCGCGGAAGGATGTCCCTACGGTGATTCGATGTCCCCAATTCCCCATCATCTCTACATCTTATTTAAACCCCTCTCCCCCTATCATACAGTGTTAATGTCCCCAGATGTCCCCCCACGGCTTCCGCGGCCACTGAGGGTTGCCCTTCATTATTGCACCTGTATCAATAATAAAGGGTTCGTACATACACCTGCTTTGAACTTGAGGGCACTGCGATTACGTAAATATTTGTAAAAAAGGTATACTTTAACGCCATTCGTGAATCTGAAAAGCTTTATGATTTTAAAATTATAAAATTTCAGATAGGCTTTGTGATAACTATTCAAAAATCTTCATAACTAATTTTATTAAAGATTTTCTCTCTTCAATAATTATTCCATGCAATAAGAAGTAAACCAAACTTGGAAATGGAAGCATAACTAACTAACTAACTGACCTTCACAGATTAAATTAACCACACTCTTCAAATTTCCAAGTTCCATTCGAAGGGACGACCGTTGCTTTGTACGTGGGAATTTCTCACGTTTCATTGCAGCAGTGAGCGTTAAATTGTGTAATCAGTGTCTTCAAATTTTCTCACCGGTCGATGAAATGAATATGAAAGCCCTTAACGTATAAATATTTACAAAGTTTTCATACCGTGTATTTTATTTATTTTATCATTGCCAAGTTCAATGTCAGTCGTAGGTACTCATTTTTACTAATGATACATATTTCACTTGATAAGTAAAACCCTGCATAAAAAAAGAGTGTATCAAAATTAATTCGCATATATAAAATGTGTAGGCACATTATGCAAAGCTAGGTGCTGTGCCCTGCGAAGGACTCCATGAAAATGCATCCAGAGATTGGATTAAAGTTGAGAATCTGTGATACTAGATGGGCTTGGGTTCCATGCAAAAAATCGTGGAGTGCGATTTTGACAAGTTTTGTTTATTTCTCACTTTATTGTTGCGTTTAGTTAGTTGTACAAATTATTTTGAGAATTTCTGCATATTGTTTTCAGGGGTGGGGAAAATACTTTGGAAAAATAGGGTATTTTGAGCTTGGTTTTTTAGAGGGTTTTGATTTCTGGGGGGTGTTACATTCGCAAAAAGACGAAAATTTGCATGGAGAAGACAGAAGTCTGACAAAAATCCAGGTTTTGTGAAGAAATTAACCTTTTATTTTTAAAAATCGTGAAAACACATAATTTTCACCGCAATAAAAAAGCAATTTCTTCACAAAACCAGGATTTTCGCAAGATTGCTGTCTTTTCCATGCAAATTTTCGTCTTTTTGCGAATTCAACACCCCCGGAAATCAAAACCCTCTAAAAAACTGAGCTCAAAATACTCTATTTTTCCAAAGTATTTTGCCCACCTCTGACTTTATCCGTATTAATTAGTACTCGTTGATACATACACCTTCCTTCCTTTACAACATTTTCAAATCGTTCCACCACCACCACCAGCCCCCCTCCTTCGTCCCCACGAGAGGAACCGTTCCGGCTGAATTGTACTGCTTCAAAAACTCCGGAATTGACCCATCATACCGAGAAAGGCAGAGATACATGTAGTACAAGAAATTGGACGTACTCTTCGACGCGATCAGACTCGACCCCACGGCACCGACGGACATGCCAACGCAGAAAATTAGGAAAATGTACAGTCTTGCGTGCGGATTAGGCGTTACTTGTTGTTGGGGAACAAAGCTGTCCGTTTTTGGTTTCTGAGGTTGCTGTCGCTTTTTTGCTGTCCAGTATTTCTTCACCATTTGACACAGTCCAGAGCTCATCACGGTTGCCCAGACGCCTTTGCACCTCAGAGTGACCACGGTTTCGTCCAAGCGGTCGCGAAGCCGGGCGAAGGTTTCGTGCCGTGCCGCGAGCTGGCGATCCATTCGGGATTTTGAGGCTTGATACAGACCTCGGGCAATGTCTTGAGGAAAGTCGTCACATTTGTTGATCATTTTCTCGATGAGGAGGTCGTCGTTGAAGAGGCGGATGTGGCATTTAACTTGTTTCGAGCAGAGGGGACAGATTGGTTTCACTTTCTTCCAGCTTTCCAAACATGTCGCGCAAAAAGTGTGACCGCAGGAGGTAGCGGTGGCCTGTGAGGGAATAATAAAATTGATAAGGTAAGATTTTTGGCAGTTTTTCAGGTGGAAGGAACCACGTGCAAGAAATAACGGGAAGAAAGTGGTTTATTGCGGGTATCTTGACCTGCAAGAAATGCACGGCGCAATAAACTATGTACCCCCTGGTATTGTATTTCATTCTGAGCTTGGCTAGATGACGCATATTTCTTGCACTTTCTGGCAGTTTCTTGCACCTTGCATTTCATGCGTTTCTTACTTTGCAGTGCAAAAAAAAAGAAAAAAACGAAACACATTTTCGGGTAAATTGCAAATTATTTCAGCACAAAATTACACCACAACCTTCCAATAATTATATGTACCTCAATCAGATAATCCTGGCAAATCGGGCATCGAAACATTTCCATCAATTCCGTAACTTCCGCACTATTCAAATCAGGAAACTTTCCATTCCACAATTGTGTCCCGGTTTGTCCTCCTCCTGGTGACGTAAGGTCCACACAAGAGACGCAATCTTCGCTGTCGGACGCTTCAAAGGCTGGAACTCGGACGCCATTCGGAAACGTTTTGATACGCGGTTTATTCGACCTTCTGTTGTCCCTGATGGTAAAAACGCTGCGGAGCTGTTGGTGGTGGTCTTCTCCTGCTGCTGGTGTGACATTATTATTTTCAACGTCCCCAGATCCAATGCACTCGGAGTCTTTGGGCGTCAAAAATGCTCCGTTCATGTCAATGAAATCGTCCGCTGTGGAATTACGGGGAAATTTGTTAGGAACATTTTTCAAGAGTTTTTTTTAGCCCGAGTCAGGGCTTGTGTACCCGTCATGATTGTCTGTCTGTTGATTATTATGCATGAAAAACTTATCCAATCGACTACTTGAAATTTTGCACGAAATGGGAAGAATATGCTAAATTAATTTCGAAAATGAGCAAATAAATGGATCGGGAAATTTACAAAATACTAGTCGGTGGTGGTACACACCCATCTCAATTATTAGTAAGAACCTGACTCGGGCTAGATAATTTTGCACTCCGGGTTTTGTCATTAACTTTAATTTAATATTTAATTTTGTATATTAAATTACTCCAGATACCATTATTACCCATTGTTTCGTCCCACCAAGTAAATAACGAAGGAGCCGAGAGAGAGATGAAATTTCTTAAGCTGGGTTTCTGATTTGAACAAGAATTAGAATTTCACCCTTCATGATATAATTTGTAATTAAATTGATTCCCAGAATCACGTCATGCCAACGAATTTAAAGAGTAAAGTCAACACCAACGCGTTCAAGCCTTCCCTTAGAAACGGTGTACACAGGGGCCGCGGAAGCCGTGGAGATCTGTGGGGACATTGCCATTGTAGGACGGGGGGCGGGAGGGATTTATGTAAAATGGGAAGACGAAGGGGACATCGAATAACCGTGGGGACATGGTCCCTCTGTCCCCACCCTTCCGCGGCCACTGCATAAGTACAGTACAGAGGCCGACTTCATATTTATAGTACTGTTGAGTGGCCGCGGAAGCCGTGGGGACAGTAACATTGTAGGATAGCGGGTGAGAGAGGGGTCTATATAATATCTAGGAACTTTTTCTTTTCCCTTCCCGCGCGGTATCCTTCCCATACTATTAGTATGGTAGGGATACGAACGCGGGAGGGTAAAGAAAAAATTCCTTGGTATTAACATGGGGAGATGATGGGGACATTGAATAACTGTGGGGACATTGCCCCTCTGTCCCCACCCTTCCGCGGCCACTGGGTGTTCATAAGTACAGTAGAGAAACCAACCATATTTACCGTACTGCTTCAGGATTTGGTACTTTCTCCGTAATACAATTATCCCAATTTACCCTTCTATCATCGCATCGTCACCTCCAATCCTGGTGGCGTTCGAGTCCGTGGTTTGGTTATTTCTTGAGCGTACTAACTCCAACGACGACCCAGGAATGATAAATTAATCATAAAACAATTACCCAAGCCAACCAAGTGGGTCTCTCTCTCCTCTTAAGTTCTCTCGGCCACCTTCCTTCCAATCAAACACAGAGCAGACAATTATTAATTAATCGTAACTCATTTCCACCTCCACGCCATTGTCCATCCTTCAATTACTGGACGCCTCCAGTCTCCGCCTTATATTGCATTACACAATCCATTACTCAACATAGAGAGCGCAAATCGTTTATCACTTGGGCAAAGTAATACAATGAAATTCCTGGTTTGAAGCTATATAATAATTTCCAGTGTTTCGGGTCCAATTTAAGAAACCATTTGCAAGAAATAATGGGAAAGAAAGTGGTTTCTTGCAGGTAAATATTTTCACCTGCGAGAAATTCAAGGCGCAAGAAAGGACGCCACAGCGCGCATACTTCATACGGCGCGTGGCGAGATGGCGCTTCTTTCTTGCAGTTTCTAGCACTTCGCGTGGCGTGCGTTTTTTTGCTTTACAGTGCAAGAAATATAGCAAACTTACAGAGCACGTGGCTAGAGCGCACATATTTTTCGCATATTCTTGCAATTTCTTGCTTTGCAGTGCAAGAAATGTAGCAAACTTACAGAGCACGTGGCTATAGCGCACATATTTTTGCAATTTCTTGCTTTGCAGTGCAAGAAATGTAGCAAACGAACAACACGCGTGGCCAGCTGGCGCTTTCTTCTTACAGTTTCTTGCACCTCGCATTTCTTGCATTTCTTCCTTTCCAGCGCAATAAATCCCCCAAAAACCACCCGAAACCCTGCTAATTTCCAATAGAAATATGTAACATTTCATTTCACCTCATTGTGTTTTCCATTCATGTCATGTCGTTGATTTCATTCCGTTGTTGAATTATTGTCTCCGTCTACATCTGAGATTGAATGAAGGAGCAGAAGTGTCATCAATTTCCAACCGGCAATCAGACCGTAACAAACATTACATAAATAATGTGAGAATGAAAGCATCAAATTGTGTCCCGACGACGCTTGGGAATTCACAACAATTTATTATTGGATGAATAGCAAAGAGCTGGATTCCACCAGTGTTGTCGTCGTCGTGTCATCTATTAAAGCTTATTCCGCTTTGTAATCAACTGCTGACTGGAACATCGTCATCAACTGCGCTCACCTCGGCACAAAAGGAAAACTGAATTTTACTCCAGAGACGTTGCGACAACTTCATTACATTTCATGGTGACATTAGTGTCGGTAAATTACCTTCCCTCCCTGTACAATTGCATGCATATGTTCATGTATGTGTGTTATCCAGCTAAAAATGGAGGTTTCCCAGCGTATGCGATCAGATTTTGGGTAAAAACTAGTGTCACTCGAGTACAAATTTGATCAGGATGAAATTTGCAAACGACAGGATCTCCCAATGGGCACGTTTGGCAGAGATATTTGCATCCGAAGAGGAGAAAACGCGCAGTAAATTTGGAAAGTATAAAATTTGTCGACTTTAAGGCGCATTTTCTCCTCTGCGGATGCAAATATCTCTGCCAAACGTGCCCATTGGGAGATCCTGTCTTTTGCAAATTTCATATAACTAAATTTGTTTTAAGATTTTGAGAAAATTTGTGTCAATCGATCCTAAATTTAATTTGTATACAATTTGCAAAATCTACGAACTGCCAATACTCAAGTTTGGCAGAGATATTTGCATCCGAAGAGGAGAAACGCCCAGTAAATTTGGAAAGCGTAAAATTTGTCTACTTTAGGGCGTACTTTCTCCTCTTTGGATGCAAATGCCTCTGTCAAATCTGCGCATGTGGAGCTGTTTTTTTGCAAATTTCATACGAATTAAGTTTCCCACCGACTGACTCTAGTTTTCCCCAAAATCTTCGACCATACGCTGGGAGACCTCCACTTTAAGTGAGTGAATTTTGCCACGTGACGAATTGCCAAAATACCGCACCATAACACAACAGCAAAATAAACAGGAGTCAACATCAGCACCACCACCGCCACGGATGAGCATTGTACTTTGCAAAGGGGTCCATTTATTATTTACTTTCTCTGGAGGATCTAAAGCATTGCTTTTCTTTGGATGTTGCACGCTGAGCTGAACCCACGCCCCCGGTGCAGCCAGGGAAAGTCCACGACATGAAAGGGATCCAGAGAGAAAGCAGTGAAGGACCATCATCATACGCAGAGAGGTTCCTATCCTATCGTGTTAAGTTTCTTGCACATTTGCGACAACATTTCTTGCACTGCAAGCAAAAACTGCAAGAAATGCGAGGTGCAAGAAATATTCGCCAATTAGCCGCGTACGCCGTGTGAAGTTTAATGACGGGAAAAAGTTTCTTGGTCAAAATACCAGCAAAAACAGAAAGTGCCTGCGAAAAACTGCCAAAAATAAGCGCCATCTAGTCCCGCGCCAAATGTACGACAGCAGCGGGGCGTCCTTTCTTACAGCTTAAAACACCTGCAAAAACCACTTTCTCCCAGTTATTCCTTGCAAACACTGGCGCTTTTTGACCTCAAAGAACCAATTTCTAAGTGAAAGCAAATATCAATACGTGGCTGCAGCAAGTCTCAAATTTCGATGGAACGAAAATATCTGATACAAAATCCAGTTACGTTTATTTATTTACACTTTCTAAACTAAATATATTCAAAGTATTGGATAAAATAATTTAGTTAGAATACAAATTAAAACTGGGTAACTGTTTTTCGCCCCATCTGACAATGGAGGCGCAAACCATGTTCAGCCCAGATAATTTTTTGACTTTATTAGTTTGAAAGAGCGAGTCTTTACAAACAACATTTGGTTCGGCACTTGGGCAGATGCGCAAATTTCAGCACGTTATGGGCGCCGCAAGTTCGCAAAAACGCACGAAGTTGAGCTTGCGCTGGGCATTGCCCGAAAAATCGTGCGTTTTTGCGAACTTGCGGCGCCCAAAACGTGCTGAAATTTTGCGTCTGCCCAAGTGCCGAACCAAATGTTGTTTGTAAAGACTTGCTCTTTCAAACTAATAAGGTCAAAAAATTATCTGGGCTGAACATGGTTTGCGCCTCCATTGTGAGATAGATCTGTGCTGTTCTGTTCAATCTTTAACGTCTGCGGTATATGATATGTGAGCCACATCGTTTCCAATACCAAGACAGGGATAGATACTGACATCAACAACTACAAGGAAAGGTATAGTTAGGGCTGGCATGTCAGGTTTACTAGGATAGGTACTGTAGAGGAAAGGGGGTAATTATTGAAATTGAAAATTGGGGTGGACGGTGAAACAGGATAGGATGTAAATAAGGAGATATTCAAACTATCTTAGGATTTGGCCAGACAATCCTATGCAGATTATCTGCCGGCACCGAACAGTAATTTGTATTTCCATACCAGTTCGTTCCACATTTTTGCTGCATAATACAACTCAAGAGGAATCGAACTCTCGGCTTTTTGAGTCATGACACTGATGGTCAAGCCTCTAAGCCAAGACGGCAGGCCCAATCATCCGTCCATATTTTGTATCCAGCCTCCCAACCAACCGGTATCATCTTCTGGCTTGGCTGGACGGATGTGATGAAGGGAAAACGAACAGAGAGGCGAAGTCATCTATAATTTATAACGGAATGCCCGAACCTGCTGCTGCTCCTGCAGTGGTGGGCGTCTGGCTGTCTGACTGGCCGGGTGGGTGGGTGGATAATGGCGAGGAGAAAATTTAATTTCCAATTCGGTGAGACTCATACACGATATAAGTAAGTAGCATGAGGTGTTTTGCCATATTAAGGATTCGACCCTTTTATATATTGCGGCAGGCAGTG